TTGATGGCAGTTTCGTAAAGACGGATAATATCGGCGTTGGATAATGCAATATTGTTGGGGTTCATGTTATAAATTTTAAAAATAATTATTTAGAATAATATCAATGATTTAGTATAAATGTTTAGTATTTGTTGAGGATGTCATAGATTATAATAAAAGAATCATCACATTTTACATAATAATGGATGATCATGTATGAATATTCATGGCTCACACTTCGCCCCATTTGTTATCATCAGAACCGTTGGTGTCCGTGCACAAGGTGATTTGCCTTGTGACGAGTAAAATATTATAATACCATAAAAGTATAGTACAATCCCAGAGGCGGAATATTCGGTTACTGAATATTACACGCACTAAACTTTCTCTTTGGCATTTACGTAATGTCACCTGCGGAGATGAATTTAGATCCTCACGTACTTTTGTCTTTACTTTGTAAGGCAGGAATTACTTCATAACATATTTATTTAAACAGACATTACGTATAACATTATATCATATTCCTCTAACGCGTCACATATATTATCCGAAAGCCATCTAATCATTTAGTATAAATACCTGTAGTTTTTGCTAGTAGAATTCCCTAATCTAAATTTTCTCGAAATAAAAGATATACAAAGTTCTAACAGTATTTTCTTTTGTTACCTTAATTTACATTTTATCTCCATCCCAAACAGTATTTATAACATTTTGTCAGTTACTTAGCTTCGATTTGTATGGTTCGACTGATGTAGATTCGCATACACCAATCACAGTATTGTATCATTAATTCTGAACGCCGTTTTGGGAAGACAATTTGACAACAGCTCCCAACTTACAGGTTCGTGTATTTGAAAGCCAATTTGCTTGGCAGCTATGACGGCATAAGAGTTTTAAGTGGTTCCGATCTGTGATAGTCTAATTCTATAATAAATATAAAACCTATAGAAAACAGGCCCATATAATTTCACTTACTTGTTTAATTCAAATATTTTAAAATCATGGTGCACCCTAATCGAATTCAGAAATCGCTTACACCTTCAAGAGTCCATAGACAGGGCAGAGCCCATTGTATCACGAGCTTTATGTCTCCTGCTGCCAATACAAATCAAGCAAATAGTGAAGCAAATGATGCGGACATGGATGCTGTTCATACCGTTTCTTTGGCGCATGTCAATGTCAAGATTATCCCTGCGGAACAACGTTTTGACGAAGCATTGGATTGTAATGAGTTCTTGGATAGTGACATCCCTGATGTGGACTTTGAACAACGTAGTAGAATGGAAGAAATAGCGTATGTAAGGGAGATCATTCTTCCCTCTGCTGCGGAGCCAACTGTAACTGAAGAAGACACAGATGAAGGTTCGTAACGATAATTGAAATTTTAAACACTTATGCTTACCCAATAATGCTCCATATTAGCCCAAATGTATCAAGATCCCTGTTGTATCGCAGACGTATTGATACATAGAAACAATGGAAATCCAATATTAGATCTCAGTAGACAGACTGGAGATCGTAATCATGGAAAGATTGTTGTGAACGAATAAGAATACATGGATAAACATTTATTCAATTCAAATAGATAAACGATTGGATAGTAAATCCCAATTGGATCTACTATTAGTTTAGACACAGCTTCGCAAAAGTATAAATACGAACTCATTCAACTCTTAATAAAAGGTTATCTTTACTTTGATTATTCTTAAAGACCATTTGATATCTACGATATTACACTGGTGAAAAACAAAGTTTTTTTTTTTCTTTTTCCAACTTCTATTTCAATAAATAACAATTTAATTATCATAACTTTCTGTGATTAACATCACTTTGACGTGCACTTTGCTTAATAAAAAGGGCGAGCGAGTTCGAGCTATGGTATTTGCAACCGAGCCGAGCTTAAGAAACTTTGAGCGAGCTCGAGCTGCAAAAAAACGCATTCGAGCGAGCTTCGGCTGGAACACGATCGAAGCTCGCTCGAGAGTTTCGATCTTCATTCCGAACACTATCTATGTTGCTCGCGTAACAAGGATCAGTTTTAATATTTTAAAATAATTTGCTGGAGAACACCATCAGAGGCTTTGATTAATTTTTATATCCAATTGAATGACAATCCAGAGGCTGTAATTTAATATTTATAAAAAATGCTTCAACCAAAACAACGAGTGCTTACGAATCAGCTGGTGATATGTTATTATACTCAAAATGAATTGCAGCAACTATGTTTGATTGTAAATCCGAACCATTAGGGGTAGAAACTAAAAAAGAAAAAAGAATAATGAAGTTTAGAGTATTGCTAAGAGGAAATGGCATTACCCATCTTTTTATTTAGCCTTTATTTTATAGTGACTACTTTCAGTTTTATAGCCAAGCGAGCTATGTTCGATGCGCTCGAATACAAAAACTCGGCGGAAGCTTTGTTCGAGCCGGCGTAAGATCAGTACAAGATCGGAAAGTTCGGACACTAGGTATAGCTAGTTATTGGTTGCGCTGGCTGTTGTGAAATCTAAATGTGATTGATCCGACAATCAATCAAAAGTATCGCGTAAAATGTTTTTGTTAACGGCAAAATTATGACATTCAATTCACTTCTGCTTAGGGCATTCTACATAATGACGTAGCTGGAGAATCATGGTACACACAGTAAGTTAAATATCGTTTTATCGTTGCTATATTTTTTTTCCATTGAGGCTCAAACTCAAGGCCAATTAAATTATGTCAATCAGAAGCTTTATCTGACCACAAACATAATGATACCTAATTGTGGGGTATCGTTGCACGAAATCGGCGGGAAGAAAGAGGCTTTTACTGTGCCTTTTATACAATCAAATGCGCAGCTTGTGATCATCATTTGATCTCATCACACGTGATGAGGGTCATTATTTGTGGCTCTTAGAAGACTAAACTTAGCATTTTTGACCTGTTTGTTTATTTTTAAAATCAATATAATCATAAAAGCAATAACTTATACAACTCTGAACAACCTGCACAAGCACTAGTAAGCCACCTATTAAAACAAAGACCGTAAAAAGTACGGAGTACGTTAGGGCTTTGGAGATCCCGGCAGAGAGACATTGATCATCGCATGCTGATTTCGATTCACAAGAAGTGGGAAAAGGCATGAAACGGTAGCAAGTTGTCACACAAATAGCAGGACACTCTGCTTCGATAGCCTGGCTGATATATACTCTAGACTGGAGTTTGAATAAGGCAGATATCACAACAAGGGCCATGCCAAGAATAAGTGTCACATTTGCAAGAATACGGCAGTAACGGCGCGGTTTGTTGTCGAGCGTGACAGGTACGTCGTGAATAGGAATGATGTACATTTCTTCGGGCATTCTGTCAATAAGTTGGTTCCTATCATCATAGTCGTTACCTTCTTTTTTATTGAAATTAAACATGATAAATTATATAAGAATAAAAAATATAGAAAGGAAAAGAAAAACAATTTTAGAGAAAAAATTATCACGCCTCAAATACTTCCATACATGCACACGCCCAAGCCCATTTTTTTATTGTTTATTTTTTTTTTACACAATGGCATGTTGAGCATACAACAAGGATCTAATTTTGTAATAGTCCTCTGATAATATGCCTTCCACTAGCAATTGTCCTGTACCCGTCTATTTTTTTTTAAAAAAAAAATTGTCAATCTAAATCAGCCTTTGTATGTTATCTGTAACTCTTACCTTTCGAACGGCTACTTCGTCATTACAGACTAAAATTCCTTCTCCCTTAAATTCTGCCTGAATTCCTGCTGATTGTAATACCTTTTTGAATTCTGACAATCTGACATCGCCGACAAAGATAGTGGGTTCTTCCTTAACTGTTGCATCAGGCATAGCCACATCTAATGAAGGAGTGGTGGAATCATCTGGGAAATGAATACGACCCACGATACGTGCTAAATCATAGTCATCAAGCTTGGAGAACTGAAGTGAGCTGGCCATACTATCTGTCAACTTGACTCTGTAAATGTTGGTAGCGGCAGAGACATTCAGCACTTCGCCTACAGAGGGCGTAAAAATTTCATTTGTGAAGTGGTCGATGCTGTGTACGGCTGAAGATAAATCATCTGTAGATTCCTTGGAACCATGCACAATAATCTAAGAAGGATACAGATTTTAAATATCATATGGAAAATTTGTCTGCCACGTAATACTTACCAATTTGCGAGGTGCGATTTGAGGCAAGATGGTCTTAATAGATCGACCATCAGAAAGACCTTCTAAATCGACATATCTTAATTGACATTTGATATGTAAGGTTTCGTCACTGGAGGTATATTTTGTAGGTGTATCATCTCTTCCCAAAAAAAAATGCTCGTCGATATCCACTTGCATTTCCTAAATATAATAGATGGGTCAAAACTTCTTCTCGGTATCCTTCTATAATCTTATGCTATATATACGTCTTCTTTGCCAAAATTCGCTCCTTCGCCTAAGCTCTTCTTCTCTTGCTCAATACGTTCAAAATCCGAAGCCTTCATATAATGTTCGACTTGAATGGCTTCACCATAGTCATCGATCTTTTTGCGTTTCTCAAGATAAGGAAACATACGATAACTCTGGGCTTGTTTGAAGAATCCACCCGATTTTCCAGCATCCCTCACATATAAATCAAACTGCTTAGTCAACAAATCTTCCATATTTTCATCCACGTCGTCAATATCGGAAGAGTCGGATTCATCCTCCTCGATGATGGTTTTACTTCGCGCAATCATGGCGGCTTGTGCAGCATCACGTTCTTGTTTGGCACGTTGCGCGGCCTCATATTCTTGTAACTCTGCACCTTCTAGAGGCACACGCTTATAGACCTTTAAATCCATGGTGGTTTCGTATTCGATAGCTGATTTGACGGGTACTTTGGTGCTGTTGACTGGTACTTGAGGATCCCCCGTTTGAGCATCCCAATCATTGTATAAACGACGTGCCAAAGTGTCGGGACCAGACCTGTCAGTTAAGATCAGGGTATTTTTATCCTCCATGGCCATCCATTTGACAAACAACTCACGTGAAAAACCTGTCTCTAAACTATCATTGCTGGCTATGACGACTTTGGGACCTGGGTAGTTGTCGAGATCTGCTAATTTATGGCATAATCGCATGTATTTAAATTCATAAGGTAATTCACGCTGGGAGAAGTTCTTATTGAGATCCTCGCCCATCCATTCTAACATAACTTTGGCGAAATAAGCCATACGGAAACTGGTATAAGTTAACATGATGAGAGGGTAGCTGATTTGGTTTTGGGACCAATGTTGTTCCAGTAGATTAGATAGTTCCAGAACACGCGCCGTAGAATCGGTAGGTAGTAAAACAGAGCCTCCGTTATTTAATGTAGTCATCATGGTATCTGGGATAATGTAAGTATAAAAGGTAAAGTGCGTTGTATGTTTTTGCTTACCAAACATAGCGGCATATCTGTCTTTACGGGCTGGGTGAACGACTTTTGAATTGTAGGCATCGGTAATGAGTAAAGAAGGACGAGTCAAAGCATCTAAAACAACACCACCAGAATGCAACACAGTTCCGTCTAAATGCCTTTTGTCCCATTTCTTCAGTTTATTTTTTGCTATAGCTGTTCATTTATTTCGTCACTTACAGTTCCTTCCGATGATTGAAATCTACAGCGTAAACAATCTCGTCGGTGTCTTGTTTAATTTTCCATATCGTACCCCCAATGGTATGTGCAGCAGCGTAAGCTGTAATGGTAATACCTTGGCATTTACCTTATTACAAACGTAAGTTGAATGACATTATCAATGCTAGTTTTTTGTAAAATTAAAGTTTACCTGTTAAAGCAGTAGGTTGTGAATATCGGAGTGATGTAATTTTATCAAATGCGTTATCGACGTCTTCCAGCGAAAATGTTTTGAAGTCAAGCTCGTCAGTTTTGGCTTGATAGAGGTCATACAAGCAGATTCTTCCCATGTTAACAATGGGGATGGTGGAATAAACGGGACAAGTCATGCCAAGGTGGCTACGTGCATAAGGGTACGCGCCCAAATGAGGCAAATCAGAATGAGATAACAAGACGACATCAACTTGTTTTGCAATTCTATTTTTTTTTTTTTTTTTTTCAATTCAGTTTGGGAGGACAATGTATAAACAAAGACAATTTCAAGAGAGAAAAAAAAACGAGCTTTTATACTTTTTTAAATGGGCAAGATCGTGTTCGTCAAATTTATCAGACCACCCACAGTCAAGTAGGATTTTGGCTTCGTCAATTTCTAATAAATAACAAAGAGGATCTTCGTTTTTTGCACCTGAAATGGGTGTAAATTTTATATAGCTTGTCATAAGAAATCAAGAAAGTGAAAACGCGCCTTTAAAGTAGAGTCAATTTTTTTTAAAAAAACAAAAAAAAAAATGAGTATATTATTTTTGTGACCACGCAAAAGAAAAAAAGAGTAGTTCCCCTTGCAGGAAACCAAATGACAAAACCCAAACATGAAGAAGAGGAAGATGATCCTTATAATGAACGCATAGAAAAAACTGGTTGCTTTGAAGAAAACGAAACACTACAACTATGCTTTTATGACACTAAAGATTGGAGACAATGTAAAGAACAAATGAAGGCCTTTCGTGATTGCTTTACAAAAAGTAAGCATAATGCTGGTAGTAAAGAATTAATCGAGTCTAGTAGCAATAATAAAAGTCGGGAGTAGTTTTTTTTATTCTTCGCACAAAAAGCTGGATTCTCGAATCTGCGAGGGTTCCAATAAAGACATGGATAATAAGTGTGCATTTAATGTTGCCTGTAACTTGAAGTCGTAAGCTCGCGAAAGGACTTGGAAGGCCAGCACATGTTTGACGACAGATGCTACATGTACAAAATATATTGAGCTTTTTGTTATATGTAAATCATACGCTTATCAGAGCTTATTGGACTACCTGTAATTCGAAATTTGTTGAAATTGACAAGATGGTTACTTAAGCGCTTACATAATTCTTGATCTTGCTCATCGTCGTCAGTCGAATCAGGTGTGCTTGACTCAATAAAGGTGGGTAACTCTGCAATAAATACCAAATCCGATAAATACAGTCCCAAAAATGGGATACAACCTCCATCCGTATGATGCAAATCTTCTACACTGTTGGTCAATACACTTTCTACAGCAAATGACTCTGCCACTTGTTCAGTCGCTTTAGTCATGCAGTCACGCACATTTTTCCAATTTCGAAAGGGTTTTGCCATTTCTTTGAGCTGGTTAAATAATTCGAGTTGACAGTGATCAATCTTTTGCCATGTCTTTTCGAGACGTGTGACAGCAGGAGACTGCAATCCTAGCAAGATCTGCATCAGTGTGCTATAATTACGGTGGTGGTAGCATTTCAGTGCGATACGAATGAGTTTTTCGATCACTTTAACACGGGTCTCCATATGGTGTGAACGGACAACTTCACATGCCACCCATTGACATGTCTATAATGAATGTGAGTTAAACAGTAACATGCTTGGTCAGGAAAAATTTACCATATTAAAATAACCGATCAGTTGATCGACACCAATATTCTCTCCTTGACTTGTATCATTCAAGTCGATAATAAATGATTGCCTCTTGGACGATCTCTTTCTCCACCTTAATTCAACCAGCTCATCCCATGTGACTTTTTGCAGCATAGTTTTTTCAATGATACAAAACTGTTGGGCAATGATTTCAGATCGATATTTAAGTAGGATTGATTTATACGGGGTATGGCGAGAAAAAAAGAGGCGATTGCCACTGATGAGGGGTGTATGTATTATGCAGTTTTGGACCGAATTGTTCATTTTACAACTACATGATGCTGTGGCTACGTTTCTTTTAAGTGAGTTTTTTACTTTTGCAGTCCAGGTTTCTTCCTCTGGATGGAAGCATGAAATAGCGATAGCACTATCTTTACGTGAAGGAGAGCCAGATGGATTGGACCAATCTTTATAAAATTTACGTTGTTTTTTTAGGACGGTTCGTAGATTTTTGATGATGCGTTCATCGCGTGGTGAAGCAAGGATGACAGTGTGTGTTTGTAACTGAGTTAGAAAGGTACAGAGCATAAATCGAAGCGTTCTGGATACTGTAAAATCAAAAGTCCAATAATGTGTTAACCAATGACGAATTACGACAAAGGTTCTAAAAAAAAATTAATTTATATAGTCTCCCTAAAAAAGCAATTTTCATCTTTATAAATGAATTCTATACCTTATACGAACTAGACTTCGCTCATCGTTCTCCTCTAACAAGGCCCAACGAAATCTAAGTATCAATAGTTTACAGAGTTTGATGGGTGTAATGAATTCTCGAAAAGTCAAGAAGAAGTCCATCAAAAAATCATTGTCTATAATATATAATTAAGTAATTCATATTGAAAAATAAAATTACTGCCATATTCTCAGATTTATACATACAAACATACCCATTTCACGAGTTAATTTCTCCACTAGTTTCTCGACTGTGGCTGAAGTGACAGTGGTGTCGCTTTTGCCGTAATGAATAAAATGTGAAGAATCTTTGGAGACGAGGTCGAATACATGAGGATCGTTTTCGATAGGGGGTTCTGGTTTTTCGGTTGTTAACGTATTAGTGGCAGCAGCGGGCAGCAGCAGTTAATAAGAGGGTGGTCATAATGCTACCATCAAAATCCACAATTTTATTGGTTGGAAAAAGAGAGGTAAGGTTACGACCAAACATTCTTGTGAATTTATTGTTACTGCTGCAAGGCAAATGAGAAAAAGATCGAGATGTCTGTAGGCGCCGATTTGATGTTGATTCATGCAGCAGCATATTATGACTTATTTTTGATAGGAATGAGAAGGGGCAGGGATTTTTTTTATAATTATTATTGCTGTTATGGTCATTTATTGACTTACTTTTCTTCAGTATCAGCATCGTATACCCAACCATAGATATTGGCAAGTCTTATATAATCCAACTTTCTTGGTTCTGCGCATAGACTGTGCCTTCTTTTAAATTTAACAATAGGAGTGGTTGTACACGCTTCTTCTCCATGTGGAATCAAATCATCAAGTGACTTGGATCTTCTTCTACTATTGAGAAATTATTTAGTACCTTTTCAATCCATAAATTGCATCATATCCTTGGCTGTTTACCTTACTTTTCTAGGTTGAACATTTCGTTGACTAAACAAAATAATAAAGGAAAAGAAGAAAAGAAGAAAAAATAAGGAGAGGGGGGGGTGAGCAGCAATTATAAACAAACACTGATATAAACTTTAATGTGACGTTGTCCTGTGTGTGCATTACTGTACACAAACTTTTCCATCAAAAAAATAAATAAAGCCGATTTAGTTTAGCTTCTCTTTTTTTTTTTCTTCTTCTTTTTTTCTTCACAATTATAACACAATGACGCTCGATGAAGGTTATGGAACTCACCAAACGTCATTTCGAATCCGAAAATCACTAAGAGAGCTTGTCCATAAACCACGATTGCATAAGTCTCGTCGTCCCATTAATGGATTACCTGCATTACCTGCTCATGACTACAACAAAGAAGAATATGCATATGATGTCCTTTACGAATGCCAACGAGGGTAAAATAAAATAATATTTTACATTGAGTACATACATTAACTCAATAATTCTCGCAATTAGCTCTTTAGCAGTCGGATACAGCTCCAAAACGTAATTGTTCTATTTAACACACACACTCAATCGACTAATACTTATCTAGACTGTTACAATTTGATCCCAATCCTTGGTGTGATGCAGATATGAGGTATATTTATAAAAACCCAAGCACGTGTTTAATTATTTATTTACATAACTCATATTAGATTTACACCAATGGACGTTGAAAATTACCAATTACCAGATCCAACTTGGGAATGGGTTTCAAGGGAGTGGATGATTGATATGACGGGCGATGTGGATGAAGCGGGATGGCAATATGCTTTAAAATTTCATGGCGCTGTTTGGCATGGAAACTATAAACACTTTCGATCGTTTGTAAGAAGAAGAAGATGGCTTCGTTTAAGACGTAGTCAAATCAGTACCAAAAAACCTGTGCTTGTCAACACACCTACCACCTCCGGTAATCAGTTGATAACGGAGAGCGAAGCTATCACCGATTTAAAAAAATGTCGTTTGGATAGGGAAAGATTAGCTGTCTTAGACGCCTTAATCAAATCCACACTACCAAGATTACAGGATCGTTTACTAGAAAAGGTAAATCGGGAAGGGAGGAGGGAGGGACATTCCTTGCAAAAAGAAAAAAAAATACGTGTGTATATGTGTGTGTGGGTTATTAAACTATTCATGCTATAGGCCTCCGAATTGATGACGTTTTTTGATTACGATGAATCCAAATATAAATTCTTGCACGGATTACTTTCACGTAAATACAATTCATATACGCACTCGTTTGATCTCACCGACTCAGAAAAAAATGCAATTCAATCATTGAGCTTTAACTATGATATTCAACGCATCTTAAACACCATTGACCCTTCTCATCATTAAACATGTAAAAAAAAACACATTTATTAGTACATTTCTACCCTCTAATTACATCTCCTTTTTAATAAACTTTTTTTTCGCGGTCGTACAAGACTGTTTTGCATTAAAAAAAGAAAGGGCCCACTCGGCCGTACCCTGACATTAAGCAATAAAATCCTTATCTTAGTTCATGTAAAATAAGCATAAACTCTTCTGTGCCCGTAAGAGCTACTTTAACAGGCATCTGTCCACAGTTGATGAATTATTATGATGTCTCTTCCAGGGTATAATATTTAACTTTGTCCCCAATGAATTCCCATTTTCTTGGGATGATAATTCATTGTCCTTAATTCTGGTTATAGTCACAGCTCTTATATATAGTAATTCGAATCAGTGCATGACTCTACTACAGCGTGTTAGGGTCACTCTACCATATCAACCGTAACTTCACTCTTTAAGTGATATTCTTATTTAGCCTCAGCCTCAATAAATCCCTTTGACATCCCAAAAGTTACCCGATTAATTAGTGCTACCATCAGAAAATATTTTAGATTCAAAGTTTGTACGCTCCTACAAAATGAGCATTGGGAGCTCAAATGGAGTAAATGGTAATCATTTTTGGGTTGATAAATCGATGTAAATTTGTTATCTCAACGGACCAAAATCGCTATAAGAAGAGTTGATTATAATTAGAACAAATGTGAAAAATGTGTAGATACGCAGATCTACACTAAAACACAGTCCTCTTTAGTGAAAATAAAATAAACTACTCTAAACAAAACTAGATAAAGACACATGTAGTCACTAACAACACTATTTGAAGCAGTAAAATTCATGTACTTCGGAAAAGGTAGTCAGGACTATTCTTATCAGCATCTAGAAAGAATTTTGTTATTATCGCACAGCCTACAGGTCAATGTCTCTTTATTCATAATAAACATGAAAACAATTGGCACGGAAAAGACCAAGCTTTCTTTACAAAAGTCTGATATGTGGAGTTTATGAGACAAAGAGGTAATAAGGCCCAATAAACCCACGAAAGTAATATAAAATAGGTCTCGAAAATAAAAATCATGCTGTTCTATAAAATGATTTCAATTTTAAAGATCTTAGTACTTATAGCGTCTGTTTTACAAGTGACGTATGCATACTGTGTTTATAATAGATTGACCAATTCAACATCTCTTCCTACGTTTATCAACGTGTCTGAGATAGGCATTATTAGGGCCGGCGAGTAAGTGTGCTTTTTTAAAAAGATCTCGTAGAAAACAGTTCTTGCATTAATATATCCGTAACGACCCATTAGACAAAAGTTCCGTACTACACTCGTTGGATATGACTCTCGTGCATGCTGTCCTTACACACAAAAAACGTGCAATCCCTATGGTTCACTTGTACAAATCATTACGTTTAATGTAAGTCTGACATAGCATTGTGTAAATGAGTAAAATTTAAGCAAGTTTTTTTTTTATTTTATTTCTGTCTTTAATAGGTTGAGGCATCTTTTAATGGAAAATCAATTGATGCAAAACATACAGCACCATGTGATGCTGGTGCCGGTCTTGCGTTTTATGGAGCTACACCAGATGATTTTTACGCTGAATGTGTAAGTCGTAACGGAACCGTGCGACGAGTCAATCTTGATCACTTTTATTCTTAGCCATTTGTAGATACCTAAAATAAAAATAATTGCTGCTAAAAATTTGTATTAAATTGTATTGAAATTTCACACGTGGATTCAAATTGAAAAACTGTGATAATTTCATATCTAGGTTTATTTTTTTTTAGCGAAAATTTTTTACCGCCTCCATTTATCTATGTATTATCATGACTTTGCCCAACCTTAAATGCTCTTTTCTTTTTTTCTGTCTCAGATATCCAGAAGCCTAATTGCTGCTTAAACTGATAGAGCAAAATTTGGAAGCATATTTCGGTACCGAATCAAAGCAGGGGAAAAATTTAAGTTTTCGGCTTAGCTGACCTGGATGGATATTAGAAGGGCAACTTTTATGCATAAATTTAATTTCAGATAACTGTTGCGAGCATCGTAAAAAACACTTGTTACGTTTATTGCACCTTAATGTAAGCTACGCAAATTTTATTTAATAGCCAGATTAGTCAAATAAATTATATCTCATAATCCTTTTTATTTGAAGCTTGTATAAGATTTTCCGATAAATATTGGACAACCACAATTAGTACTTACATAATAAATCTAATTAATGGACACACATCTGGGGACTCTATTTTTATTCTTTGTCTTTTAGAATACCAATTACCTTACCTACCACATACCATTGTTATTGTAATTTCTTATTTTTTTATTATAAAGACAAAGAACAGGTATAACGAAAAGAAATAACTCAACAAATTTTGTCATTATATAATCTGAATAGAAGCCCATTTATTATTAAAATTCCAATATTTAAAGATGCAAGCATCGTGATAAAGAAGTAATCCGACTCAATAAACCCAGTAAATTCGTATATAATGGGTGCTATTGATTCAATATTGTTGTTCTACAAAATGCTTTCCATTTTAAAACGTTTTGCTGTCATAATCCCTGCCTTGCACATAGTACATGCGTATTGCGTCTATAATCGGTTGACCAACTCAACATCTCGTCCTTCATTTCTCAATGTAGTTAAATCAGGAAAGGGAGTGTTGTTTACGTAAGCGTTTATTTCATTTTTCATCAAGCGATAATATTAACTAATATGTCCAAAAAAAAAGTGGTAGGTTTAGAGCCACAATAGTTGGGTATGACTCTCGTGCGTGTTTCCCTTACACAGACATAACTTGTAATCGGTTTGGTTCACTTGTAGAGCCTATTATTCTTGAGGTTAGTCTGTCATATAGTCTAAGACAAAACTATTGAAAGCTAACTATCACGCTTTTATATAGGTTGAGCCATCCTTTGATGGAACTCTAACTGATACAGCACGCTTAGCAAAGTGTGATGCTGGAGGAGCCCTTATAATGTATGGATCTACAAATGAAAATCTTTATGGCGAATGTGTTAGTCGCAATGGAACAGTAGCTCGGGTTAACCTCATTTAACTATTATATCTTGTAATAAATGATTCTAATTTTATTGTACTCAATTAACACTTACGTCTATTGCTCTTCGTATATGAGACTATTTTACTGCATTTACTTTCTGCATAGCAGAATTGGCATAACCCTTTTTTTATTTTGGATGATTGGTTTACTGAATGTGGGCAAACGATTTTTAAAACCTCTATCAAGAAAATTTTCGGTCAAAATTTTGAACGACAACAGAATTGTCTATTGCAGTGTAAATAGTATATTATGATAGTTGTCAAATTGAGGATATGTTGTCAAATTGGTAAACAAAGTCATATCTCTTACACAGTCGTATATATTAGTATGATAAATTGCGTTAAAATATCGCAATGAAACCTCATTTGATAATTGTTTTATTATATATATTTACAAACATGGAATTTCAAAATATCTTCTTTTGCGTATTGATTATATTAGTAAGTATTATTAATCGTGTTTGGGTTAGTGTTTCTTTTATTTATTTTCTATTTAAAAAAAGATTGCCTACAAAAAATTATTAGATAATACTGCTAATATCAAACATAAGAAATAAAAATTCCATTGTTCATTTGAAAAAAAACCGGAAGGACAAACATCAATAAGTACAAAGAGCTGGCACAATGAGCCCAAAAAAGTATATATACATATACATATTGCCGAGAGACTATAGAAATATAACATATCCCATGGTTGCAATTTCCATAGTCATAGCTTTTATAGCGTCTATCTTTCAAGTTACACAAGCATTCTGCGTTTACAATCGGTTAACAGCTTCAACAGATCTTCCGACATTTGTTAGAGTAACTGCCGGGCAAATAAAAAGGGAGTAAGCGCGTTCTTTTTCTCTTTTACAAGTTATATATTCATTTCTTCCAAAATAGTAGCTTTAAAGCTACATTAGTTGGATACGACTCCAAAGCTTGCTGTCCTTTTACTAACAGAAGTTGCAACCGTACTGGTTCACTTATCAAAAGAGTTACTTTTAATGTTGGTTTGTGGCACTTTTTTATATAGTTTGAGAAATCCTAAAAAATAATTCATTAGTACGATCTATCTTTTGACGGTGAAACAACTCCTTTAAGTCCTGGATCCTATTGTGACGCTGGGGGAGCACTCGCACTCTATGGGACTTACGAAAACTTTTATGCAGAGTGTACAAGTCCAAATGGGACGGTTTCTGAAGCCTATGTCAATCGTTGGGGAATACCTCCGACTGAAGATCTTGGAATTCTTTAGTATTTGTGATTTCGCTATTAAAGTATAAGATTAGTCAATTACACCTCCAGTGTAATAATGTTATTTTATTTACGTCCCTTAAATAAATCGCCTACTTTTGAGAAGAGATCACTCAAAATAGATCGTAATATGGGAACTTAAAAAATACGACTTAGAATATTAGAATCTGCGGTAGTCGTTGTAGGCTCAATAATGCGTATAATAGAATGCAATTCATACCAGTAAGCTGCTCTATGATCCATGCGATTAGTTTATTTTTGATTTTTTGAAAGACTTTCTGTTAGACCAAGCGAAAAATTGGGCGAGTATTAACTATTTCTCATTCTCATGACTTTTGCTTGTTAAGTAATCAGGCAATGAAATTGCTCAAATTTTGATGTAAAAGTAAATCTTTTGAGGAAGACAAATGCTTCTACAAATCTCTACAAACAAATAAGCATTCTTATGACTTTAATTGGGTAATTAAATAAACTTATGATGAGAAAATAATTTTTGAGAAAATGGAAATAGTTAAGAACCCCCAACATTTAGACGTATCCTTATTAGTTTCGAAGACCTTTTTTAAAGACAATACACCCAGACCTTTACAAATTATAAATATAATCGCGTACAACAATACTTAGTTTCATTAAATGATCTCACTTCTGAAATTTGTCTGCTTACTGTCAGTATTACAGATTATACAAGCCTATTGCGTATATAATAGATTGTCCAACTCGACCGTCCTTCCATCCTTTATCAATGTTTATGCGGTGAATAGAACCTTAAAGTGAGTAGCACATCTATTAATTGTAAAGCTTTCATATTAATATCGCAGCATCAAATAGCAGCTTCAAGGCTACACTAATTGGCTACGACTCCAAAGCGTGCTGTCCCTTTTCAGAAAGAACCTGCAATCCTTATGGCTCACTTGTTTATCCCATTTTACTGAATGTTAGTATGACATTTAATTTATTTGTGTAACAGTGAAACTAATTTTTGTTCGGTCAATAGTTTGAGTTATCTTTTGATGGGAAAGTAACTCCTATAAAGCCTGGAGCAGCTTGCGATGCAGGAGGTGGTCTTGCATTTTATGGCACTCAGAAGAGTTTTTACGCTGAATGTACAAGTCCTAATGGAACGGTCTCTCCAGTTTCTATAGTACGTTTTGGGTATCCCCGGCATTATTACTGAATAGACTGAATATAAAAGTTACATTCATTAATCATGTACAATAAACTTAAGCTATAATGATTCTTAACTACATAAATTCTCTGATTTGGCCTATTCTAGTTGAATTTAGAGGTCTATAATGCCATCGGTACAAAGGTATTGCAGAATTATTTTGGTGGTGCCTATTTTAGGACTTATAAATGTCAGTTAGAACATTGTAGTCATTGACAAATCAATTACCTCATTTAGTGAAAACGATGTTTACAACACCCCAGTCATATCAGCCGCTTTCCATAATAAAACATTCTGTAACTACAATAAATACAATAGACAAATGACAGCTATGTCTTGTTCACAGGTGAAGTTATAAATTGTTACCAAGTTTTTATGACTTAATGAATTAAGAAGGCAGTGTATTTGATTAGACACACAAAAATGGTCATGAATACATGAAGCATTAGAAATTTCGTAACGGAGATTTTTTTCCTCATTGTATTTTTACTTATCAAACATTGTAATATAAAAAAATAGGTAAGTTAGAGAAACAAAGACCTGCTCCATTCACCCTCTGTCTTTGTACGGTGACTTTTAATTCTTTCGATAGAGCAATTATTGCTATTCGAAATAGTGTCCATACAAAGAGTCATGTCGTATCTTCCAAATACTTCAAAAGCAATTTCAGTTACAATAGACCCATTTGATCTATATAATACCATTTTCTAAAATATAAACTACTCATTTATTATACAATGGTTGCTATTGCAAAAGTAATTATTGCTGTGAGTGCTTTTTTACGAGCTGCGCAAGCATTTTGTATCTATAACAGAATAACTGCGCCAACAAAATCAGATGAAATTGATGGAACAAATCATGAACGAAAAATCATATCGATTAATGTGTGGGATGCAAGACATGGGCCTAAGTAAGTAGCATTAACTATATTTAGATGCATGAACTTACCATAAACACAAAAGATCATTTAAAAAAACAGTGGATGGATATGACTCGGTACAATGTTGTCATTGGAAAAACCAAGATTGCAATCCAAAGGGTAGACCCAACTCACCTATCAGTCTTAATGTAAGCGGTCTTCCTTTTTTATCCTACTCTGACACTAATAAATGAATTTATAAAAGGTAAATTTTTCGAACGACGATAAGGTAACTTATTTATACAAAGCTCAGGTCACTTGTGATGCAACCTCAGCTTTTATTTTTTCTGGCCCTATGGAAAATATTTCTGTTGAATGCGATACTGGAAATGGGGAAATTGTCAAACCTTCTTTAGATCTTTTAGAAGACCGTTGGACTGAAATCGGCCATCCGTTTTAAAAAACAGTCAATTCGTTATTCCCTATAGTTATGATGATGTCACAAATATAAAAATAAATATGACAAGTGTAATCATTTTTTAACCTTTTAGCATGTCCGGCTTCCTTTTTACAAAAGACATAGTTTTAAATAAATATTCCTGGGCTATAATTAATGATGGACAATTACTAAAATAGAATAACTTTGAGCTATGATTGTTTTATGCAAAATCTCATTCTAACGTTTTAAAAACATTTGCTGTTTTCACTTGGTGTTGGTTTAGATATGCTGCAACGGGCATTATTAAATATAATCTTGGGCACAGTTTCCTCTCCTCGGTTCACAGATATCTTGGATTACTGATTTATCATATCGTTTCTGAGATTTTCACTTATTTTCCAAGTGGGCTTCTTATGCAAATTTGATGATATTAAGATTCTCCTTTTTTTTTTTTTTTTTTTTTTTTTTTTTTTTTTTTTTTTTTTTTTTTTTTTTTGCAATTTCTCGAGCGGGTACTTTTACCGACAGAAAACAATGGCATTTAGAATAGTGAAAATATGCAATATTTCTCGTCCTTTGTTAACTTCGAGAGAGAAAAGTGGAATAATTGACGATATCTAAAGTAACCGGCAAGAATATAATGAGACATACAGAAAGAACATTCAAGTATAATAAACCCACCAAGACTATATAATGCCATTTTTAGACTTGAAATAAAAAAATTATAATTGATCATTATAAAATGGTTGCTGCGGTAAAAATAGTTGCTATTGCGAGTGTGACTTTTCAAGCAGTGCACGCATTTTGCGTTTACAACAGAATAACACCTCCATCAGAGGAGCAACGAAAAACGCTGTCAATGAATGTGTGGGATGCAAGAGGCGGTCTAAAGCAAGTAGCTTTGTTTAAATCATAAGATATTTATAAACCTAACATGATATACAAAAGGTCTTTCAAAAAAACTATAGATGGGTACAATTCTTTCGCATGTTGTCATTATAAGAACAAGGGTTGTAACCCATTAGGTATGCCATTTAGACCTATCAGTCTTAATGTAAGTTTCCAAAAACAAAAAAGTTCTTTTTTTTTTGCATCCACTAAGACATGTGTTATATAAAAGGTCAATTTTTCTAATGATGGTAAGCAAACATATCAATATACATCTCAAGTCACTTGCGATACAAGCTCAGGTTTTGCTTTTTATGGCCCTTTCGACAATATATATGTTGAATGCACTGATTCAGACGGAAATGTTAAAGAAGCTTCCTTGGTTCGTTTTGATGGTCGCTGAACTCAAAAATTATATCAATAAAAATTTAAAGGACACAGAATAAATTGCTTAACTTATCCGTAAATAATTAATTCGGATATAGATGCTGGAATTTTTCCACTTTTCAATCTTTAAATAAAAAGATTCTTCAACCGATCCTTAATTGTACTACGCATGAAAACTCTATCTAGTTCGTCTTTTCCCTCACAGTTATCTTTGTATTCCAAATGAGCAAGAGAACAATCACCAAACGCCGCAATAGCTTTAAAAATAAATCCATTCTGGTCAATAAGGCAGTTTATGGGCCTAGTTTCGTTATTGCTATCAAAATTTGATACTCCCGTTAATTGTGAAATCGAAATGTATGACCTCTATTTCTAAAATTGATTTGATTGGGAGAACATTTCAAAGGCACATGAGGTCTGAATTTAAATGAGGTTTAGTCTTCTCTTCTCTGCTTAAATCTCTTACTTTCTCGGCTTGATAAGTTACAAAATGGCACTCACATATACTGTCTAATAGCATATAACGAAATCCAATTATTGCCTTCATTAAAAGTCTTAGTTCCCTCACACTGGTACCAAACTTAAAATAAATAACTCCCAGAGTCAGTCTTTTGTAACGGAGTGGCCTTTTCAGAGCTACTTTTATTTTGGAATTGTTGTACTATGGAATAAGTATACAACTATAGTCAACATACTCATCTTTTCTCCATACGTACGTATAATAAATACAAAAGTAGCAGCTATTTATTGAAATGAATTTATGTTTTGAAGAAGAGTATAGATATTCTAAACTACTATAATAATAATTTTCCTCTAACTTGATGTACGCAAATATGAGACTAACTAAAATAAATAGTTATATTTGTTTAACGAAGACATCACAATGATAATGCATCTCGAATGAGTTTCTAAATTTTATTAAAAACTTTTTTTGGATGGAAGAAACCTTAAAAATAAGCCAGTGTCAGATGCTCTCTTATTGTAGCACATTTGTTCCTATCATTATTTCCATCCTCTTCTCCAACAGCTCTTAAGGAAAATTGAATGGTGGAGTTATAATTGATATGTCTTGCTTCGAATATAAAAGAGGAGGCAAAAATACTCTTATCGCATGGAAGAATAAACCATGCTACCTCTTCATATGGGTGTTTATCTAGGTTCAAAACTTCGTCTAGGACAACATCTCCCACTTCCTTTAGCCTTACCAATTCTAATTAACAAAATTTAGTCAGTAATATCGTAAACTATTAGAGACTTTATTATACCCAGTCTGAGTGTATATCGTTGATCCATATCTTCCTCATCATTACACATTAATTGGTAGTTTTTAAAAAAATCCATACTTTTGATTGATTGTCCTTTTTGCAGAGCTAGTACAGCTGCCTTGTACTCAAAAGCATCCATTCTAATTGTTGATCCTTGTTTGTTCTTGTATAACACTTTATGTGGATTATTTTTGCTATCGCTTAAACTAGCTATTGCACAGTATGTACTACTTGACACTTGTTGCAAAATTCCGGTTGTCAAGCTCCAAAGCATGTGCTGCTTGTCATCCCGTGTTATTTGCAAGAATCGTGAAAGGTTTTCATGCAAAATAAAACAGTTTGTATCTTTTTCTTTTTGTCTAATAATTTCATCGACTGCAACTTGTAATAGTGCTGTGTATTCTCTATATATTGGTGAGGTGTCTTTAATATTGAAAACATTTCCAATAACAATCAAACGATCAACCTTGTAATTCCCAAATATGTTGGTATTTACTAGTGAGGCGGCCATAACAGTTGCAATTTCATAGAGTATTGGCTTGACGCCGATGTGAATAACATGACGAAGAGATAAAAAAACTGTGCAATTGCATAAAGCACTGATCGACAAGGATATTTTGTCATCTAAGGCTAAATATGCGCTATCATATTTAAACTTAAAAAATAAAGGATGATTATTGAAGATATTAATACTTTGACTACTTGTCACTTACTATTTTATCGACATTTTTCTTTAGGTTTGTTAGAATGTATTTGTAATTTTTGATTGAAAAATAATCACAGGGGATTTCTTCGGAGTCTTTGTGTGTTGTACAGTAATTGATTTCGCTATGTGTTTTGACGTTATTCCAAATACTCTTATATAGTGCGTCATGTACATTTTCAATTGGTATGATTTCATCCTCGATAATAATACTACATGAAGCTTCTCCATTTATTGCAGACTTGACAACATGGTGTAAGGTGAGCTGCACGTAGTTTGCGTGTACCAGCGCCACAACAAAATAAGATCGTAGACCAAAATTCAACCCTATCCTTTGTTCGACTTTTGGTAAAATCCATCCCCCTTGACTGACAATTCGTACTTTTCGATTTTTATCGAACTTTCTTGTCATACCACTTCCAGTTAACCATTTTTTTTGAGTTTCTTCTTCTCCAATAACGTTATCTAAAAGTAACTTTTCTACTGAGATAATGTATCCGATCTCATGATCGTCAAAATTGCCTATTTTTCCTGCCAATTGGTGTGTTATTATTTCATTAACATAATCAAGGTACAGCGTCATAAAAAGTTGAATATATTTCGACTGCCTAATTGCAACAAATTTTTCATTTGTATTGGGCTTCGAAAAAAAGTTATTCAATTCACGCTGGGTGTGACATGCTTTCATTCGCGTTTTTATCTTTGAAACGCAATCCATTCGTTTTTTTTCGAGTACGAAGTGATGATCGAATTTCAAGTACTTGTTGCAAATGGTGTCTATATTAGCAGAGATTAAAGAGCATAACCTATATCAATTAAAAAACGAGAAAAATATGAATGTAGTTCATATATTCAGAACTTGGAAATTACCTATTATTGATAGTTGAAAGACATGGCTTAATCATACGTGTGAGTATCCTTATTGCTTCTACGTGTCTCCCAAAGATTGCTAGCGGGCCAGGTTTTGAATGATAGTTTACGAGCTTTAAACTCTTTCTTTCCATAAACAATTGCATGCTGTATCAAATGCGAGTCAATATTATTGAAAACTTATAATTATTTAAAAGTGTGAAAGACACTGTACCTTTTAGTTATTTGAAGCACAGGACGTTCATATGATGTTGACTGAATAATAAAATTGTTTAACGATGGTATACGACTATTGTTGATGGGACAAATCAGAATAAGTTTTTATAAATTATAAAAGCATCCCCTGCTAAGAGGTTACCATTTACTGTATCCAATATTTTTTTCCGTGAACTCTTGATCAATAAAATTTACAACTGAAAATTCTATAATCTCAAAAGACATGGCTACACAAAGCGTTAACTAATCGTTTTCGTTATTTTTTTATTTATTTTTTTACCTATATTAATTATATAGCTTGGTTTCGATTTTGAAAATTTTGTTGTCAAGTAGACATCCTTGTGCTCCTTTTCATAAGCAGGTATTATTATAGGCTGGACACGCGCGCCAGATATTTGAATTTTTTCATTTAACAAACAGAAGCTTCCCTCTCGTACAACATCAGTCGTAGCAAAATTTTGAAAATTAATCACTTTATAATTGAAACTTTTCTCGTCTCCAAAATCTTCAATTAATTTGCGCAACCAAACGAGTGTAGCTGAAAATCTGGTGTATTCAGAAAAATTCCCGTCGATTCCCGCATTTATAAGGGCTGTGCGAGTTTTCTGGGCTTGACCCCTCAATAAAACGTCTACTTCTTGTGCAAAACAGGTTTTTACAGTATCGGATACATCTGCAAACATTTGCTCGAATGGTATTGTCTTAATACTGAAAATTTCATTTTCGTTTAGCTCGCACTCCGATCCATCGAATAGAGAGTGGAAAAAATCGGCGTCAAATGATTTTATCTCTTTATGTCCGGGCACTTTATCATAATTTCCCACCTACCGACAAAGAAAATGGTTAGGGATTCATGTTGACTTTAAAAGAGTGCATAAATACCATGGAATCGAGAAACGCTTCCAATAATGTAACAATTATTTTTCTTGTTCGACTTGCTTGCACGTCGAAACCTCGTGAATTTAGGCAGGCTTCCAAACCAATTTCGATTTCGGAATAAAAGGGAATAGTAAATTCTGTAGAATTGATTACTTTTGGTACATAATAGCAGTCGATTGATTTTGCAGAGGGGTACTGGGCTGAAAATAAATCCAGGTTGACTAGCAATTTATTATCCAGTGTCAGAGCCAAACCATACATGATGTATTCTTTTCCATTTCCAAACATTGCATGTTTTTTGCGGTTCGTTTTAAAATAAGAGGACTGATGATAATAGAAAGACGATTCGAGTGTTGTAAAAAACAGCAATCTGTCTTCAGGTTCTTTTTCTTTGATGAGGCCTATGTTCATCAAGAAAGGACGAATTAGCTCCTCTCTTATCTCATAATCCCAGCCTGCAGGAATAACGATTGAATAATAATAAGATCTAAATTTATCTTTGCTGTCTATTTCTTGTTTCAAAATCAATTCTAGTGCGGAAAGTGCAATTGTGTCATGAACATCATAGTTGTAAGAACAATTTAGTTTTCTTTTCTGATACATTTCGTTTAGTCTTAAGTGGAAATTGTCCATGAAGTAAATATCTTGATCCATTCTAAATTGGTTTTGCATCTGAAGGGCCTCTTCGCCCCAAGCCAGGATTTTCTGACTGACGACATTATACAATATGACAGCCCTTTGTGATCTCTCGTTACTTCAACCAAATTACTTAGTACCGAGCCTAGTTTTACACTTGTTAATACTTACTGATTTATATGGATCTGATCATTTAAAAAATGAAATGGAAACATTCCCATAAATAAATTATCTGGCTCGAACCCTACTTCTTGTAAGTTTATCGTAGGTGCACTTGAGGTTTTTTTACTAACGTATATATAGACAGTGCGTGTGTTGTGAATAGTCATAGTATTCTTCCATATTTCACAAATTGTTGAAGGCAAGGTAAACAAACCTAATTATTCGATTATCTTCGATTGTAGCACTCAGGTTTAGTGTCACCAGTAATTAAATTCGACCATAATCTGTACAGAAAATGGGTGACAATCTTAACATGTAATGAAGCCGGAAGTGAAGTAGACGTTATATATGAAGGTGATCTTATCTATATAACTTATGAGCACCCATCCTAATACCTTAAACAATGCTTGTATAATCGTAACTGGGCATACATCCTTTATTCTGGCAAAAACGTTGTATCACCTATCAATCAGTCACCGAACGGTGACACGGAGATGAAAGAGTAGTGATGTCTAGAGATACGCTACCTACATTGCCAGAAGGTTCAGCATAAATTGTGTACTTTTAACACGGATCTTAATAGCGCGACATCATATCTAGTAAAGAAAAGAGTTTGAAAGTCCAGTGACGAAGTCGCTATGCAGGAAGTAAACCTTTTAATTTGTATTTCTTTCCGTTTAAATAATTATTACGGTCACTAATTTCAAGGAAAAGTTTGAACTTCAACACTCAGGTAGCCAATTACTATCTCTTAATCGTTTAAATCAATGGCTCAACCAGTTTGACGATCCTAAACTGTACGCGTTTGACAAAACTTGAAATTCTGCATGACTGAAATACATTTGACACACATTAACACTCTAAAACGACCATTAGGCAAGAGCATGTTACCGTTCTATCACCAGTAGTGGGACTAACAAATCTTAACTGATAAAAAGCATGCTCATAGTTGTTTTAAAGCGCACTTCCCAAGCCAAACAGTTAGTCGTGGCACACAGGTAGCTATCCAAAATACACAAATGGTGTAAAAAAAATTATTCCATATTCAGAGTTTCTTTATTTAGAAAAGGGGTACCGATTTAAATAAAAAAAATGACTAAAGAAATACAAGGGAGGTTTAATAGAAGAAACCGAGAACCTTACCACCAGCATGCTTGGCACGAGCCTCTTCGTGATCCATGATACCAGCAGAGGTGGTCAAGACGATGTGACCGAATTGACGAGCAGGCAACAAGTTAGCGGTCCACTTTTCGATTTCAGTAACCTTGATGTTGAAACGGGGAGAGATAACACCACACTTGTTAAGACGACCGTTAAGTTGGATAACGATCTTACCGGAACGATGGTCATCGATTTCCTCGAACTCACCAATGTAACCTAGAATTTGAGCAAGGTAAGTAAAAAAGTTTTTTTTGTGAATAAAAAAAAAAGAGAGAATTGAAAAAGAATGTGTCTGTTCTATAAACAATACTCAACACGGTGTACCAGTTGAGCAAGTGTAAGAGAATGAAGTTAATCTTCCGTCAGATTTAAAGGTCGAAGCTCGTGAAAGTTTTTGCAAACTCCAACTAGTTATACTGCGGGTTGTATCCAATTGTGGTTCTCCCCCAAGATCTCAAAATGTAGATTTCTAATTCTCTCTTTTTTTCAAGTTACTATTAAGTCGAATGCTTACCGTGCTTTTGCATGATGGACAAGAACTTGATGATGACCTTGGAAGAAGGACGGACGAGGACTTGTCTCTTTCCACGCTTTTCGGCGTTGTTGATGTTGTTAAGACAATCGTTCAAGACGGAAACTCTGACCATTTTAGGAAATCTAAGGGAAACATGTGTCAGCAAATGGTGAAAAGGCAAAATAGCGGAAATGAGTGTCGCATCCATTTATAGATCCGATTCATTAAGGCAATTATTTTTGCACTTTCCATAGTAATTTGCAACCAAGTAAGTAGCTACATGCTTTTACTTGATACATCAAACACTATTGAGGATGGATGGCCGTATATATAAATGGATGCATTGGATGGATAATTTACCTGTTGTAAAGAAGAGGGAGATCTCAGACTGTACAACAAATATTTCCAAGATATACAAACAAAAAGTCAATTTTGGATAAGCCACAATTTTTGAAAGTCAAAAAAAATTAATTCTTCAATCTCGCGATTTAAACCAGTCGCGCTGCAGCACAGCTGATATCCTCTTAAGGATCTATATTTGACATTTTTAAAGGCCTTGATCTTCTGACGAACTGCTTTGTCAATATGTATAAGTATATCTATTTATATAAAGTCTAGAATTTTTTTCAGGGATAGTAAGCTTTCTGCAGTAATTGCATTGACACTCATAGCTACTTTATGTGGTTAACCACCAATTAATGTTACTGAACTTGGGATTGTTCTTTTATAAACAAGTCTGCCCTAAGATATGCTGCAAAACTTCTTTTATTCATTAGTTACAAAGACTTATTTGCAGATGCGTCACATATCCCCGTCTAACGGGTCCTTTTTTTAGAAAAAAAGAAATCCAATATAACGGTACAGGTTGATTACAAAAACGTATATGGTTATAACGATACAGAATTCATAATTACAAGAAATTACAAAAAGCTGCTCATAATTAGATCCTTAGACATTAACAAACTTTGTGGCCTATGTTTATTGACTACAATAATTGGTTATTGGCCAACGATTTTTTGCCAAGGCAAGGATAATAAAGGTACGCGTAGGCGTAGCATGAAATTGTAGACCTTGTCAACCCCCAGAATCTGTTATTCGTGAAAGCACTATAATACATATGTGATGTTTTCGTTCGTGTGCACCAAAGTTTGCTTTCAATGTCTTGTCTGGACATTCCGCCGATGTTCCTGTTTAACAAGCATTCAATCGCTCGTGATATACACACTATATATCCAGCCTATAATCTACTTGACATTTAATAGCAATCCGGTACTGAAACATAAACCATTACCCGATCAAGATATTAATGTCTACTTCCAATCCACGCTCCCATCTGATCTTCCCGGATAACAATCTATTTCAATCCTTCCTTATAAAAAGGATCCCCTTTCCATTTAATAAAAAGATATCTAGTTTTAGTCTCAAATAATTTAACCGTTTATTTCTTGGAATATTTCAGCTCGTGTGCTGTGAATATAATATATATATACTGTCCACAAGATCGATGCATTTGATGTATTACGGAGATGTATAAGACAGTGAGGATAAACTGGACCCATGTTGACTCAAATAAGTATAATTAAAGTACTTTTTACTAATCTCCAAGGTCTTATTTAATAGCTGTAACAAAATAAATTTTGATTTAAAAAAAAATAAAGAAAGTGAGTTTCTTTTAGTTCCCAACAAGAAGTTGGTTAACAGGTCAGACCACGAAAAGGTGAAAGCACGTCCTGGCCCAAAGAGGGTTTTACTCTCTATTTTCTTACTCTTACAATTCTTGTGTACTCGAAATACCCGCTTACTTCTAGATTACAGGTGACTCTAATATCTTCCACATGCTGCCTACCCACAATGCACAGCAAGAGAAGTATAAAAGACCCAACTGCCACCGACGCTATGTTGGGGTGACGTTTTTTTCAACGCGTTCACAGCAAAATGGTATCGCATATTGGACCAACAGTTGGTTTAGGACTAGATACCCCGTACCCACAGGAAATAGTGACGAGGGCGATGACCAATACATGCTATAGGGCAACTTTACTATTTCTAGCATGGTAATAAAGTGTCCGGCATGGTTGCTATGAATACCACCTATTAAGAAGATAAAAAAGGTTTCTCCAAAGCCTACGTTTACGCCCAAAAATCAGTACATTCCCTTTAGTCATTTAAACCATCTTTCTTCCGAGAAAGAGAGTTGTTGCTGAGTTTGATAGGTGTGCTGTTTCAAGGATGTAACCCAAAAGCTACAATTAAAACCATGACAGAAAACATATAGACATACAGAATAACTACTCAAGTCATAACTTTCAAAAAAACAAGCTTCTTGAAAGAGCTACACCAGCAAACAGCAAGTCTTCCGGACGATTCGCGGATTTTAAAATATTGCCCGATCCCGATACTAGAAGTTAAGAATAAAGATGAGTAAAGAAAAAAGAGTGAAGAACTGAGAAATGCGCAGCTCTTCCTTTTCATCAAAAAAAAAGGCTTGGACATGACGATGTGTGGGATTATTGTCTTCAATTCACTACTTTATCACATAAAAGTAGTATTATCAGACGCCTTAAAATGCTGAATCCAACCATGTAAAGAACACTGTGTCGTGTAAGACACTTTGTGCCATAAAAAAAATACTTGAACCTATTATTTTTGTCTGTGTAACCACACCCTAAAATAAAATGTGCGTGTGACCATAAAAAAAGTGTAGTTTTACGCGTCGTTGATTTGAAAGCCGGTTCTTCATTTTTTAAAACAAGGATCTTTACTATGCCCCAATTAGCACCTACCCAGAAGCAAATGCAGTCGTAAGAAGAATGAAGGCGTAATAACTGCGCAAATGGTTCGTGATTTAAACTGTATTTAATTTGCAATCGAACGTGCCATTGAACGCTGCGAGTAATCAAATTCTTTTGGGAGAAAAGTTGGTGGTGGAAGGCCCGAGATCTTTAACGATAGAGGCTGAAGAGAACTGATTTACTATGTTTTACCTCATACATAAAATGTCCCTGCAGGAATTCTGGCCAATGTGGCTGTCAACTCGAAAAAGAACACGTTTAGGATAGAGCTCCAACGTCTCAATTGGATAAGCTGTATAGCCAAAAGCGAATCTTTCGTCAACAAGAAACTAGAGAAAAAAAAATATTTTAAATTTTCCAAAGAGCATGAAAATCCGGATTTGGATGAATGGCTTTGAGTTATTTGGGACGATAGATAAATGCAGTTTTCAAACCTGTTACTCGTCTTCTCATGTCCGTGCTCGACGAGGGCCGAGGGGAGCCAAGATTTCTTCTTGTTTAGCCCCAAAGTTTAGAAGTGGAAGGTCTCCCTTGTCAATTTGGGGTGGTATAATTTACAATTGTCGAACTTTAACAGAGAACAGTGATCAAATAGTGATTTCATAGATCAAGTCTACGAACCTGTGTTGAAGGACTTCTACAGCAGCTATAGCTCACCAACTCTTATGGAATATATGCACCGGTTCATACTGCAAAAGTTGCCCGAGAATGGAAGGAAAATCACCACATTGTACAGTAAGACTGGCCTGATCTTAATCCGATCGAGAGTTTTTATAGCGCAGTACAGAAAAGTGTCGTAAGTATGTTCAAAGACAGAGTCATTGAGAATACATATCGACTCTGAATGGAATGCATTGCGTATTATCATAGATAATGTTTTTTTGTATATCCAGTTAAATCTGACTGCAAAAAACAACAGGAAGGTCCTTTGAATCTTTTACATATAAATCCTTTATAAATTGTAGAGTCGTAAAATGATATCTTTATCTTGTAGGGAACTGTGTATGTTATATGTTCAGGCAATACGCAGGTTCGCCTCTTGATAGTACCAATCTGAATGGAATTTTCCATTCACAATTTAAGTTAAAACCGATTGTCTGTCAATAATTGGATAAGAGATTTACCCGAAATTTAGTTCGTTGTATCCAAAGTGTGGTTGGTAAACCCCAAACGAACGAGTGTTGCTAACTTTAAGTATTTTATCAATTGTGTATCTCAGTCAATATCTCTTCTGGTAGGGTTGAATCATAAGTATGTTTAGGAATTTATTATAATATATATAAACCTGTTTAAAAATGTAATTTGTATTCAAAAATGGATATAGATTATGGTATAAACGACCAAGTGCCATTTATTATAGGTTTAGCACATTAAGTGTCTGTTTCGATATTTTATTTCATTTTAGTAGCCAGTCTCTCTTAAAACCAAAATCCAAACTTAAAGTCAACTGTTGAAAGGCTAAGGAAAGTTTTCTGGGATTTTGGGTGATCCCTTCAATAGTTTACTTTCGTTCTCACTTCAATAAAAGCAATTAAGGAATGTAAGAGACTTTATAGTTTAGACATTCAAGGATCACACTGTTCCGAAAAAAAAAATTACTTTAGTCAAATGTAAATGTGATGCCAATATCCAACATAAAATATATTTGTATAGCTAAAAGTATATAGCCAGGATAACTATAAATACAATATTTATTTATATAAAATGAGCGCATAATTCAAATTTGAAAGCAGCAGAAGGGGTCAAAGCATTATAAAAAAGGAAAGAGCGATTTACAAATTGAAACGCCGCTTTAAATTCAATTTTCTACTTTGAAAGCCGCCCCTTGGTGTTGCTTCTTACATGGCATACGCCATCACATGCATGTGGCTCGTGATATATTGTCTGTAATTGAACGCAATTCTTTTGACATTTAAGTTTAAGTTGTTCGCCAAGTTACCGAATAAGCTATAATATAAAATTGTTCGAACGCATTCAAAAAGATGAAGATCACGTCAGCAGGTTGTAATTAGGACGCTATTAATGCACTACGTATATCCCGACCGTAGACAATAGAAATGATCTATGGAAAGATATGCTGTCAGAATGACTCTTGCAAGTTTTTCCAGAATTATCTTCCGTTGGAACCATGACGTTAGATGTGGCATAAAAGAAAATCCGAAGAAGAATTCTAATTCCCGCAGCATTTTTTAACAACCTTTTTTTTAGTAAAACACTTGGATCAAGAAGAAAAAGATCGTCAAGCGCCAGAAAAATCAAGAACTTTGGGTCGAACAAACTGATTCGCTAAACCGATCTTGGTCCAGATCATTAATCCCTGAAATGCCCATCATGTATTACCAAAAATGTAAAACGAGGGTAAAAACGGGGATTTTCTCAAGAGTCCTAAATAGTAAATTTGCCTGTTTTTGGCTCTTTAATGACATTTTTTCAACAAGATTAGGCGGATAACATTAAAGGCGAGCCATTTTACCGGGAAGAACCGTTCGCCTTGTTTTCTTTTACTCTTATTGGTAATAGTGTGATTAACTTTAAACTATTCACGACTTGCTCTAATTAAATACATTGGTTTTATTGGAGCACACTTCTTTTTTTGTTATTTACATAAATGCCTGTCGCTTTTTTTTTGCTTTTAATTATCTTCTTCTTGCTGAAACGAAATTCAATTGTATTCTGGCACGCATGACCTTTTTTTACCACTGGGCTTTATTTCACAATCACCAACAAATGTGGGATTTTGCACATCTTACCAACCAAACAGTAATCACCATGTGATGACTATGTTTTGAATACATTTGTGTCCTTGGTAGTGATAACAACCAAATATTAATATTACGTGTCACTTAATCATCAACCAACAACAAACATCGTACCAGGTATTAAACAAATATTATTACGCTTATGGCGTTTTCTTTTAACCGCTGCAACTCCGAAATATTATTCTGACTCGCAGGATTTTGACTAAACTCCCGCTCCCCCGTTTGTTTCCACTTGCCTATTCTGCAAGGTTGATCTGCTTATTCTTTTTTTAATTTAAAAATAAAAAAAAGGTAAACATATTTTATTTAACATTTGTTATATGTTTCAAGGTCATACACATTATTTCATTTTTATTGTTCTTTTTTTCTCTCTCTTTTTTTTTTGCACTTAGTGTACACGATTTGGCATATTTCTTAGAAAAAAAAAATAGAACGTAAAAAGGTATAGGCGACGAACGCAAGTCAGTAATGCAAGATATCGGATTGGAGTTTTATTTTTCAGCCAATCAAAATCGAGTATATGTTTAGATTTTCGATTAAACTGTGGATAAATGCGATACCGGATGCGATCATAGATCAAGCTGATTCTATATAAATAGGAGCTGTCTAGACAATAGTTTTTTTTTGTCCTCATTAATTTTCTTTACTATTTTTTATTCTACTCTAATACCTCTAGGAATCTAATTCCATCTAATATGTCTGATCAAGAAAAACCAGAACGTAGACTGTCGAATGCTAGTGTAGCTACTACAGTTACCGATTCTTATACAATTAATGAACCTACTCCTCTTCAAGAAATCACATCGTATCGCGAGCAAATTCGTGAGCAATTACCTCCTGGTGTTCTTGCTACAAAAACCTTATCAATTCACCCTTACCCTTCAAAAACAAATGATCTTGAAGCTATGAATTCTCGCATCATGTCTCATCAGTCTGAGAAAAGACCTGTGATGCACTATGTTAATTGGGATGTCAATGATCCTGAGTGCCCTTACAATTGGAGTCATTCATACCGTTGGGTTCTAACTATGGGTGTTGCTTCACTTGTTGTTTCTGCTGCTTTTGGCTCTTCAATCATCACTGGTAGATTAAACGGTGTAGTGGAATCATTTGGTTGTTCTGAAGAAGTCGCTATTCTTCAAGTCTCTCTTATGGTCTTTGGTTTTATGATCGGTCCTCTTCTTTGGTCTCCTGTTTCTGAAATCTTTGGTCGTAAGCCTGTTTATATCTTTGCTCTTGGTATCTATGCTATCTTTAATATTCCCTGCGCTGTTGCCAAAAACATTGAAACTGTCTTGGTTTGTCGTTTTCTTGCTGGTTTCTTTGCCTCTTGTTCTTTGACCCTTGCTGGTGGCTCTATTGCCGATATTTGGCCTACTGAACACCGTGGTAATGCCATTGCTTATTTTGCTGCTGCGCCTTATGCTGGTCCCGTCCTGGGTCCACTCGTTGGTGGATGGATTTCAGTTGGCACACAAAATTGGAGATGGATCTATTGGGTAAGCTACTTCATTACATCTAAATAGAACACTCGAGAACTAACAATCATTTTTACAGGTCAATACCATATTTGCCGGTGTTATTTGGGTTATTGTCTGTCTTTTACCTGAAACTTATCATCCTATTCTTCTCGCTAAACGGGCTAAGCGTATGAGAGAAGAAACTGGCGACCCAACTTATGTTACAGTCGAAGAAGAATTCCCTGTTCCTTTGTCCGAGCTTGTTCAAGCTAATTTGGTCCGACCTTTTGTCATGTTGACTACCGAACCTATTCTTATTTTAATGTCTTTGTACATTGCTATTGTTTATGCTTTATTGTATGCTTTCTTCTTCGCTTATCCTATTGTTTTCGGTGAAGTCCATCATTTCAATGACGGAGAAATTGGTTTGACATTTATTGGTATCCTTATCGGTACTGCCTTAGCCTTATTAGTTACACCCATTTTCGAAAAGAAGTATACTCAGACCATCATCGCTAAAGGTGGAAAAGCTGATCCTGAAGATCGTCTTCCAGGTATGATGTGTGCTGCCCCTTTTGTTCCCATCTCTCTCTTTATTTTCGGTTGGACTTCTTTCCCTTGGTGCCATTGGATTGGTCCCGCTATTGCAGGTGTACCTTTTGGTTTTGGTATGGTCATTGTCTATTACTCTGCCAACAATTATATCATTGATTGCTTCCCACGTTATGTCACTTCGGCCTTGGCTGCAAAGACACTGATTCGTTCTGGTTCAGGTGCAGCTTTCCCTCTTTTTATCACTCAAATGTATCATGCCTTAAACAATCAATGGGCCAGTACTCTACTCGCATTTATTGCTTTAGCTATTGTACCTATTCCATTTGTATTTTACAAGTACGGTGCTCGTATTCGTGCCTCATCTAAGAGTGCCGCTTAATTTACCCATATTCTTAGATTTTAGCTTACATTTCTTTATCTCATAATTACCATACACATTAGTTCTATATTTATTTCCTAATCTTAATAAACTATTTATTATACAAAACAAAACACAGTGATTGGCATTACAATTATAACTTTAATAATTTTATTGAGGGTGGAAAATTATACAAATCCTCTTCCTCTCTCTTATGTTTTCTTGTATTATTCCAAAAAAAAAATCCAAAATTCTTCAATCGACAAACCTAGTCCTGTATATATTACACCGGTGCCTAGTATAGATCCGTAATATGGTCTCAGAAGGGACAATTCTTTAGGTTTGCCGGTTTAAATATTAACCTTCTTGTTCTTCTGAACTAAATATCATGGAACAAGTCTATATCAAAAAAAAAGGTAACCTAAACTGTATTAAAGTTCTTTTGCGTAGTACTACGGTAGAATTATTATTACAATGAACAATTGATCTGTACACAAATAAAGTCGAATGGTGGTAATATACCGTAGGGTAATTGAAGAGCCATTTTATGAAGGTTTACAAAACAAGTGTAACACATTCACTGAAGAATACCCACGATTGATTAAGACGCCATTATAAAGCGGTATATCAATAACTTCGTGAGAAAACTTAGTCATTTAACAACACATGTAATGTCATGGTAAGTCCTAATAAATGAAGTCAAACTTGCACATTTGACCTAAGCTCATGTGAAAACCCATGAGCACCCGTATTACATTCAAATTTCGAGTTCCGAAGACATGATTCTTATTAGATTGTTATCTCTTATTTCTTATAATACAGCCAAACTTGTCAGATTTGTCAATCATACCCGATACCAAACAATAGTGTAATTTTTGTCGACCGTATTCTCTCTTCTCTTTTCTTCTCTTTTATTCTCTTTACCTTTACCTTTACTTTTCTGACATATACACCTCGAAAGTATTCTTCTCTTCAAACCCACCTCTATTTTATTATCTATCAAAGGCTATATCAAATCTATAACATGACTAGTATCCACTACAAACCTTTAAATTTCTTGACTTAGTTTATTAGATACTCAAGCACTATCAATTTTTATTACTTCATACTTAGAAAGCGTGTATGTCAAAGTCGTTAAATTTCATTTTTTTTAAGCAATGTGTAATGTATACTTTAGAAGAAAAGAGTTAATTTATCCCTAAGTTTTGTTGCTTTTTATGATAATGCGAAAAGGTGTAAATATTTCCGAAAGCTGTCCACTTAATATTCGTTACTGTCGATGATATTAGGTTGTGCTTCTCAGAAAGTGTATTTTACCACTATTTTATTGAAAGCTATAATCGCGGAACACATAATCCGTATGATAAATAACTCATTTTTATGATTTATATGAACGTAATATGCGAGTACTCAAAATAAAATATTTATTGAGAAGTGCTACACTCTCAAAGTGTTTTGCCAACAAGGACACACTTGTTTTTTTTTAAAAAAAAGGAAATTGTATTTATTATAAACGGTATTGATAATCAAGCCGATTGTTTCCTTGGTCTCCATTCTCGTTTTGATATACATGCTTTTCGTAATCGCTCATGCTATTCCAAACTCGTCTTCTCCATTTGTTGGTAAGATTGTACCTTGTTCTTTGAAACAAAAATAATCCAATTGTCACAGCTTGCAACACGATGTTAATCTTATTACCCTGACGATATCTCGGGGCATCATTTGCCTCTGTAAGGTAGTACTGTCAATATATTTCAATTAACATGGCATATAACAATACTTGTCTTACTATATATCTGAGATCCGGGTACACCATTTATATTAGCCGCTCCAACAACTGCCGCCAAAGCCAAGGTTCTTTTTCCAATCGGTGCTATATTAGAGGACATCCAGGCCACTTGCATTCCATGCCATGAGGGCGCCGAGGCTGTAAACAGGGCTGCACCATAGAGCTGCCATCTTCCAACATTATCTGGTAACACCTCTAATAAAATGAACCCTAATAGAGCCCAGATTGTGCCTATCATTGCAAAAAATGTCACATTCCCACTTTTGTCAGACCATTGAGCAATAAAGATGGACCCTACAAGTCCAATAATATGAGAGGGTGCTGTTAATAAATTTGCGGAGGTTGTTGAAAATCCTGCGTCTTTAATCATAGTAGGTAAATAACTGGAAATAGGTGTACTTGACATCAATCTGTTCAACTGTATAAGTATATCAATATGAGGATTCCGATAGCAATATATTTACCCAATAAATGTGATAATAAGATGGGTCCAGAGATTAGTGTCAGAGAGAGCCTGAATAACGTCTTTACAAGCAATAGGTTTATCAAGCTCCTTCTTGGCTTCGTCGTCTCGCATAATACGCAAAGTTGCTATTCTGATCTGGCGCTTTGTTAACCATCCATCCTGACCTCTCAACCCACCTTCTGTCTGGCTTGGTGAAGAAGGTAAGTAAAAACTGTAAACAGTTGTATTAGTGAGCTAAAATATACAAACTAAACAAATATATATCACTCACAATGCAATTAGGCCAACAATGTGTGTTGCAATACCGTCAATGATAAAAAGCCATTTCCAACCCTCTAATCCATAAATACCTCTCATTCGAAACACACCGAATGAAATTAGACCAGATACGGCTGAAGCGAGTGCTTGTGCGCCCCAAAACCAGGCCAATCTTGTTGCCAATTCGTTTGTTTTGTACCACAGGGACATATAACTCAGACAGGCCGGAATGAATCCTGCCTCGGTGAGTGCAATCGCCGCTCTTATTATAATAAAACCCGTAAAATTCTTTTTTTGATGAAACGTTTCAGCAAATCGTTAAATTAACGTTTGATAGACACCTACATGTATCAGAGCGTGGGCCCATGTTACAACAGCCCAAGAAGTCATTAAAATGGGTATCCAAAGATGCGCCCCAACAGCTTTGGATATTGCGTTGGAAGGTAATGTGCATGCTGTAAAGACAAAGTAATAGACAGAGATTCCTGTATTTACACCGTCATTAGTAAAACCCAAATCAGCGGCGAGATTGTCTGACATGGCATTGGCTATTTTATTTTAAAAGAATTAGATTCTGTATGTCATTAAAATTTTGGAAATATTTACATATATTGGTACGATCCATATTTAAAACAAATGTCATTAAAAGTATAAACGACATAAGGTGTTTGTCAATAATATATAAAACTTCGTCTTCTTCTTCTTGTGTCCATTCAAGCTCATTATCATCAAAAGAGGTCTCCTCTTTTTTGGCTTGTGTTATAGATTGATATGATATGTGTTTAGATGAGGATGATTTTGCCATGGTATTTACAGTATTTAAAATAATTTAGAAGAACAAAGATAATATCCAGGGATTTTGTTTTTTATGTTTCGAAAGTGTGTAATCGAAATACAAATAGTAGCACCTAATTTTGGATTCTGAATCGCAATCACTTCAAGTGTAACACAGCATGCCCACACCTGCTGTCAATGGCGAGATTTAGAGAGGCAGTTGCACCATTTTTGTAACCTTATCCCACGGCTATCAGATTTTTTTTTAAAAAAAATAAAACTTTTCTTCTCGTATCTATGACGAAAAGACTTTATCAGAGGAACATTTTTTTAAATCATGAACTCAGATGACTTACACTTGTTAAGTGCTTAATCTTAACTATACAACTTACCAAATATTTGGGTGCATAAAATCTGACTAAAACAGGAGAGATAATTGGCTAAAGAACGCGGTGCGCATATCAGTTAAATAATGTCCTATACTATTATATTGTATTTCTGGGAGTAATATGTATTAATGACCAAGAGGTAGTGCAACAGCAAGTCAGGGGGGCAAAATAACACAAAAGTACATATACATGCAATACAATTTTAAACAAAGAATTGCACAATAAGCACCGAATTAATAAACATTTCGTTTCCCCCCCTATGTTTGTTAAAAACAGGGATATAGCTAATTATTTAATGTGAATAGCTATATGTAACAATGAACAAAATAGGTATTTACCAGCAGAATATAGGAGTATGTTTAATTATTGTAGCAATATATAGTCAGTCAAGTGAATTAACAGTAATAAATAAATAATTAGAAATTGGTATGATTTATTAGATATTATTAACAAGGGTTCATGAGTTTCTCATAAGTATAATCTTTCTTTAATTGTCGATTGGAATCCAATAAACCAAAGTGGCTTTCTACACCTGGTTTGTAACCTTCATCAATAGCGGAAAACCAAATCATGTCGATTTCTTGTTGCTTGGTTCTACAGAGAGTTTGAAGTAAGAAGCTATAAAATGGGTTAGTTATAATGATCCTTCTGTATAATTGAAACATACTTTTTCTGGTTCTCAGACGATGGAATAGATGCCATGTTTTGATCTCCTTGATCTGGCCAACCAGTTTCAGAGATACGAACTAGTTTACCATTTGACATATCCTTTACAGATTGATAATGTGCCATCAAGGTATCTGTAGCTTGATCCACATTAATACCTTCCCAGTAAATAAAAGCATTCCTTTTATTCTATGCGTCAGAACAGGCATGACAATTAGCAAAAAAAAAAAGGAAGACTTACATCATAACAAAATCGACAGCGTTAATAATCTCAGGCGTGAATTTATAATATACGTCCGCGGTTGTCACTTTTGTTTGACCTAAGGGACTGACCAAGGACTTGACTTTCTCGATACGATCTACCAATTCATTTGGCTCCAAGTCACCTCTGTACATTACTTCAGACCCCACAATAATAGCCTCAACGTTATAAAAGCGATTTGATTCCGCAATAGTTTTCAAAGCACTGAACTCTCTATCAAACGAGTCAGACTTATCGACCCACATGCCCAAATAGAGTCTCAGTTTGGTCGCTTGTGAGGCCTTCAATGCTAGCTCACCTAGATTGCAGTCCTTGATGGAGTAAATACGAACTGTATTTGTGTATTGGGATAGAATCCGAAAATCACGTTTGACATCTTCTAACGTAGGGCATGCATACATATTGACACCATAGTTCAAGCCATAAAATGCAGAAGAGGCAGCCAGAGTAGATGAGACTAATGAAGCAATGGATAGAATGAGAGATAGATTAAGCATGATGAAAAAGATAAAGAGTTGATTTAATGGAATTGTAAAAAAAAAGTTATGCCTTTTATTTATGAAATTCGACACATATTTGACATTTAAAAGGGGTGATATGTACTTATACCTTCCTATGTGAGTTTGGAACCAAGTTTAATCCCCGGTGCGCGACGTCATTCATTTTTTTGTGGAGACCAGAGCCATCCTGGGGTGAGATTAAGGGCCAAACAAAAAGAAAAAAAAAAAAAAAAAAGAAAAAACTGGTAACAAGGTGCCAATTAGATATTTTGTCTTCCTCTTCTTACCTCAACCCCCAACTCTTTTTTTAATTTAAATTACACCCCCCTCTTTTTTTTTGCGGTCAATGTTGAGAACAATTACCGTTAAGCGTGGTAATTTAATTTAAACGAATATAGGAATTGAATTTGAATGTTTACATTTCTCTTTAATTTTTAAAAGCTGCACCTATATTAGCTCGCCAAGTAAGAGCCATTCCTTCTGTAGCACGTACATTTGCTACTGAAGCTACTCCCGACCCAAATGCCAACCCAATTACAGGAAAGACCACCTACGGTAACCTTTCTGATCAAGATCGTATTTTCACCAACCTTTACATGAAGCACGATTTCAAATTGAAGGGTGCTTTGAAGCGTGGTGATTGGTACAAGACCAAAGAGATTGTTCTCAAGGGTACCGATTGGATCATTAAGGAAATGAAGGAATCTGGCCTTCGTGGCCGTGGTGGTGCTGGTTTCCCCACTGGTCTCAAGTGGAGTTTCATGAACAAGCCTTTGGATGGCCGGTAATTATTAATACTTTCTAATGATTATCGATATTGTATTTACACTGAACTTGTAGCCCTCGTTATCTCGTTATCAATGCTGATGAAGGTGAGCCTGGTACCTGTAAGGATCGTGAGATTCTTCGTGGTGACCCTCACAAGTTAGTCGAAGGTTGTCTTATTGCTGGTTCTTCCATGAAGGCCAATGCTGGTAATACCTATATCTGAAGTAAAAACAATATATGTCGTATTTACCGCTCTTTTTTTAATATAGCTTATATTTACATTCGTGGTGAATTTTACCAAGAAGCTAACAACCTTCAAATCGCCATCGATGAAGCTTATGCTGCCGGTTTGATCGGTAAGAATGCCTGTGGAACTGGAATGGACTTTGATGTTTTCATCCATCGTGGTGCCGGTGCTTATATTTGTGGTGAAGAGACCAGTTTGATCGAATCTATTGAGGGTAAGCAGGGTAAGCCCAGAATGAAGCCCCCATTTCCCGCTGATGTCGGTCTTTTCGGCTGCCCTACAACTGTTACCAACGTCGAAACTGTTGCTGTTGCTCCCACCATTCTTAGACGGTAATTTGAAAAGAAAGTTACGCAAATTAAGTGTATACTGAAATTGACCATTTTTTTTTGTTGCTAGTGGTGGTTCTTGGTTCGCCAGTTTTGGTCGTGCTCGTAACTCCGGAACTAAGCTTTTCTGTGTCAGTGGACATGTTAACCACCCTGCCACTTTCGAAGAAGTTAGTATAGATTGCCCTGAAATAGAGAATGTTATATTGATCTTATTTGTTCATTAGGAAATGAGTATGCCTATGAAGGAGATGCTCGAGAAGCATTGTGGTGGTATTAGAGGTGGCTGGGACAACTTGCTCGGTGTTATTCCCGGTGGTTGCTCCGTCCCTGTTCTCCCCAAGAGCATCTGTGAAGATGTTTTGTAAGTCGATTAACGGAAATGACAAAACCACAATAATATTAAACCCATTTTATAGGATGGATTTTGATGCTCTTCGTGATGTCCAATCTGGTCTCGGTACCGGTAAGTGATAGATGCAGATATTTAATTTGTATGCATATGCTAATTTATGTTGTCAAAATCTTTCTTAAAATGTATAGCTGGTAAGTTTTTTTTTTTTTTTTTTTTTTTTTTTTTTTTTTTTTTGAGAAAAGATCTTTTTAAATTAACTCTTTGTTTATTAATTAGCTGTCATTGTTATGGATAAGTCCACAGATATTGTTGGCGCTATTTCCAGATTCGCCAAGTTCTACCGTCATGAATCTTGTGGACAATGTACACCTTGTAGAGAAGGCACAAAGTGGCTCGAGTCCATGATGGATCGTTTTGAAGTCGGTCGTGGCCAAAGAGAAGAAATCGATCAAATTTGGGAATTAACAAAACAAATCGAAGGTCACACTATTTGTGCTTTAGGTGATGCTGCTGGTAAGTTTCTTAAATATGTGCTACTCGTCAAAAACTAACCTACCTTACTTTCTTCTTTTTCTTAACAAAGCCTGGCCAGTACAAGGTAAATAATGCAGACGCGCGTACTCAATAAAATGTTTAATTCATTATTTTTTTGTAGGTCTCATTCGCCACTTCAGACCCGAGTTAGAAGCTAGAATGGCCAAGTTCAACCAACAAAACCAAATCCAACAATAATGGAACCGATCCCATAATTTACATATTCTATTAAATTTTTTGTTTTTCAAATAAAATTCACGCAAAAAAATTATTAATATTTCTACCTGGGTTAAGCACAAGCATTTCCCGAGGAAACGTCAGCTATTGTTAAGCTGAAAGGGGCCATTTATGATGGCAATTCGAATCCAAATGGAAATTTTGTAATACTATTCTAGTTTAAAGCCTTTGAATTATGTTTTGAAACAATGTCTAATATCGTTGGGCCTCCTGATTTAAAATTATAAATGTAAAATAGACACTGAACCGCTTTCATATATCACAATACTCTGATGCAATATCTAGGCCGAGCTTGTATCGCATGAAGCTAATGGGTTCGCTCCATGTTTCACTCTTGGCTCTTTATTTACTACGCTTGACATGAGCAATGTTGTTAACAGAGTTGTTTTATAAAAAAAATGTTTCTATAAATTACATGAGATACTGTACACTCATATCTCTTTCTTTATTAATATATACAGTCGCTTAATAAGGTTTATGATATCTCTTTAATAATGCGTTTTATCAATATCGGCCGACGTTCCATACCACCATTTCGAAATACCGGAATTCTCTAACCAGCCCCTAGAGTTCTGGCGGGTCACCGTGGATCGAATGGACCGATGATCGTTGTAATCCAGAGGGTCGTTGTATTGGGTTGGGTTAACTGCTGTAGCAGAATCATCCATCATGATATGATCTGGTGGCTGAATGTAGTAGATAAAATAAATAACGATGAAGATAAGAATAATAAAGATCCAACCGCCAATGATTATATAAATGACTGCAAGAGGACCCAGACTTTGTGCCGCATCTGTATCACTTAGAATTGCAACCAGTGCTGAAGTCCAAAGAATACAAGTAAACGAAGCTGTTCTAAAAAAATTAATCTGAAAAAAAAAATGAGCACATGCAACAGAACGATGATATTTTTAACAAAGTTTACCTTATCAACGTAGCATGGCCTGGTTTTGATATTGTAGCAGATCATTGTTAACAAGATGGTGATGGATAAAATTGCTCGCATACGGTTCACATTAGTTGTAGATTCAACTAGTAAAAATACAATGGCGAGTAGTAAACCTAATAATTGTGAGTTTTTGTTTCTCTCTCTTCTTTCTGTATTGGCACTTACCCATATTTTTAATAAATGCAACACTGATGGATTTGTAGGCAATCTCATTTTTTGTTGGCACTCTTTCATAGCTGGTCAAAAATATGGTCATAATAAAATAAGCGATGATGTATCCCACTAATGAGATCCAAAAATAAAGTTGACGAGATATATTAGACGCATTGCAACGAAGTGTCATATTAAAGTCATTAGACGGTATATTTAAGGATTGGCAAGCTGCAGAACTCACGAAAGTTGTCTACATAATTTGAATGTTAGCACCTAATAAATGGCCAGCGTGCAAATCCATACCAATATCGGAATATATAATAGAGTCTGTTTGCAAATATTAATACTTTGGTTTTACAATTGTTTGTTAAAACATACTTACAGCAACGGGGATACACCAGCGTACCCAACGGGTAGATAGCTTATATGGATATTTCCAGTTGATGCAATGAATTATCAGAGCTAAAACTAGGCTCAGCATGATTGTAGCAAATGTAGTCCAAAGAGAGTAAGTGTACCAACTAGGCGTTCTCATATCTGGCATCAAACCACCTGCATTTAAAATAAAGGACACCAGTTGGGAGGTCTGTAGTTGACTTGATGATTGACTTGCTTCAAACGACGTGACAGTAATCAAATCTCTCAGAGGGAAAGTCATCAACTGAAAGAATTCGATAATGAGAATTGTGATTTGGACCCAATTAGACCACATTGATTTATCCCAGTCGGAAAATCGAGTGTCATAGATGGCATTGATATGAGCGTCATCGTTTCCATAAAGTTTTCTCCGTTCCATGTAATAGCATCGCTGCCTGGTGATCAGATACAAGTTGACAGACAATACAAGAACAAATAAGGCTGCCTGTAATAGTAATGTGGAAGAAGTGGCTGTGGTTGAGGAAGTGACAGCACCAACTAAAATAGCTAATGTGATGATAAAGCTTATGATAAATAATAAGGAAAATAGGTGATATATTCTTGAATTGTACACTCTCTGATGCTCATGCGAAGCCAAAGGTAATATATCGTCCGCTGGGTTCGTAACTGTCTGTGGTAAAGCAGTGGATGTTACATGTATTCTTTTCCAGACGACAATGGCAAGCGTAAAAATTGGTATTCTAAAGGTTGTTTTTACTTGACTGGATATATTGTCTATGAGAAGATAGATTTCTTGTTGCTGACCAACTGCCTGGTCTCCTCGTTTAAGTGCTGGTATTTTGTGTCTTTCTGTGTACCAAAAGTAAAAGACAAAAGATAGTAATAATAATGCAATAATGGAAAAGAATAAGGCGATAGAGACAGTGTCGTTGGCCTGATAAAGAGAAGTTGACGTTGAATTGTATTGTTGTTGGTAGGACGCATATCCTATTGAATTGTTATTGTTAGCCGGCATTTTTTAGAATTATACCGCTACTTGAAAGAAAAAGAGGACAAAAAAGTTGCGGGGCAAAGAAAGGCAATACAAAAATGAAATGAAATTACCTTTTTAGGAAGCATGTTTTTTAGACAATAACACAACCTTCATTTGATTTCCGATGAATTATCATCATTGTGTTAAAGCGCATGTAGTACATACATTTTGGAAGGTAAGGAAAGGTTTCTGGGATGTCCATTGCCTCATTATTATGCATGGTTCTATTTGGGGTCAATGTTTTCATAGCTTTCGCACGAATTGGTGCCATACTTACCACGGGAACTGGTCAAATATTGACTATCCTTTTATGCGAAGAGCTTAAATACAACTGGTATCTTATACTGATCTACAATGATCATAAGCACAATATATCTTTTAAAGGTATCTAAAAAGTTGCACAAGTTCATAAGAAAAATTAATGGGAGTACTGAGAATAAGGTATTTTTTGTTTGATTCAATTAGCGGGCATATAAACTTTGGATGGAAACTATAGCAGTATGTACTTTGCTTACTGCTGGAAAATATTCCAAAAGCGATATAATGAATATGAACACTCGTTAAATGAAAATCAGCAGTAAAGTTTGTATCATAGGTTCAAACACGAACCGAATAATGACATCAAATACGCTTGCTCTATGAGCCGCCAATAACATCAGTAACAAGAAGAGAAAAGCATGTGTCTTGCTACGATATCAGAACCAGTGAGCTAATTCCCTATAAAAATTATTATTTTCAAACTTTGAGAGGTCATCAAAAGGGCCGCCTAAATTCGCTTCTCAAAATGGAAAGCGGTCCCTGTCCTTCTTTCTCAGAATGGACAAGGAAAAAGAGCAATTTCTCAAACAAAAGGCCGCTCTTAAAGAGCAGATCTTGCTTAAATTAGAGACGATGCAAACGAATATCAATCTGATGAACACCAACATACAAACGTTAAACTCCATTAGTCAACAATTCGATGAGACATCACAGTTATGGACTTCTTTTCATCAGAAATTACGTGCAAATGAAACTGACCAGAACAATGTCAATCACCAAAACCAAAGCACCAAGACACAATAATAAAAAAAAAAAAACCCGTTTTCTACACCAGTCCAAATAGTGGCAGATTGACCACAAATTATAGCAGAATAACATATATTTTGATGTGTTTCGTGTGTGTTAAACGTGTGTAGTTACTCTTGTGATTGTATAAAAGGGTGCCGCATACCATAGTTGTAGTGCTGTTGATAAATTTTGAGCAATAAAGGTGGCCTGCCTCTTATATAGTCGTATCCAATAACTTTATGATTTTGATTTGTTCCCAATTGTTAAATAAATGCCTGCCACTGTTTGTAAAAACTTCTGTCAATCTATTTAGGATTAAAATCCACCATAAATTCCCGTGCGGCTCAATTATCTCTACATATCTATGTTGTCAGGTATTTTAATTGTAATAGGATACAACTTGGATACTTGAAACGTAGCATGTATCAAACAATGTTTATAGGTGGCTTTGGTGTACGCGAAATGACCGCGTCAAAAAAAAATTAAATTATTCATTCTCCCCCTCTTTTATTATTACACCTATTCTTCTCATAATTATACATGCAAAGAACTCCTCTAGTCAATAATAGTGCAACAAACCAAGCGGACAGAAGGGAAAATCGCCTTGGAAAGCGACCTGTTTCCAATACCATAACTCCTACTGTACCAGCACTTACGCCAGCTCAAATGTATTCGAATTTTGAAGAATGGATAAAAATGTGTACTGATAATGTAGGTCTCTGTAGACTCTAACTGTGAAGTGTACTAATTGTGTTGAAATAGAAAGTGAATGCGACAAACACTTGGAATTTTGCTTTAATTGATTATTTTCATGAAATGACGTTTATCCGTGAAGGCGATTCCATTAATTTTCAAAAGGCTTCTTGTACTTTGGATGGATGTGTAAAGATTTATACTTCTCGTGTTGATTCTGTTGCCACTGAAACAGGAAAATTACTGAGTGGCCTTGCGGATAGTACAAGTAATGTAGCACCTGAACCAGTTAAAGATTTCCTTTTGTTGACTTCCTTTAACTTTAGATGCAGAAGGCGATGATGAAACAAGACCAGGTGCTGAAAAACGAACTCGTAAAAAAGTAAAACCTCACGCAGTATATGGTTTATTGTTAGAAACCCAAAGCTTATATTTCTGTTTAGGCACATCGATCCGAAGTAACACTGCTAAAAGACTTTTCATCCATCGCTCTTAAAAAATTTGATTTGGATTTTGCTGTAGATCCCTTATTCAAAAAAACGTCGGCTGATTTTGATGAAGGTGGAGCTAGAGGCTTGCTGTTAAATCATTTAAGTATTGATCAACATTGCAAAATTATCTTTGATGCGTCCGATGCTACCATCGAATGTGATACAGAAGAATTAGACGGCGAAATTGTTAGCGTCGAAAAGGGTCGGCCTGACGATGACGCTAACCTACAAGAAACGAATCCTAATGACGATACAGATAGTGCTGAAGAGGAAGAAGAAGAAGAGGAGAAGGAGGATAACCTTATGGAAGAAGATGTTCAGGAAACTAGCGTTGCTGATAGATCAACTTTTGAACAAACAGAAAATATTGATCCAATGGATATTGATGATAAACCAGAAGAATCCATTGTCAAAGAAAAAAGTATCGATTCCGAATCTCGTGTAGAAATATCTCGTTTGAAAGCAAGATTACCTACAATGGAAGTCCTTGAAGGATTAAATATCGTTCCCTCTTTGAAAGGCTTTGATTTCTTTTCCGAAAAGGATTTGGAAATTCCTACCTTAGATCAAGAAGACGAATTACCATTTGAGAATCCAGTTGAAGAAGATATGAACCCATTCCACTTTGATGATTATGGGGATGACGGTGGAGATTTTGGCGTAGACGATATGGATCCATTTGCTATTGATGATAATATGAACGATCAGGATCAGCATAATGAGGAATTGGATAATACTGAAAAAGCATATCAAGAACCAGATTTCTTGACTGCAATGCTCAACAATGATGACCAGGTTTTTAACTATTTTGACGCGACACTACAAAACTGGGCCGGTGCTGAGCATTGGAAATTAAAAAGACCCCCTCCTGCCCCAAAACGTAAAGCGATCTAAACAAGCATAGTGCTCTTTTGTTAATTTTTTTTTCTTTAGCTACGGACCAGGAAAAAAAACCCAAAAAACCCAAGCAAGTGTACCAAATCCCATTCGATGCAGAGGACACTGATGGGGATGAAGAAACACTCTTTGGCACCACAACCAGGCTTTTAACGTTAAGTAAAGACGTCATCTCAAAAATGAAGCAGCAATCTGTGCCTGATGATATCCATTTCTCGTCAAAGCAATTATTACAATATTTTATTAAGCCAATGTTCCCGGTAATGACCATTGCTACCGATTAAGTAACCAGTGTTATTAATTTTTAATTTTTAACATCCAGACCAATCAAAAGAAGAAGAGCAAGGACATTATCACAAAAGCACCATCAGACGAAGAACCTGATATCAATTTTTGGGCTGATCAGACACAAGATTTCGGTGATGGTGCGGACTACGGGGATGATGGGGATTATGGAGATGATATACCAATAGACTTTAATGATCCCCCAAGCCAATGTAAGCATTTATCTTTTTTCCATTTAGTTGTGTTTGTGCTGACCATTTTTTTATAGCAATGATGACAGGGAATGAAGACACATCATTTTATCATGATAACTACGAGGATCCAGAAGTTTCTGTCTTATACGGTGATCCACTCATCACTAATCACAACCTTAAGAAATCGAAACCACTATACGTGAATTACGCAAGGACAGCAAAGAGAGTAGATGTAAAGAAACTAAAGGATAATTTATGGAGATCTTTAACTTTAGAAAAAGGGGATCAAGTCGATGTTGAAGAGAAGGTGCATGGAGTTCAAAAATTCAGTGATATTGTAAATAACTTAAAGAGGATGTATTCGCCCAAGTCTTTGAAAGATATTTCTGTCCCATTTTGTTTCATTTGTTTATTACATTTGGCAAATGAAAAGGATTTGTCTATTGTAGGGTTAAATCCTCCTGGAGACAATGATGACTTTGTTCTTGGTGAAGGGGATTGGATGCAGAATGAAGACATCTTGAATGAAGTGACTATTATACAGAATGTGTATTAGATACCTTGACTATCGCACCAACCATTAATCCACCTTCTATTAAATGTACATTATATCTTTTTCCTTTATACTTTCTACTACTGTATTATTTTGTCTTTTTTCTAAATCCTAAGTAATAAGCGCTAATGCAAGAGTGTTCCCGCTGCTGTCACGATATCAGTCGATTCTACTCACAAGGTCAAACCTTGTGGCGAGAAAATACGTTTGCTGCGTAAATCACTACAATCTGATAGGCCGGTATTATAGAACATTAATAGATCCCCAGAATAAACTTTACTCTTATCATTTGATGTGTTATTAATCGTTGATCCCTCTGATGACTGATATTTATATACTCGTATAGGAGGGCTGAATTTAAACTCAGGGTGAGAAACTGATTAACTTCTGAAAAAATGCAAGGTAAATAAAGAAAATTATTGGCGTCACTCGATGTGTTTTATGCTGTGAGTGTGACTTTAACATATCTTTGACGCAACAGGCATCCTCCAACTGAGCTAAGGCAGACACAATGATATGAAATCCGTAAATTTCAAGCCTGTTGCTATTTCATAGTGATTTTACAGTGCTCCTTAGAAATGAATATGTTTGTTTGAGAAAATAGATACAAACGAGGCGACCAAAAATAAAGTTTCCACAATTCTACGCAACATAATCATAAATTTAATCCCACAGGATCAAAACTTTTATCGGTCGTAATTATAATTAGCGCGAGGAACTACGAGGTGTGTGGGTATGTGTGCAAAAACCTGATTTCCCTTCTTAGAAAATAAACAAATTTTTGATCCAATAACGTTTATTCCCGTAACACTAAATGGCGTATGGATTAAATCATGTTTGATGTGAATGTTTGGTATGATGGAACGTTCCGACGGGGTTCTTCTCTAAAGGCTATAAATAAGGTGTGTTAATTTGAAGTGGATCAATCCGTGAAATATTATTAAAAATGGACGGAAAATTCGATCAAGTTACTGGTAATCTTAAGAAAGCCGCTGGAAATGCTATGGGCAACAGAGGCCTTCAAGCCGAAGGTACTGCCCAAAACACTGCTGGTCAAGGATCTGAGGCTGTCGGCAAGGCTGGTGGTTATGCTCAAGGTCTTACTAATCAAGTTAAGGGTGCTGTCTCCAGCACGATGAACAGCCTCACCGGAAATTCTTCGGGTAATGCTGAGGGTAAGGCTACAGAATTGGCTGGTCAAGCTCAAAAGAAGTGGAACTCTTAAAATCATTGTCATAACGGGGTTAATTCTGGATAATTGTTGTACATATTTTTTTTTTAAAAATTCGGCAACCCCAAACAGAAATAAAATAAATGAATTGATTCAAAATAATTTACCTCGCGTTGTATCAAGCCTACACATAGCTTATTTCATTAGTACTAAAGCTGCCTTTCTTTTATAAAGCGTGAACAGATAGACACTCTTATAATTTTGAATTACCAACATTTCGGTATCTTTTTGTGGCCGTCGGCTAATTCTTGTACTACTACCATGATTTCCATTTACAACGTAATTAATAAAATCGTTTACATACGACTTACACTACGTAATGAAATATGCCCGCTGTCAACACATGTAGTCAAAAGGCACTTTTTTCCAATAAACAGGCACACCATGCGGGTATACTTGTTTAGATTAGATGCATCTTTCTACTGCATAAAATTAACACTCGCTTTGCGTTTTGGCCGAAACCTTTAACACATTCATTAAGAAGCCCCTTCGGCTTCCACAATTTTGTACAAATCAAGACCGTTAATATGAAGAAGAAGGTTCTGCCTGGATCGCCCTCAGGCAATTTTAGATATTCGAAGCGGAAGCATCGCGATTTGTTAAGGTGCTGCTGCTATTGATCGCTTTTTCTTTCTACTGTACTTTCCACCAAAATGCCTTTCTGGCCTGTGCTTTATGACAATAACAATCCAATCATGCGTTCATGTTTTTCCAATATTCTAGATGGATGAAAGGCGAGTGCAATGTGTTTTTTTTGCATGTAGACCACGTTCGTAAACGACCCCCATTTTTTCAGCTGATTAGTTATGCAAAAAGCTGTTGAGGAGCCAAAAAAATAAAAAAATTCACACCAGTATGATTCCATCATGTGCCCGAGATTTTTTATTTTTTTTGCAGTGCATCCCAACTGGAAGTAAAAAAACGAAAAAGGGTAACTTGGTTGGTGTTTTATTGAGGAGGGTAAAATATATATATACATATGTATATAAAAGAGAACAAGCTATTTCAAGTCTCTTCTGTCATTCACGAAATAAGATGAGTGGTTAAAATAGACAACACTCATGTCGAATATCCATTCGCCGAAACCAAGGTATTTATCCACGTATGAACGAATAGTTGTACTTTCGATTTTTGAGGTCGCAGGTCTATTGAGAGATATAATATAAAAAGAAAGAGCTTTTAGAAAAACTATTTGGAAAAAGCTGGTCCTTCATATAATTACTGTAATCCCGTAGATCGCTTGATACCGGCTAATACCGCAGAGATCAGAATGGCATCAAAAGTGTAATGAAGTATTTTACTCATGCGTAGTTTTTATAAGGAAATGATAAGGTAAAAAAAAAAAAAAAAAAAAAAAAAAAAAATTAAAAGAGGCGGATTAGGTCAAATTATTTTTTTAAGCCGCATTGTTCCACCGTGTCATTTTATCAATTGTGTGTTTTGTGTGTTTTTGGAAAAGTGATGATGTATGCCTGGTTTTTTTTTCTCAGTGCCAAATTCACAATTTATTAACTGTGGCAGCGATACATGGTTATTTTTCTTTTTTGAAAATCACCTAGAATCTGTTATTGTTGCAATGATTAATTCTGACTACTAAAAATACGGTTTTCTTTAAAGCAATAAACCAAGATGCACAATTGGTTGCAGTAAAATATTCTGTATATCTACATCTGAGAATACAACATCTTTGATTTTAGCTATAAAAGGGATTGTGATGCATATATTTCATATGCTTCTGACGTGGTTTTAGAGTATATAGATGATCGTGATACTTTCATGATGATCATCACATGGCTTCCAGATTTCTTACTTTACAAAGTGTAACACAAATTGGGTGGGAAATCACTTTCACAATATTCACACTTGTGAAATATATATATATAATAACTGGGGTGAACAGAAAAAAAAAAGACCTTTCTTTCTTTCTTTTTATTAATTCTTACTTTGTAAACGAAAAGAAAAAAATAACATATATGAATCAAATAAGAGTGGCACTAAATAAGCTACCACCGGCAGCGACCATTAAAATATTACGTAAAGTGTTTGCATTGCCTGCACCTGCTGCACGGTTAATTTTGAACGATGTGACGAAACCACTTTCAGCGCATAAATTATGGATACACAAAGTTGCTTGGAATGGTGAATGGTCTGGATGTTGGATTGGAGAACATATCAAACATTTAGACCAGGCATCACTTCAAAAGCGAATTGACGACTGTGATATCATCTTGTTCAATGTCCATGGTAACGTATTTTCTAAAAGGAAATCATGCAACCAAATATGTCGTGTTAACATCATTCATAACTTTTTTAAAAAAAAGGTGGTGGGTTTCGAATTGGTACATGTACCATGTACATGGCGACTTATATTTCATGGATTAAAGTGCTAAAACATAGTTATGGCTTGGAAGCTATGATCATGTCGGTGGATTATCGCTTAGCTCCTGAATTCAAGTATCCCAGCCCTGTGGAAGATGTCGTACGAGCCTATGAAAGTCTTTGCAAGAAAGTGGACGCGGGAAAGATAATTGTGACAGGTGACTCTGCTGGGGCAGCTCTCCTTTTGGAAATGTTATTTATCACGCATGATCCCAGCATGTTTGAAATTGTCCTAGATGAGAAACAAGAAGGTGTAGCTTTGGCGGAGTTACCGAGACCTGCTGGGGCTGTCTTTATCTCGCCGCTTGTCACGGACGAAACCACATCTGTCTCCTGGAAAAACAACATAAAATACGATTACATCTCTCAACACACTGCCAAAGTCATCAAGAAGGATTATTTTGGCCGTCTGGGTCCCGACGAAACCAATCAAATATTAGGCATTGCTAAACTCGAAACTGGATTTCGATCATTTCTACCAGAGCAAGTATTAATGTTTGTGGGTCAAAGAGAAGTGCTACTGGACGACGCTTTGGATTTAGCTATGCGAGCAGAACGTGACGGAATTCAATGGGAAACTGTGGCAGAAGATTGTGTACATGACTGGTTTTGTGTACGCGAGGTGGTCAAGGATAAAAAGATGTTGATACGTGCGGATGCAGCCTTTGCCGATTTTTGCTACCGTGCTCTTAGGCGTATTCCTAAAATGGGCGTGTCTGCTCGTCCCTTGATAGATGCTCACTCCAGTAGTTACTCAACCTTCAGGAGGTCTAGCGAAGGACTGGAGATGGTATTGGAAGAAGATGAAGACAGCGACTATGACACCAATGATGAGTTTAGTGACACGGATCAAGAGTCTACTGCTATTTATACTGCCAATTTAGGAAAGAAGAAATATTCTTCAACAGCTGGGAAAAAAGAAGAGATCAAAACGGTGCTTGTATAATGATAACAATAATAAAAAAGCCATGTACATAATAATATCATTTACAAAAAGGGGTTTTATTTATTTTTTAAAAAAAAGAAAAACAGAGATTATTATTGACGAGAAGAATTCATGAAACCAGGCATCCAAGAGGTACGCTTAAGCTTATCACCTTCGGTATTTGGTTCGACATTAACAACGTTTCCACCGCCTCTCAAAGGTTTAGCAATTCTACCAAAGTTTATTGAGGACAAACCAGGTTGGTTTGCCTTTTGGGTTCTTGCCTGCTCCAATCTGTCACGGACAGCTTGAAGTTGTGCCTCGAACTTTTGGTTTTGATGGATCAATTTCTCTTGTGCATCGCCCAGTAATGCTTCTAAGCTTTGAATACGTTCATTTCTTGCGATCAATTTACGCTCAGCTATTGCTACTTCCTTCTTGAGTGAGCTGTTTTGTTCGACAAGCTAAAATGATGTCAGCGACATTGTCATATAGATCCCAATAAAATGTCTTATAATTTACCTGCTTTTGGACGTTGGTTAATTGCTCAAGGTTACGCTCGAGGAAAGCCATCTTCTTTTGTTGTGCCTTGTTATTACTTGCACGAAGCACATTGTTGTATTGCTCACGCGTTTCGTCAAGTGACATTTCCAACTCGACAACCTTCTCACAACGACCTTGAAGATCACGCATCAATGCCTTCTTCATCATTTCAAAATCGGCCAATTGTTGTGCCATGGTCTTTCGCATACGCTCAAGCTCCTTTTCCTTTTCAGAAATATCGGTAGGTTCTCTAAATGATTGTTCAGACAAGGCAATCTAAAATGCATAGATGTTTAGTATTCATAATAACCCTTCATCCTTTTAAAAGTACCTGAAGTTGGTCATTGGCAGACTTCAAATCATTCATGGCGGTGCTTAATTTGGAGTGCTCAATGGTCTTCTTCTCAAGCTCTGATCTCAACTCTTCAATTTCTCTTTGTTGACTTTCCTTCTTGGAAGCATATTGCATCTCGAGCTTGGACTTTAATGTGGTGATTGTCTCTGCAATATCTTCATTCTTTTGAACCTGAGCCTCTTCTTCAGCGATGGTCTTGTCCAATAACTCTTCATATTCCTGTTCAAGTGTAGCGCAACGAGACTCGAGGTCTGATTTCTTTTTCTGGATGGTACCCTTCTCTTCTGTCAAGTCATCGATGGTCTTTGTGTGTTGATCTACGAGGACACGGGAATCTGTCAAATCTTTACGAAGAGAGACAAGTTCTTCAGCGGTCAGACCATTACCGTCCAATTCCAATTTGACAAGGGCGTCTCTGATTTGGCGTTCCTTTTCATTGATTTCACTAGGGACATCAAAGCCGGACATGATTTGAGCCATTTTCTCGGCTTTTTTCTTTTCCTTGTCACTATGAACGACTTCCTTTTGAGCGTTTCTCATTTCGATCAAGCTCTTTTTCAATTCTTCCAGTTCAGCGATTAATTCCTGATTGGCTTCCTTGAGAGAATCCACGGTGATGGAATTCTCTTTACTCTCGTACGAGATCTTTTGAAGTTGAAGACGTAAATTACTTAATTCGGACGTCATGAGTTGATTCTCTTGTGTGACGGAGATTTCCTGTTCCTTGTAATAATTCATTTCTTCCTTGAGTGAATCCAAAAGCTTTTCATGGTGCGATAATTCGGATTCCTTCTCGGTGATTTGATCCATCAATTCGTTCTCTCGCTTCAAGAATTCTTCACGTTCATCCTTTTCCAGCACAATGGCAGGAGTGGCAGGGCGTGAGAGATCATCCTGAATAGGACTTCTGAAACCAGAAGCGGGAGGTAAAGCGGATGGTGGTATAGAAGATGCACTTGCGTTGTTAAAATCACCTCGCGTGACTTTTTCCATGGTAACCCATTTATCCTCAGGCACAATATTACCTGCTCGCCATTGATTCACTTCAACCTCTAGTGCAGCAATATAGGCTCGGAATGTGATGGTCTCGGTCTTGACCTTTTTCAAGAGGGCCTTTAATTCTGCAGGCGAAAGATCCGCATTCACCTTGGCCTTATTCTTGATGGATTTGGCTCTCATACCAAAACGTAAAGTAGATAATGTCTCAGCCTCATTGTACGACGACGGAGAACAATTGATGATGAGAGTTGTTCGAGAGTTACCACCGAGCGATTCTTGTAAAATACGAGTCAATTTGGAATCACGATAAGGAACATGACTAGACTAAATGGTATTGAAACATTAAATCATTTATGAAACTCTTCTCCTCAGTTATAACTTTTTTTTTACCTTGCCATCAGTGAGAGAGTTGATGACCATACCCAGTGCGGTTAATGACTTGTTAATCTTTTTGGCTTCCTCCAAGGTTTGACCGGAAGCACCGGTTTTGCCTACTTTTTCGGAACCCGCCAAATCAACGAGATATAATTTACCACTTTTCGCAGCACCCGTATCCATATTTTTTTGTGTAATAGTGACCACGACGATAGAGTGAGAACGAGAACTCTCGGCATTCATGTTGGTGGAAGCAACCACACGATTTCCGCTACCGTTTCTCATGACTTCGTACACATCTTCGGAAGAGCTGACATAGACTTCTAAGAGGCCCTTGACATAGACACCATGTGTTTTATCTTCGTGAATAGGCAGATTATCCATATTGGCTATAATTTGTGTGTGAGTGTGTGTGGTTAGTATATAAAATTATAAAGTCTGTCTTCTAAACTTACGGTTTAGTAAATCCCGCACTTTTTCCATATAGATTTCCATATAGGATACTTTGACTGTGAATTCAAGGTTGCTAGGAGCAGCCATGATGCTATCAAAGATTTGGCCAATGATACGTGGAATGATACCTCTTGTCTTTTCATCGTCAATATCAGCACCCTAACGAAACGAATAAAAAAAAAGTTTTTATTGTCAGTAAAATAAAGGGATAATGTAGAGAATAGAAATTTACCATCATGGTAAAGGTCTTTCCTGAACCGGTTTGACCATATGCGAAAACGGTTCCGTTATAACCGGCCGTGACATCTATGTGAAAGCTGTATATTAATAAAATTGGAATGCCGATTGTTTTCTTTTTGTGTGTGTGTGTGTGTGGGTGTGTATCCCCAAGTTGCCCCTTTTTTTTTTATTATTTGAATTTTAAGGTATTACCGTCTACGATGGTTTTAATGGAGTAGTCAAAGACATCCTTTTGAGGAGTGTTCATGCCAAATACTTTGTCAAAAGCAAAGGTATTATCGCCTTCACCCTATTCGAAATGCTCGCTTAACATCTTATTATGGAAGGGGAATTTTTTCTTCCTTAGCTTACCTTTAAACGAAGGTGCGTTCCTTCGTCATCGATGTCTAAAATGGGCACACCTCCTTCTCTTATTTCAAGTGAGTTTTGAGGTCTAAAACGACACACAACTTTAATGTTGTTTGACATTTTTTTTAAAAAAAAATTGTATAAATGAGAAAAAAAGAAAGCAAAAAAGAAAAAGAAAAAAGAAGAGGGGGGACTTTTTTTTTTATTATTATTATAAAAATTTACAAAACGCGCTCTTTGTTTTCATATTAAAAAAATAAAAAACGTTTTAACTTTGTTGGGGATGAACTCAAATATACCACCATTAACTGCACCAAATAAAACCTTAACAGCACCGAGAAGACCCTCGAATTACAATACACCTCGGTCACCTTCTGTTGAATTATCAGACTCATTTTCTGCTTTCACTGCGACTACGCCCGTACTGACATCTCCCACCAAATTCACGAGTCATTACAAACAACCTACAGAACAACACAACCACTTCTTTTCCCCATCCCAATTGGCTTCCATAAAGCCCATTTGCTCATCCTCCAAAGTCTCGGACTGGGACTTTCTGGCTACCGAAAAATATCCTGCTTCACACAACCCGTAAGTCGCTCCTATTGACAACTTGCCCCCTATTAATGACCACCACTTTTTTCTTATATATATATACAGTCAAGACGCCTATGACTTGGAAATGACCTCAATTGGACTCTCGATTGAACTTGGTGAGTCCAATGTGTAATATAAAATGTCAGGTTATTCTAATGTTCTCCGTAGCTGCAAATAACACAAGAACACGTAATTTCAATAAATTACTAGCTCATCTTGTGGACCTACTAAGGCAATTACAAACAACGTATCACGAGTAAGTTTTACAAGCTCACACTGACAAAGTACTAAAGCACCAAGGAACAGATCCATCCCGATAGAAACCTATAATACCTTATTTCTGGTGCGTGTATTTACCAAACAATTCGCGGGTAACTTGACAAATAAGGAAATCATTGCACAGTTTGAAGAGGATGCCACTCATACACGAGGTGAAGATTTAATTGAAGCATTGTTGTATGTTCTGATTAACATGGATCCCAAGTAAGGCTTTACATTTATATATCTATATATATGTGTCTTACTTTCATTCTTCTTCTCTAGCTCCAATTATCCAAACTATGAATTCTACACTGAAGTCCTCAACACATTCCTCGTGCTTTGTTCTACCCAATTACAACATGCCAGACTCACTGACGACAATTATTTTTTGGGCATTCTGACCACCAAATTCGGTAATCGGGCAGAAGCTGTGGTGGCGCGGTTATTAGAAAACTTGATAGAACAAAGAACTCCTCCTCCTCAATCTTCTTCTGGCGTGATGTTGACGGCATACAATTATTTTTTCTCGTCCCGCACCAATTCAAGTCCAGATGCGGATACAATGCCAGTGGCCGATCGTAGTCTATTGTTACTGCTGTTGCTAGGTACACAGTCTATTTCACCCCATGACACGGAGTGGGTCAAATCTTACAGATTTGCCATTGCTAATCTTAGTGATCACCATGGTAACTCTATGCACTTATATATTAAACAAACAAACAAAACAAAATGTTGACAACCAATACAGTGTTATCCAGTGATGTGGATGGATGTGATCGAAAGATGCACTTGATCTCTTTCAAAGATCTGTTTGAGATATTCAGTAAATCGTTACATGTGGAAGAACGTATGTTACTTTTTTACTTGATCCTAGTTGAAAACGAGTCATTTCGAGTCTATGTCTTATCCCGAACGGACCAAGAAACCATTGTAAGTGTAACAAATAATTGGAGAAAGAGAGAGAGAGAAACAGAGGGGAATGTTGACTTTTGGTTTTGATTTTAGTATCTGCCCATATTGAAGCTGATCTATGAATCGATGGAAGGAAAGACAAATTACTCACAAGTGTATATCCTCATGATTGTATTACTGATACTCAGTCAAGATGATGTCAACAACGAAGCGATTGGGAAAATTGTAAGTGATATTTCAAGTGAAAAAAATGGGGGAGGGGGAGGGGGGGAAGAGTTCATGTTTTTTATGTATATACGTATATAAAACAGATTGTGCACAATATCACTTGGTTTACCGAACGCCCTCTGCTGAAATCCATTTCACTGGGCGGACTTATGACACTTGTCCTGATCCGAACATTACAACTCAACTTGTCACACCAAAAAGACATTTACTTACACACAAACTGTCTGGCCATCCTGGCTAATATGTCCACCACCATGACAGATATGCATGCCTATGTTGCTCAGCGTATTGTCAGCTTATTTGAACTTTTGGCAAGACGCTATACCAAACTGGTAGAAAAGGATTCACCCGCTGATGCCATCGTATACGAAGAGCTCTTGGCCTTGCTATTAGAGATGATGAATGCGACACTGACCCATCGATTAAAACACAACTCACAGCTAGTGTATGCACTTTTGCAAAAACGAGAGATCTTTACACCGTTTCAGTTACACGAACGCTTCGCAGATCTTGTTCAGAATGTAGAGCAAGTGATTCGCTTCTTTCATGCTAGAGTGTCTGAAGCTAACTTGAAAGCACCGTCTTCCAACGAAGTCCTACGTTTGATCGAACAAGCTTCACGTACATGGTCCAATAGTAAACTTGTGGTAAGTGAAAGTGTTAAAAAAAAAAAAAAAAAAAAAAAAAAAAAAAGAGGAGCGGGTGTACTAGATTTGAGAGAGTAAAGAGCCAATTAAAAAAAAATGTATACATATACATATATTAGTCATTACCGGATCTCAAGTTTCAATATGAGGAAGAACAAGATTCGTTTGAATTTTTTATACCGTATATTTGGGCACTTGTGCAACGCCGTACATTTATTTATTGGAGCGAAGAAAAGAGCCATGTGCTTGATAATTATCACATGATGAATACAATGGAATAATAAAAATTGGCTGTTGCTAGTTCTAAACGTGATGACGAATACATCCGTTGAGCTGAAAGCATACTTTTTGAGAAGGTCAGCATTCCTGTGTTTCTTGCGGGGGGAAGAGAAGAGCGAATAAACAGTTTCTTTTTACAGATTAGATTGATAAACCTCCAGGCCTTTTTTTTAAAAATGTATCGTGTAAAGTTCATCCTGTGTTGGATTGGCCTAATCTACTGATGGACTAACCTAGACTATGTTCGTTCATATTATGGAAAAAGGGAAATAGTCTTACTTGCTAATAAGCAAGAACTGATGTATGCCAGTAAGAGATAATTAACTAGGAGATATTTTTTTTTTGTAGATGTTGATGATCTAAATTTAAAAAAACACCCCTCCCCCCTTCCCTGGAGTACAGATATGTAATGTTGCACTTACCGATTGTCTATCAGTGATTTGGTAATATGTACCAATTGTTTGCACAACATTAAACTTTAAAGACTGATTTTACTTTCTGAAATGTTTGTGTATTTATTTAAAATAAGATTAATTTCTAATGTACAATAAGATGGTGGTGGTGGGGAGGGGTAAGAGATATATATATATTATTTAGTTATCGGGCATGAAGGTAGATTCAACAATGATGTGAGTAACTCTGTAAGGATCAATGTTGGAAGCAGGACGACGATCTTCATAGTAACCCTTGCCTTCCTTACCAACATGACGAGGAATACGAATAGAGGCACCACGGTTAGCAACACCGGAACTGAAATCGTTGATGTGACCAGTTTCGTGTCTGCCAGTCAAACGAAGATCGTTGTCTTCACCATAGACGGCAATGTGTTCAGCATGACGCAAACTCAACTTTTGAATGGAACGTTCAATAGCAGCAAGACCACCTTCTTGACGCATCTCTTCAGTAGAGAAGTTGGTATGACAACCAGCACCGTTCCAGTCACCAGAGACAGGCTTGGGATGGATAGTAACGATGATACCGAAATCTTCAGAGACACGTTCGAGGAGGTAACGAGAGGCCCAGAGTTCATCACCCATGGCAATACCGACACTGGGACCGACTTGATATTCCCATTGACCGGGAGCAACTTCAGCATTGACACCAGAGATGTTGATACCAGCGAATAAACAGGCACGGTAATGAGCCTCAACAATATCACGACCAAAGACCTTACCGGCACCTACACCACAGTAGTATTTACCTTGGGCTTCAGGGAAACCATGTTTGGGCCAACCATAAGGCTTGGAGGTCTCAGGGTCAATAAGCATGTATTCTTGTTCGATACCGAACCAAGGGTTGGTGTGAGCATAGGTATCCATGATTTTCTTACATTCATAACGGTAGTTGGTGGCATGAGGAGTGCCATCAGGGTTATAAGTCTCACAAATGACAAACTTGTTATCACCACGACGGAAAGGATCATTGAAGAGAGCAACGGGTTGAATCAAGATATCAGAGTCATGACCTTCAGCTTGACCAGTGGAAGAACCATCAAAGTTCCACTCAGGTAATTCAGAGGCCTTTTGAGGAACAAAGTCAACAGTACGAGTCTTACTTCTCAAGTTGTTTTTGGCATCAATCCAGACATATTCAACTTGGACCTTGTTGTTTTGACCGAGATCGAGGTACTTTTGCAAAAGAGAGTTGTTGGAAATGACAGCCATTTTTTATATAAGGAAGTTAAGATTTGTTATCTTGTTGTAAAGAAGAAGCAGAAGAGGTTGTATTTTCCTCACTGCTTATATACTAAGCAAACCCCCTTTTTTTTTAATTATCTCTCCTATCATCCTTCTATAATTGGCAACTTCTGTTACAATTAAAAGTAGATTCAAACTCTTATCGTCCCCGGGGTTTCTTATCTGTTGGTCTGTAGTGTAATTTTTAGGGTCGTACAGAATTAAGCTTTTATATATATATATATATATGTATGTATGTATGTGAGCCTGTGTGAGCCTGTGTACGCCTGTGTGTGTGTTTGTAAGCGTATGTGGGTGTGTCTATATGTGCTTGGTTTGATTTAACGCAAAAAAAAAAATACCCCAAGCTATATTTGGCATATTTGAATTAGTAGAGTTAGACAACATGATATCATTTATATCGCATTAAAGTAAATTAGATAAAAAACAATGATAAGATCTTTTTTTTGTACAAACATTAGGAATATGAAGTAAAATAAAATATCGATAGGTCAATGATTGGATCTACTCATCTTTGAAAAGTGACCTTTTCTGGAAAATTTAGATTGAGATAAGACAAAGATTTTTTTTTAAAGCGCACGGGAGAGGAATATAAAAAATCGATCCCACATGCTTTATACAAAAGCGATCTCTAATCTTTATCCAAGGGTCGTACCCGGCTCTCTTTTTTTTTTTAAAGTTAACACTAAACTTTGCCTTTATTATTTCGTTTGCTATTTGTTCGAGCTTGTTTTGGTTCGTTATAAGCTTCACCATTTGTCTGATATAGGACAATATTCACTAGGCTGATGGGTATATCATGAAGTTCAGGAATCCAGTCAGAAGGTCGATCACGGATCCTTTCACTCTCCATATTCATTATATTCGCATGCTCATCTATTTCAATGATTATAAGTATTTTTCAATGCTATCTGGAAAACGGGATTAAAATTTTACCCGTAATGCAATGATAAGAGTCAAACGGTGCCGTATTTAGTAAGTTAAGACTCATGTAAGCAAAAAAAATGAACCAGATAATCGTCATGAGCCATACTGGCACTGCCAATGCCCAATATCTATATATTTTTGCTCTGGAATTGATACATGTCCGTACACTTTCTTTCTTCTTTTCGCTTACCTGTTGGGATAGTATGTGATGCCTAGACGATGTAAAATCTCATCAGGTACAAAGGCCCAAATCAAATAAATGCCTATAAAAAAAGTGTTTAGTTGTCTATATGAACAATGGCTCTTGATTTTCTTTACCGAGAATAACAAAAGAAGCTAGATACATGACAAAACCATAATATTCATATGCAGGTGTTTTATTGGTAATAGCTACAGGTGGAGCTCTTTCCACTTGAGGCAAATTAAACGACACTCTAAATAAGGGGAGAGATAGGTGAGTTGTCTTTTATACAGAAACAAGGCTCGTTATACGCACTCTGAATAGGACCGAGGTCGATGACCTTTGGCACGCTGCACTGTGCTCTTGACAGACGTTGTGCTTGTAAAATTGGTTGGACTTGTGGTCGTAGGTGTCTTATAGTGTCGTGTTTCTTCCACTTGAGCAAGTTTACCATATTTTGCATTCAAGAAACTACTGAATGAATGTCTTCGTTTGGAAGCACTAAAACAAAATATTTAAAAAAAAAATGTCAAACCATGCCCATTACGTTATAGACAACATGGATGACCTACGTTTCTTTCTTGGGTTGTTCTGGTGGTTGTATGGATGAGACTTGAGTTGCTTGTTGACTACTGCCACGACGCATAGAGGTAGACAAGTCAACTACTTTACGTTTTATAAGAGGCACATGCACAAGGTCGTTTAATGTAGGTGTAGATCGTGATGTGGAAAGTGGAATAGAATTCTTGTTGAAAAAACGTTTTGCAGCTGCTGAAGTAGTTGGCTTTAATCGTTCTTCCTCCATTTAACTTTTTTTTTTTTTCTGAAGGTAAAAAGGGGAACACTGACACACACACACACACACAAAAGGGGTGACTGTTCCATAATGCAAAATATAAATCAATTCAGTTCTAAAATAGGATTATTCTTTATTTATAATTTGCTTTGGGGTGTACGACGCCATGGCTGGTTCACAATTGAAAATACATTATAGGCATCATAGGGATCGAAACCACGCATTTTATGAGCATTCACTAACTCGACTTTACCATCAAAATAGAGTTTGATCAAGTGTAATCCGACAGTACGTAGCACCACAGCCATCAAGATTTCATTATAACCTTTGGAAACCGAGTTCATGTCTTCCACCAGATCAATGGCCGACCAAGGCTGTGTCAAGTCACGATCCATAATGCTGAGTATCTGAGCCTCCTTCGCTAGCCTAATGGAAATATATTCCTGTACCTTTTCCAGTCCATGATGAACTACTTCCCCATGACCGGGAAACAGAGTGGTTGGCTGCAAAGTCTGAATACGATATAAGCTATCCATATAAGCAGTAAGATCTTCAAAGGCAACAGAACCATGACCTAGGATACAATCAGCAGTGAAAATCGCACCTTCCTCCTCCAGATAAAAAGCGCAGTGATCTTTGGCGTGACCAGGCGTATGCACCACACGTAAGTGAGTTTGAGCATCCACTTCAAATGTCTGATTGTCTTCCAAATCGAGCACTTGGACCTTTTCAGGAAAAGATTCAAGAAATTTAATTATGGTGGGCTCAGCAAGGAGAGGGAACTTATGGACACGAATTGTCTGATGAGGAGGGTTCAACTGGGTTGATGACATGATATCGTCTAATCCGCCCCAGTGATCTTTGTGACAATGGCTGATCAGAATATCAGAGATATGAGCGTCGGGATGGATCGTGTGTAGTGATTGGATCAAAAGTGGGATATAGTCAGGCTGTCCATCACCGCAATCAATAAGTACTTTACGTGCTCCCGTGCCCACCAGATACGTATTCGTACCTACATGGATTTAAGCTTTTTTAGTATTAAAACAATCATTCGCTCTTAAACTAAACTCATAATACCTTGTAGTGTGAATTTGCCTGGATTTAATCCCATCACACGCCATACTCTTTCGGACAGCTGCAGAAAGTTGGGCAACTGGGGAAGGTCCGTTCTAAGATTGGATTCGTATAACGTCATTGTAATAAAAGATAGATAGAGAACAAAAAGAGAGAGAAAGACAAAAAAAAATATGAGCCTCTAAAGAGTGTGGGGAATGAGGGATTGTGGTACAAACCCCGTAAGTTTTTCCGTTTGTGTGTCATCTTATTTCCACTATTTTTAAGAGGTCGCTTGATGAATTATGCATTGTTGTAGAAAGATAGTAAAAAAAAAGTTTAATTTTGATAATGAAATATATGTGTGTGTTTGTGTGTGTGTGTGTGTGTGTGTAAATTATTTATAATGTCTTTTCGATGGTAGTGGATGTAGGTGTTGCAGGAGATGTAGAAAGTGGTAATCCTTTACGACCCTTTAAGATATTACCAATAAAGAATTCACCTGCCTTGTAACTGGAACGGACAAGAGGACCACTAGCAACATATTTGAAACCCATTTCCATACCCTTTGTTTCCCAATGCTTAAACTTTTCGGGAGTGACGTATTCATGCACCTTCATATGCTTCTTGGTAGGTCGCATGTATTGACCGAGAGTAACACAATCCACATCAATCTTTCTCAATTCCTCTAATGTCTGTAAGACTTCTTCATCTGTCTCACCACAACCCAACATGATGGATGTCTTTGTGATCATGTCTGGGTTAGCAACCTTCACATGTTTAAGCACACTTAAGGATTGACGGAAAGTAGCACGACGATCACGTACATAAGGAGTCAAGGCCTCAACAGTTTCGATATTATGAGCATAGACATCCAAACCTGATTTAGCCACTGTTTCAACACCTTGTAAATTACCAAAGAAATCACCTGTCAAACACTCGACCAAGATATGGGGAGCCTTTTGTTTGATTTTACGGATAGTTTCAGCAAAATGATTGGATCCACCATCAGCTAAATCATCACGATCGACACTTGTCAAAACAACATAATCCAAACCCCAACGACTAATGGCTTCTGCTGTATGTTCGGGCTCATGAGGATCCAAGGGCTTGGGTGTTCTGTTGGTCTTGACCGAACAGAAACGACAACCACGAGTACATTCATCACCCATCAACATAATGGTAGCAGTAGCAGTTTGATGCTCTCCTCCACCCCAACAATCACCAATATTAGGACAACGGGCTTCCTCACATACCGTATGGAGTTTTAAACCACGCAAATCTCGCTTAATCTTACCAAAGTTCTTTCCTGTAGGAATCTCTGTTTTTAACCAATCCGGCAAACGAGGTTGCTTTCTATTAAAGATGGTGGGTTTAATGTTAACTTTTGGCCCAATTTTTTTTGGATATGAAGCCAAAAAACTTACAATTTGGTGGTCTTGACTTTGGTACCAGGTACTACAGTCTCTCTCAGCTCTAATGCCTCCGTATGGGTCATTTTCTCGAATCCTGTGCTGACAAACTCTTCAAGTTGTCCCTCTTCTGTTTTTAATTTGTTACGAAGTTCTTCTAAGCGGGATACTTTGGAATTATCGGGAACAGCAGTAGCATGGGTGCGGTATTGAGTCTATATAAGCATCCATTAGAGAGGGTGACAAGGGGATTAATGAGAATAAACAAAGACTTACAGCCACAGCTAATGTGCGAGAATAAGAGTGAGCGGCTCTTGTGGAGATGGTCTTCAAGAGTGACATTTATTTAAATCAGTTTTGGGGGATATAAAATACAAAACAAAAATGGGTGGGGGTTGTGTTATTTTTTTTTACAGAAATAGGGAAAAAAAAGATGGTTGTGCCCGAACAATCATTGGGTAGGTGTGACGGTCCATCCACCGAGTAAGAAGTGTGTACCTTTAAAGGTAACACTTTAAGAACAAAATAAAATAGCCATCATATAATGTGAATGGTTGAGATTCTAAGAAGATAAGCAATCACATCATCCCTTAAAACATGACTGGTTGCATTTTGCACAGCAAAGAGAATCTCATTTGTCCACAATAGTAAAAATAAGTATTTCACAACGTAAATCTTTTTTAATAAAAAAAAAAAAATTAGATCCAAACAGCTGTCATTTAATTTTGGCTCCCGTTAAACTTCCGGCATTCCCTTATCAGTGCTTGAAATCTTGCAGTTCACTACACGATTTCCCACGATTGACTCTTTTTAGCAAAAAACTAGCTTAGTGTACCTAGAGCACGGATTTTTTCTAGACAGCCATTTTCAGTTCATTTATTTTGCCTCTGTCTGCTCCTTCTAGCTTAATAGTCGATTGGATGGTGAAAGCTATCATTCAGATCGGGATTCTTTACTCGGAAGAAGGGCTTATTTGTTATTTGCTTGGTTCGTGCAACCTCCCGAAATACTTTTTGGAAAATGATTTTTTCACTCCCTATTCATCGTCAGCGCTCACTACAGATCTGTCATTGTCCCTCAGCAATTGACGGTCACTTGTGACTAAAGGAAGAAACTATTATACCAGGAACTTGGGCATTACGTTGTTTGTAGTACAAAGATTTCTTTATTTTTCAAATGTCTCTCTAATGCATAAAGAAATAAAGTATCAGCTTGGGTTGATAAATCGTTTATTGCCGTAGTACCCGGCTTCAAAATGGTAGTAATGTCAGTAAGGTGCAACGTTTGAAGCTATTTAAAGGTCACTTGCGCGTAATATACCTTATAAAATCTCACAAATGCTTCTTTATTCTCTAATAATTACGTTCTCTCTCTCTATCTGATAAATGTCGTAATGTGCCTAATGCTTTGGAGAATATAGACAAAAACGTATAACAAGCTGAATAAAGTGACAAGACCTATTCGAAGAAGAGGGTCTCCGAGTCATGAGCTATCTTGTAAAATATCTCGAGCTATATTTTTATGGTTGTCTTGGTGAGCGTCTCTGGACTAAAAATTGTTAATTGTTAGCTCGAATTAACAGTCTACATTCACGTATCCATGGAGACGCGAAATGCATTAGATTCTATCTACAAGTTTAGGGCAATCGTTAATAAGTATTTTCGGGGGTAACAACCTTTTTTGTTTTCATCAAGCCCTTTGAGTAAAGTTGTGCCTGATTCATTATTATTGGACAAGGGTTTGATGTTGTACGAAAAGATTCAAGACATGTGGAGGTGTTTGTAGTCATCGGATAAGCAGGATGCAGCTCTGTGTGTATCTTTCTGGAAAAAAAGCTTATTGCTGGAGTTCAAACTTTAGAAGGATCTCGGGGCAAAAACTTTTTTTTTTTTATGACAGAAAATACTCGCCTAGGAGAGGATGAAAAAAAAAAGTGCCTACCCCTCCCCCGGAAGGAGAAGCAGTAGTCGGCTTTTTAATAGGTTAAAATAAATTAAACGATTGTCAGTTTTGGGCCTACCCTTTCTGTGCTTGACTCCGCCTTATTGTACAGAGAAAAAAAATATATATACATATACACTTAGAAGAGAAAAAAAAAGATGAAGAAATCGCATTCGATAAAGATGAAGGAACGCAATTTACATGGTTTCACTCGATACCTTGCACAGCACCAAATTGGTAAGCGTTCGCCTTTGGAAGAAGCAAACAAACAATTAACAATTTCTACCAGAGATTCCTTTAAAAGTGATCATGTTTATCGTTGCAGGGTACTTTCTTCAGTTACCCTTCTTCCAAAACTTTATATTCATTGCAAACAAGAGAGGTGATGGACGTTACGAGAAGAGTTTTTGGGATTTAGCCTTCTTGTTCTTTTATATCTGTGTTTTTACTGCCCTTCGAGCTGCCACCATGAACTATATTTTGACTCCGGCAGCTAAATACTTTTCTGTGCCTATCCAAAAGTATCAGCGGTTTGCTGAGCAATCATGGTCTTTCCTGTATTACACCTTTGCGTTCATTTTCGGCATCGTAAGTAGGGAAAACATGTGACATATCAAGGGTTATGCTTACAAACCAGTATTATTTTTTTCATGTAGTATGTCATGAAGGATTCACCTTGGTGGTTTGACTCCACTTATTTTTGGCGTGACTACCCCGTCTACGATTTCACAAAGTCCTTCAAGTACTACTATTTGATTCAGTTTGCATTCTGGCTTCAACAAGTCTTTGTGTTGCAGATTGAAGCACCCCGCAAAGATTATCAAGAGTTAGTCTTACATCACATTAACACTTTATTGCTCGTCAGTTTCAGTTACACTTGTAATTTCACTCGTGTCGGTAATGCTGTGTTTGTATGCATGGATTTACCAGATGCATTTTTGGCGGTAAGTTTGAAGAGACAACAAAAAAAGAGAGAGAGAGAGATAGAGAGAGAGAAAGGTATTGATTTATTTGTGGGGAGTATAGCTTGCGAAAACGTTGAACTATATGATGCCCGGTATGATTTGTAATGCTGCGTTTGTAGTTATGTTTATATCATGGATGTATACACGAGTCTATATCTATGGAAAGATTATCCTGTCGACCTTGACCGAGCCTGAATTGTACGTGCCCGAATTTGTCTTGGACCCATTGAACGGACAATGGTTCCCTCATTTTGTAAAATACATTATCGCAGGTTTGATGATTGGATTGTATTTATTGATTTTGTTCTGGACCTTGATGATTATCAAGGTATTTGTAAAAATGGCTATCTCCTCAGAGGCAAGTGATGTGCGTTCAGACGATGAAGATGAGGCTGAAGCTATTTCCATTGAAAAGATTGAAGGGTAACAAAAATAATTTAAGAGAATAGATTGTTTTTTAAGGATTTAGTGTCGTTAATCATATTTCTTTTATTTAGTGATCACTCTACACCAAAACTCAATGCTAAAGACTTAAAAGCTAAACTTCAATAATAACTTTATTATTATTAATTGTAACTTATTTTTCAACACACACACACGCACACACCCCTTTTTTTTCACTTTTAATACCTTAAAAACAACACCACCAAAAAAAAAAAAAAAAAAAAAAAAAAAAAAAAAAAAAATCCACCTCGGAACCTAATAATAATAAATAATAGAATACACCCACAATACAAATTCAATACCAAACTAAAATTGATAATACATAAAAAAAAACTTGGCTGTAATAACAATGCTAACAAATATCATTATTTTTTTTCCGTTCGATCTTTATAAGAGAAATTTGTTGTTCAACACTTTTTGATTCTCAATAACTTACTTTCCTCTCTTATATGTTGCTTTCCCGTAGGCATATTCCACTCTTTTGGATCTCCTTATTGATCTGTATTTGTCTCCTGAATGTGGTAGCTGCACATCGTAAACACCATGACGACGATGACGATGACGATGACGATGACGATGATGATTGGAGCTGGAAGAAGAAGAAGCACCACCACCACCACGATGACGATGACGAAGACGATGATCGAAGCCACAAGGACAAAGACAAGGACACCGACACCGATGTAGTCCCCACACCCGAATACAAGACACCTGTCAACACAGACTGGTTAGAAGGCATTGATTTAGACAGCGCTGTGGGAGAAATCCGACCCGTAGGATCTGGTATCTGTGAGAGTCCCAAATGTGATGGTTCCGATAATGAAAGATGTTTCGAAAGCTGCGGTAACATGGCAACCGATGACGATATTTATGGCTGTCGTGATGCTAAAACATGGGCACTGACTTTTGATGATGGACCTAGCAATTTTACAAATGAATTGTTGGATATTTTGGAAGAGGTGGATGTCAAGGCAACCTTTGTAGTCATGGGTGCTCATGCTAAATTATATCCCGACGTCTTGCGTAGAGCCTTCCAAGCTGGTCACCAAATCGCTTCTCATACTTACTCTCACTCTCATCTGATGAGCTTAACCAACGAGGAAATTGTGTATGAAATTAAAGCAACGGAAGAAGCCATTGAAGAAGCCATTGGTGCTAAACCCAAGTACATTCGTCCTCCTTACGGTGAAGCTGATGCCCGTGTGAAGAATCTCTTGAAGCAAATGGGTTACAAGGTCTTGATGTGGAATGTTGATCCAACAGACTACAATGTACATATGAAGAGTGATGGTCCTGCTCGTATCTTGAAATCATTTGACAAGGCTGCTACAGAAGGAGATGAGAATTACTTGAATGTGCATAAAGATCTTGGTTTTATCAGTCTTCAACACGGTAAGTTATTTAAAAATATATAGTTTTAAAAAAAGCGTTTGTTGCTAAATAGAATGTATAGATTTGTACAAAAACTCGATTAAGCAAGTACCACGTATTGTGAAACGTCTTCGTATTCGTGGCTACGAGTTTATGACGGCAGCAGAGTGTGTACAAGATGAAGAACCTCATGACCGAGAAGATAGAGCCATGTTGGTGAGTGCCCAAAATGTCGAATCCAAAGAAGTAGACAACAAGGAAATCACTCAAAGCGAAAACGATCAATCCGCACAACAACAACAACGACAACAACAAATTGCAAGTTCTGCAAACTCTTTTGGTTACCCTCTCTACCTGACTTTTGTCTTGGTATTCGTTGGTTTATCAGGATACTTTATTTAGACTATAACCCCCTCTCTTCATCATAATAACAATAAAATAGAATCACTTTTTTTAGACTTTTAAGCTTATTGTTTATTTATATCATGGAGCGCATGAATCCCATAATTGGTTAAGGCAAAAATAGCAACTTTTCTTTGTACAACATTGGTACCTGCATTTTTTTTCTTGTTCAACGTCGATCTAATTTCTTCTTTTTCTAAAAAATAAATAAATGTTTTAAATTCCCGGCACATGCTTTTATATAGACACACACACACAAAACGAGGGTCATTTGGTACAGAAAATAAATGGGATAGGGGAGGCATTAAAATATTATTAAGATTTATTATGAAAGTACACAGAAAAAAAACAATTTATTGGAGCATCATGGCAATAGCAACAAAAGCAAAGGCAATCATGCTAGGTTGGAATTGAATGGCTCCGCTGTCGACAGATTGAGCAGAAGCAAGTTGATTTTGACTCAACATATCAACCTTGTTGCCACTGTTAGAGCTATCAGCAGTAGCAGCATTTGTAATAGGTGTGGAGCCAGCAGCAGCGTTACCATCAGCGGCAGCGGCAACGGCGGCGGGAGCAGGAGCAGCACCAGCAGCAGGAACAGCACCAGCAGCAGGAGCAACAGGAGCAACGCCAGTACCTAAAGGAGATTCAGCAGTGGTAGTGGTAACGGGAGGACTAACATTGGTACCAGTTTGCATTTCAGCATTGTCGGTAGGGGTAGCGCTGTCTGCGTCTTCGTCAATAGTAGGGATAATTCTTGTACGAGTAGTGGTGGTAGGAGGGGTAATGGTTTCTTCAGCTTGTTGAATGGTGTCAGTGCCAGTAGGAGCGGCATCCTTATCAGTGCCGATAGGAATTGCTTTAGCAGTGGTGATGGCAGATGCTTGTTTGGTAACGGTGGTGGTCTTTTTGATCGTAGTGGTGGTAGTGATCTTTTTGGTAGTAGTGGTGGTGGCGATCTTTTTGGTAGTGGTTGTCTTTTCGGGCTTGATATCAGGACCGCTGTAATCACCAGGAATAATATGAGCACAACCCTTTTCAGAGATACCTCTGTTACAGCTTCTATCATCGTTCTATTTAAAAGAAAAAGATTAGTATGACACGAGATTTTTTTTTTTTGTGAAAATAAAAAATAAAGTTACACAACAACGCATGCAGTAGGTGTTTCCAGCAGGTTCAACTAAATTGACATAAAACTTCCAACCAGCACAAGAAGAACCTTTAGGGGCCTTGATATCATATTGACCTCCCTCATCCGTGGCGTTTAATCTTGCCTTGGCAGGATTGATTTTACCAGTGACTTGCACGTACTTGTCCGTAGCGAGATAGTGAGCAGATTGAATGAATCCTGAATTGAGTTTACCAGCATTTGTGGCTTTAGGCGTTTTGCCGATACAAAAGGCTTGGGCGTTCCATTCAGTGTCGGCAATACCTCGATCGATAGAATCAGAGGGAGGTAAGAACACACAAAAGTTGTTGGCATCTACAACTTGCGCAATTTGACCGTATGCGCTGACAGTTGAAAGAAGAGCGATGGATGTAAAGATTAAACTCTGAATAGCGACCATGATGATATTTATTATTGTTATAGTGAGTGGAATGAGTTATAAAATGAGGGTATTGGGGGTTGTTTTTTTAAAATTAGAAAGCCGTTGTATAGGGTTTGGCTAATAAAAGAAGTATATATAAAGAAGAGAGAAAAAGAAACAAAAGAGAGAAAGTGAGATCAATATATAACTTTTTCTCTCCAAAAGGAGTTGAAATTAATAATTCGAAAAAGTAAAAAGGGGAGTTAACTAAATCCGGGCATATTCACCCTTTGGAAAAGCTGTGTGCGACAGTAAAAAGTTAATTTCGTGTAATTGTCTATATTGATCATTCGTGTAGAATTACACTGTGAAATATTTTTGGTTATACCACCCCACTCACAGATTGATTATGTCCTGTCAAAAAATATCCATGAAAAAAAACCATGATATAGTATTCTTGTTAATGAAAACAGGTAAAAATAAGAAAACCCTGGGAAAAAAAAAAGACGTTTATTTTTAGCTATGAGCTCCTTATTATTTACCATAAAAAGACTTGGATCTCCTGTTGAGATAATGAGTATAATAGAAGCAAGTTACACGTAAAAACTCTCTAGTCTGATAAATGAAAGTAATCGCAAGATTTTCGAGCCAATGAATTTTATTAGTTTTTTAGTAGAAATATATAGTGCAGAAAATAATCATCTTTTTCTAATTCGATTAGGTTCTTTCATTCGTGCATTTCTTTTTAGCTTTTATTAACGCCTCTATTTCGAGTAAAACACTCTTATTTTTAGCAGGACTACTATTTTAACTGTCCGTATCCTGGAATTCCTTTATACCCGAGTTTTCAGATTTCGCACTTTTAGACTAAGGCTTACGTGATATTCGTCCTACTTTAAGTTCATGCTAATATTTATTACATGCTAAGGTCCAAAAAAACAAGATTAAACATTTTCACATATCTAATTAGTACATGGATAGCATATAAGAGTACTTTTAATATGTATCACAAACAAGATTAGTTTATTAAAATGCCAAAAATAAAAATATAAGATACTGACATTGCGACTTCACCACACGTGGCGGTGAAAATATTCCCCTCTTCCTCCCTTGCCCCCCATCGTCTGTGTGTGTGGCTGGTTTTATGGTCTGGTCCACTAGGATATTAAAAAAAAATTGGCGAGGTAGGGGAAGTATGTTTTTAATTATGGTTGAAACATGTTAATTTAATCGCGATATCTCGATTCCCCTTTGTAATATTACATTTTTGTTTGTGAATAGGTGCATTCAAGTAAAAAAAAAAGCCATAATTAAAACCTTCTGGTGTAAATTATTTCTCTTTATCGAGACATATTTACGCCAAATTTCTCCAGGCACATGATAAAAGTTCCTTTGTGTCTTCATTAACATATCTTTGTTTCGTGTGTGCATATCATTAAACAGTGATTATCCTTTTTATTTAACGTGACATAAAAAATCAGTTATATCATCCTGACATAAGCCAACTCTTGTTTATCTTTCTATAAACCAAACTTGTTCCCTTTTTTTTTTATATTCAAAAGATAATCTTAATGAAAGAAAATTATGGGCCCCGTGAAAAGGTTAGTCAATAATGTCTTTTTTTTTTCTTTTAGAAAACGCCAAAATATGACCCGTGTTTCTTATAGATTAAAAGGATGTATTTAAATTTTTGCGAATATCGGTGATATTACACAGCTACGGCTAATCATCGCTACACGGCGGGGTCTACCAGGCTGGGGTTTTAGCTTTAGACTGGGGTTACTATAAATTACATAACTCTTGCTATGAACTTGATAAAATATTAGACCGGAAATTCAACGAGATTGAGCTGGTCTGTGTTAATTGAGACCAAACATAATATATTTGTTGAGGATATTATAGACATAATAGTAAAAATAATTATCAAATCACATTAAGGATGGATAATAATATAAAAAGTTATTCATGAATCACGTATTACCTCACTAGTTCTCATCATGCCGTTGAAGCCTTGTGGCGAGTAAATATTAATTGATTTCGAGCATAATCTCTACTCTTGTCATTTGATGTGTTAGTGGTGATTTTTGTTCCGACTAAAATATCTTTATCATTAGAGACATAGTCGATTTCAGATGGTTACCATAAAAAATTAACAATATAAAACTATCTAATTTTTGAGCAAAGGGTACATTGTTGACATTTGCTACGGCTTTTCTTCTGAGGTAATTTGTTATACCGTCATTGGCAAGTTTTACCGCTGCACAGACTATATTACGACTGTTCAATATTTTCATTGATTTGGTCGAGACTCTTCAATCTATTAGGTATGTAGTAATTGTTAATCGGCTTTACAATGGTAGCTATTTCGTGTTTATTGAGACCAAAAGTAACATATTACAATTTTGTAACAGCAGTTTATTGTCTCTTAAGCATGTCATTGAGGAAAGTCGTTTTTGCGTTAATCGTAAGGAGACGAAGTCCAGCGGTAAAGCACATGCAGATGTCTAAATATATATATTCCCAGTAGTAAGTACTGTGACACTTAGTGTTATAACATTATTTATTTCATTCTTTATATTGATTTAGCTTATAACTCATGGTCGCCCGTAATCGAAATGTTGTATCGCCGCCTGTTAGCTGTAACAAAATACGGGGAGAGTATAGGATTATCGGCTGATATCAAAAGTACAACAACGGGTATTAGAGTCAATATTAGACAAATTGTCCAGGAAATATAAAGAAATCCAGGACATATTAAAGTCACCAAGCTTTTGATTGAATCAAAGATTACACTTGATCGTATTCTAAAAGAACCGCCTGTAAAGGTCCTATTTTCTCGCATTCACTTTACTTGCAATGACCTTGCTACATTAATTGTCTCAATAACAATTAAACCAAATATTGAATCTCTCGTTTTTCCTTGGAATGCACTTTTAAAAGTGAAGAAAATAAAAACGATCGACTTGTCAATATTTCTCACAGTGTAGCACCTCAGCTACGTTTCTATGACTGCTTTAGTCACACAGATTGATGGAAGAGTCGGAGGTCCGATAAAACCCGACAGCATTTCAAAGAGTCATTCCAAGATCCAAGTCACCCATCTTTTTTAGGTTTCCATAAAGGCAAAAAATCTCTCAATTTTTTTTTTATTCATCTTCTTTCTTTTATATTTCTAACAAAACAAAAATGGCTCTTGTAAACAGGTATATCTATTGTACACAATCATAAGAAAATGAAAGACAGCTAACGAAAAGAAATTATAGTCATTGTCCTGACCTTAAACTCGTTGCTCGCGGTAAAGTACGTGACTTGTACGAGGTAGATGAAAAATCGCTTCTTTTTGTGGCTACAGATCGTATTAGCGCATTTGACGTCACCATGAAAAATGTAAGTCTCTTTTTTTTTTCTGGGAAGGTAAAGGCTAACAATGTAAGAAAAGGCTATTCCTGGTAAGGGTAAGATTTTGACCGAAATCTCCCTATTCTGGTTTGATCTTTTAAAAGATGTTTTACCCAACCATTTGATCACGGCTAATTTTGATGAGATGCCAACCAAGGTACAACAATACCGTGATCAGTTAGATGGAAGATCTATCTTGGTCAAGAAGATGCGTGTTGTACCCATTGAAGCCATTGTACGTGGTTATATTACTGGATCTGGTTGGTCAGAGTATAAAAAGAAGGGAACTATCTGTGATATTCCTCTTCCTAAAGGTCTTGTCGAGAGTGAAAAGCTTCCTGAAGTGCTCTTTACACCCAGCACAAAAGCTGAAATGGGCGACCATGGTATGTCTCTTTATTTATACATTAGTTAGAAAGAATTAGAAGAAACTTACATGAGTAAATAGATGAGAACATCCATCCTACAAAGATGGTTGATATTTTGGGCGATAAGGCACTTGCCGAAAACATTACAAAGTCCGCTATTGCACTGTATACCAAGGCCAGTGAATATGCTGCCACCAAGGGTATCATTATTGCTGATACCAAGTTTGAATTTGGTTTAGATGAAGACAATAACTTGGTTTTAGTGGATGAAGTCTTGACACCTGGTAAGTTTTTTTTTTTTTAAAAAAAAAAAATGTAATTTTGTATAGTGAGAAATTCATGCAAAAAAAAAAATGAATATTTAGATTCCTCTCGTTTCTGGCCTGCCAGCAAGTATGAAGCCGGTCGTACACAAGATAGTTTTGACAAGCAATTTGTGCGTAACTATCTTGAATCAATTCATTTCGATAAACAATCAAGTATCGAGCTCCCCCAATCTGTTGTGGATGCTACCATCGAAAAGTATAAAGAAGCATTTTTCCTTTTGACAGGAAGAAATGTTTCCTTGTAATTAATTAAAATAAAAAATTTGTATAATAAATGACAGAATTAGTGTAACCTGATAATTTTTGCAAATAAATACATTCAGCTTCAGCTGTAGTATTACAGACTACAAGGGAAGATGGTGTCATCTTTGCATTTTCCTTTTTCTCTCGTCCCTTTAATAAGGGTATTCAATTGCCGTATTTTCGAATAAATCGTATTTTGAGGAATAAAAAAATCAGCCAATCATAAATTTTTATTGTAGAATGTTCGTGAAAAAACTTGGTCAAATAATTAAAAAAAAAATATGATTGACTGAATTTTTTATTCGTCAAAATACGATTTATTCGAAAATACGGCAATTGAATACCCTTAATAATGAGTTGTAGGACAAAAAGTATTAAGCAGCTATACAGTATGATACTTCAAGCTTAACTATCGTCTAAGTTCACTTTCAGACTTCCATATCTTCATTCTTTATAGGAAAGTTAGGCTACTTGACACGTATCTATATAAGTTGTCTTGACCCCTCCCCTTCTTTAAATTTCGATATGTTCCAATGTTTTAAAAACCCGCTTAAAATCATTAAAGCATTCTGTCTAGTATATATCACAATTGTTACTCGCATCTTCTCTATAATTACACCCGCTACAAAGAACGTGATGAATGTAACATTTAAACATCCAGTTCTTAATTCAGACCATCACCCTAAGAAAAAGACCTGCTAGAGTGCAAATACATAAAGAGCGCGTTATTAGGAATAAGTTATTATCTTCTGAGATCAGTTTATAAACCCCACGTTTTAATTTTATATTTGTTTACAGTGAGAAAACACGGCAGTTCTTCCGTTAATCCCGAGTCTCGGATTGGGGAAGGGTATGGGAGGGGCTTTGTCGTGGTCAGGCAATTCCCCATACCAAGTAACCATGTGAATAGATGATAAGACACAGTGAAATCTGGTGGTTGCTTTTGAACTTTATATAGAGCTTTCCGGTCCGCTACAAGTATATGAGTCAGCTTCCTTTTAAAGGGAAAGTACTATCTTATAACTCCGAATGATGCCAATTTTGTATGCATTTAGATTGAAGTTGCAATCATCTAGTTCCATGTAAACAAATGGCCATAAAAAGTTGCACTCATATTATATTTGAAAGCAAAGATAATATATATTGCACAATAAAACTTAGTACCTGATCTGAATATGGGGTTGATTTAGAAACCTTTGTAGTATTTCACTATTTGCATCAACGCGTCAAGTCAACTTCAGTTACGATCAGATAGTTTTGGCGTCGGGATCCGCTGTTCCAGACTTTCTTTATAATAAAAATTTATAAATGCATCTGTGATTCTTAAATATAATGTTTTTTCTCACAAAACTTTAATACATCTTTCTATTTTGCGAGTTTCATCATTCTCAATCCGGTTTAAATCACACAAGATCTTTTTTGCAATGGTTACAATATAAACAATTCGTTTATTCCCCCTCTCTCTCTCTCTATCCCCCTATTCTCCTTTTCTTTTCCAAATAAAGTCTTTTTGTCTTCATGGCGTGTAATATTGTTTAGTGTTCTCAAATATATTGTAATATTACCTCAAGACACTATTATTGATTGATAGTATTCAGAACTTATCAAGTAACACCAAATTAGTACAACAATTTGTAGGAGGTATTTCGCCTCGGTCATAAGATAAGAAGGGATAATTTACAATAGATATTGGGAAGTATCAACAACAAGCTAATGAGCAACTGCTGTAATTTTAAAAAGCTTATAATCATCAGCAGATAATGGAATGTTGCCAATTTTTCCAACGCTTCGGCTTTTTTTGTTTTCTACTTACCAGATGTCTACGGTCCTTTTTCCTCGTCTCGTTCGGCGAATGTTTCAACACTACATAGTCTTTCTTGGCTAATTTCTTTCTCTAGAAGCGTTTTTAATCCTTGGGTTTGACGTCGACATAATACTCGTAAGATAAATATAAAAATGTTGTATCTCTTTATTTAATCCTTGTGTTTGACTTAGTATCTATTAATAAACCTCTGTTATATTTTTGTTCCCCAGCCTTCTAGAAATCAAACTTGACTTTTTGGAATTAGTCTTTACGTTGCGTATCGAGGGTATTCCTCTGTGTATTATTTCGATCAAAAGAAGTTCTTTTTTCTTTCTTTCCTTTCTAATCGAGCATTCACTGGGACACGTATTTATACCTTCAAAAAAATAATTTAAAACATCTAAAGTAACGAACATGAATTATTCCTTCGCTTAATCGGAGTTACACTGTGATTTACTACTTTTTATGAGAGACAGCTTATTATTCATTTGTCTTGTGACAGAGAGCAACAGGACATAGTCCAATTGAAAAAAGGTTATTATAGGTGATTTCCTGTCATAGGTGATTTCCTGTCATAGGTGCTGAAACAAATGATTTGGAGTAACTCGCCCTCCGCCCCCGCCCCCTTGTAATATTTCTGTATAACGAGTGATAATGTTGATAAATGGATGACAAAACGTCAGGCTGAAGATGACAAATTTTTAAATAGAGCTCTCTTTTTGTGTGACTGTAAATCGAATATTCATTGTTGTTCTCCTTCTGTCAAACAAAGTGAATTGATGAATAGAATAATTTTACGTTTCATAATTCTCTACCACTAGTGGAATAATAATACGTCACAAACCGCATTCCTTTCTATCGGTCATGCATGGAGTGTATGATAACTAACATTCTAATTACGATTATAGGTTTCAAAAAGCAAAAAATCACGTCAATGGATGCATTGAAAAAGATATGTTATTATATAGAAAACGACGTTTGCTCATGCAATTCCACTTTTTGAATGTTCTTTTGTTTTGTTTTTTTCTTCCCAGACGAGATCTCTTCGTCTGTTCTCGTCACAGGTGAAAGTGTAGGACGATATTTGCATAGATATAGATGATTTAATACTTACTCGTTTAAATTGTATTAAAATAACTTTGAAACATATCCTTTCCAACAGGGATTTAATTCAATTGGGTGCAGGAAAACTTTGATTGGTTTACTGAAACAAGCACCTATGGCCGCGGTATTTTGATTAACCGGATTTTTTTAAAAAATAATTTATACATTCTCTTGTGATAGACATCCTGATTTCTAAGTATGATATTCGTGTTAAATAAATATAGGATAATCTTTATATTACTATGAATCGCGTCAGTGAAACTAATTGTATCGGCTTAGAAACAAATTAGGACGCCATTTTGGCGGGTCTTTTTATTTTTTATTTTCGGACTTGAACGTGGCAAGGTTATATAGTAGAGTATCGAACTCTTTTTTTAAATTTCTTTCTCTCTCTCTCTCTCATTGTTTTTCATCGATTCTATTGCATGTAGTATGATTTTTTTTTCAAGTCTATATACATGTAATAACTCTGGCGAACAAAGGTTAGACTAATATTATTTAGGAAGTACAGAAAAAAAAAGGGGGAGTGGATGAACAAATAAAGTGATAGAATACTCTGGAAGGAAAATACAATTCATAACTCGTGGTAAAGTGCGTAATTGTCTATTTTTAATGACACTTTTAGCATGATTAAAATCAAAACTAACTCTCGCATTCAGTATAGAACATTGAATTATCAAATTTTATGTATCCGAAAAAAAAAAAAAAAAAAAAAAAAAAGAAGAAGTCAGAGAAACGTGTTTATCGATTCATTCTATCCAAAAGAGAACTTTCAGCTAGACGATGGCATTTGGAATACTGAGGTTAGTATTATGTACAAGCGAACGATTTATATTTAGTGAAAAATCTTTTTATATCACGGTTTAATAAGGTGAGGCTTATTATTTGAGAAGAAAAAATAAAAAAAAGTATGCTTTTTTGTTTACTTTCTTCTCTTTGGGAATAGTAGAAAGAAAGGGCTGTCTCAAGAATTCAACTATTTGTAGAATTGATGCAAGTATGTTTGAGCTTTGGCAACTTTTCTTCTCGATTAACCTAGAAACAAAAAAAAAATCAAGATAGACGGACAGACAAAGAGAGGCTAAGAGAGGTAAAGGGGTTGCCTGGGCAAATAAATAAAACCTCCTGATAAATTTACTCAATTTATTGATTCTTTGTATTTTTAGATTGTTGATTTGTTCATCCATGAACAGAAAGGAAAGCAATGTAAGTATGAGAAGAATTTTTTTTATTTTTTTTTATTTTTTTTTATTTTTTTTATTTATTTTATTTATTTATTTTTTTTGACGAAAAAAATTAAAGACGTGTTTATATTCTCGGTAATAGAAGCGCTTGTACATCTACTGTCATTTGTTTCGTTTATAGTTAACACAATTGTAATAAAAGACTGTAATGTTATATGGCTATTTTTTGCGTATTCAACAAAAGTGAGTCTCAATTTATGTGCAAATAGAATGGCTATTCTATTACCATGTGTTTAAGGCTAGAAATATACTAATCACGAGCGACGATTTATGCGTGATCTTAACACTAAGTCTTGATTTTTCTTGGGCTCCAACTGATTGCAAGTACTACAATCTTTTTTTTTTTATTACTATTCTTTTTTATCCATTATGAACACGTATATATATTTTGTGTAAAAAAAGTGGCACTTCTGTTTTTGGAAACAAAGAGGTTCTAGGCTATTTTCATCCTTTTTGTGTGCTTGTGGTACTTTTCGATCGTATAATAGAAGCGTCTATTTAAATCATACTTTTGTTGAAGGTGCGATATTTAAGTACTCAAAAAAAAGTCATTGAACTCACAAAGGTGATTTAAAAAAGTTTTACGAATAATAAACAGACTTGGTAGATCAGCAATTCTCCAGTTAAAAATAAATGAATAAATGCAATACAAAAGTGAGATCCCGGAATGCTGTGGGAGTTTAAGGGGGGACAAAAAAAAAGCGGCTTCTTGCCTTGTAAAGACAAGAAAAAATTAAAAATAAAACTGGTTTTATAGCCAGAACTTAAGCTTTCGGTTTATATGTGCACCCCCCAGAAAAGGTTGTCAGTTGATCCCATATTTGTATTATAAATGAATAAAAGAAAGATATCTGTAGTGTGCTACCACTCTGCTCAGGAATTTATTGACCGAGATTTATAAAACGTTGCGACACAAGCTGCTTTAAAAGCACGTGCAATGGGAACCATAGTATGACAAGAAAAAAAATAGGTACTGTTTCCTTTTACCTAAACATCTCTTTCTCAACCACATTGGTCGACAGGTAGTCATGGCATGTCACACGTACATTTAGAAAGAATGGCTTTCCCTCTTGTGATCTACCCGATGTTGTGCGGCGGATATTTGACTCCTTTTAGCAAAGATAAAAAAATAATAAAAAAACAAATAACACGTAAGCCATTGACATTTTAGGTTGCTTGGTATTATGTCTTCAGTAAAAACAAAAAAAGAACAGGGGTGGGGGGGGGGGGAGAAGCAATATTTCTTTTTTATTTTCTGGGTTTGTTTTACCAAATTTTTAAACGAAACAGAAAGGGTAGAATAGATTATATACGCCATTCATATAACATTTTTGCACTCAATGGATAAAATCGTATTACATTTAACCGATGCAGTCTAGTTTTACAAGATCCTTATTGAATAAGTCAAGCTGTCAATCGGGAGTACGAATACACTCTTTTCTACACACATTATTATGTGTTACTTGATGTGTTTACATCTCCTTTTGAATAAAGTCAATGACAAGCAAACATAGGTCTTTCGATCGGAGAAGATGAGAGTCATTTCCCAGGTTAGGACAATCGATTGGTTAATCGAAAAAAAATCCTACAAACAGTGGGGGGAGGGAAGCTGCTTATTGCTGTATCACAGTAAAAAGAGAATTTAGGGGACGAAATACAAAAAAAACCTTAAAATATTGTCATAACATCAAACCCTATTTTTTTGTCATTTATGATGATAGAAATCAGAATGTTCAACCCTGCCTATCCCCCACCCCCCTCATCAGCCTTTATTTACAATTATAGTGTATCGGTCATCCGGACAACTTTTCCATGTATTGTTTTCCATCATGATTTCTGTATTAGGATAAATAGACGTGGAGTCAAGACAATAATTGCCTAAATGAATACAAACACACATCTTCAATTTACTAATTGTGTTCAAACTTTTTTCAAAGAGGGTTAAGTCATAATTTATTAAGTTTATAGAAAGATAGATAGGGATACAAAAAAAAAGTTGAGATGGGATATACAGGGTATGAACAAAAAAGAATATTAAATTAAGAAAAAGAAAGAAGGTAGAATTTGCATAAAAAGGTTCATGATATTCTTCTAGGTTAAGAGAGAGGAGATAAGGGCATAAGAGGAGAGGGTTTTCATAATAGATAGCAGACAATACATATACGCGTACGCCTAAGCTTTCACAAGATGATCATGCCTTGCGAAGAGAGCAGACCTTGTCTACAGCTTGGTGTCGTTTGAAAGCATCACTACGTGCAAAAGGTTTGCCACAAGAACAAATGTACTTCTTGATACCAGAGTGCAATAAATCATGACGTTTTAAATCATGGGGACGCGCAAAAGTCCAGCTACATCCTGGGTAATGACATACATAAGGTCGTTCATTAGTATGTGTTCTTTGATGTGATTTCAAATTGTATGGACGCGAGAATTTTCTTGAGCAAGTGGGACATATTAATTGAGAGGCAGGTGTTCTCTTGCCAGAATTTCTCTTTCGCTTTGTTGTTGTTGTTGTTGATGTTGTTGTTGTAGAAGGTGTCATCATAGCTGTGTTTACTTGGTGATGATATTGATGATGTTGTTGTGGGTAGTTGAATTGATTCATATCAAAAGTAGTATTGTATGAATCTTGAACAAAGTGGTTGGAGGGAGATTGCATATGTTCCAGTTCATATTGCATCTGTAATTGTATTTGTTGATGAGGATAGTCTTGCAAGTATGCATCATCGTTTTGAGCATAGTATAGACTAGGAGAATGATGATAGCTGGGTGAGAGTGGCGCATCAAAGGTATCTACCGAACGCATACTCATGGGAGAGAGCGGTGTGTTGGTAAAAGTCATGTACTTGTCATTTTGTTCGCGCAATAAAGTATTTAGACTCTCTTCTGGAGGAGGCGTATCATTTGAATAGAGAGCAGCGGGATACTTGTTTCCGGTAGGATTAAACTCTGCTGTGGGACACCAAGTAATAGTGGGGTTCATGACCGACATGGGAGCTTCAAGCACAGTATGACTGTATTGATAGCCAGTATTACAATGATGAGCAGAAGGATAATCAACGATAGGATACATGTCTTGATGTGAATAGCAATGATTATCTTGACAGTGGGAAAGTTGGCTATTAATAATTAAGGTTAAGCATCTAAAGTAAATGATGTAATAATCGCGAAATAACTACCTGTTATTCATTTTATGTATATTTTGTATGAAAAAAAGTATCAGATTGAGATAAAGGGGAATCAAGAAACGATCTTTCCTGGGATTTTTTTCAATCGCTTTATATGTTTAGAAAAAGTCGTACAAGGAAATTATCAAACTCGATTGCTTTATTTGGAACAAGACAACCGGGAATATCAAAAGTGTAAAGAAGGGCGTAAATGATTTATAGTGTGACTTGTAATGAACGTTGCACAAAAGGGGATCCTCCTCCCTTTTTAATTCTATTATTATTCTTTCTCTGTAGTTGCACCCCTCAGCCAAAGAAGCTATTTTATCCCTTCTTTTTTTTTTTTTCTAATAATATATTTGTGTACTTTTTTTTTTTTTTTTGGTAACCCTAATTGTCATGGTTACGACAATTGAAACTACGCTCAAAAAACAGTTTGGATCATGATTTTTTCTAGAAGTCGTCCCTCCTCACAACCTTTGCAAAGGTGGCTTGGATATTTTTTGCTCCTGCACAAAATAACTCCGGTGTTGGACTGTTTAAAGCATACATTTTTTTTCTTTTATCTGCTTCTTTATCTTTTTTATTTTATTTTTTGTTATATAACATTTTACAATATGCCAGTTCGTTCACCCGATATTACCAGTGTCGATCAGCCCATGGGTTCACCAAAGAGTTTGACGGAAAGAGAAGAAACTAACGAGAATGTCAGTAAAGAAAAGATGACCAACATGAAGCTCATGATGAAAACCTTTGTATTGGGAGCACTTCGTGAAAAAGAACAGGTAAACTATTTTATCTCTTGTTAAAAGAAGAAAGAGGGAAAAAGAGGCACTCTTTTTTTTTTTTGGCTGGTTTTAAGGTGGTTTTTACAACTGTCAATGTTGTTTTTCTTTTGTTTTTGGGAAATCTTTTTTATTTCTTTTTCTCGTCATAGAAAAATGAAACCAAAAAAAATAACAATTTTATCAAACTACTGCGGCATGTCCCCGTATTACTTGTTAATACGTTCGGGTAATTGCTTTGTTAATAGCTTTTAGCGGGTCCAGAAAGTAAAAATACACAATCCATATATATATATATATATATATCCATAATGTAAAAAGAAGGAAAGGGCATTGATTTTTTTTTTCTTTTTTTTTTTTTTTGTAAAAAAAAAAAACAAAGAATATGGGAACATGATAGAAAAAGAAAGTAGTTTTGGAAGAAGAACCATTTATTATTTATGAATTAAAAAAGAAATTATATGGGAAACTATGACAGTTATTTACCCTCACAAAACCTTTTTTTTTTATTTCTTTCCTCATGAAAAAAAAAAAAAAAAAAAAAAATCTGCTCTTTTTTTCTTATTATTGTTATTTCGTAATCCCTTCATTCCAACAATCATAACTCACTCGCTTTTTCTCCGTTAGGGTAACACCAGTCGTTATAATGAATTGGTTGAAATCCTCTCCCGAGATCCCTCAAGTCCTGAAGCTCCTTCTACCTTAAAGTTATTCACTTGGATCGTCGTCCTATCTCAATGCGTATCTCTCTTGGACAAATCATGCGCAACCCTGGTGGAAGCTGCTTTACAAGTCGACTGGAGTTTTCGTAATAGAGCATTCGTCAATGCCTACATTGATTTCTTGGAGAATTTGGTATCCGCACATGCTTTCTATGTAGTCCCTATCCTCAATACCGTTGTCCAAGGCTTTAGATACCGTAAGTTACCATATCACATATGTTATTCCTAACCATGCTCATGCCTTGAATGTGTTTTAGGTGTACGTGTGCCTGAAGGTTCCAATGTCACACGTAGTAAATCATATGAACGTTCTCATGAGGCGCTTCAATGTATTCTCCAACTTATCCCTACAGGTACCAATTCTCTCTTTGTTAGTCTTGTTCGCTTTATGCCTCACAAACGTTTCAATACGGCCGAACAAGCAGCGTACATTAAGAACATTTTGTACGTCTCAGAATATGTTCCCGTATTACGTAAACAAATCCTGGGTATTGTGATTGATCAAATGGTCCAAATTGACGCACAAATTCAGATTGAGTTGGACGAAATGGATCAAGATATTGAAGCTGATGTTTATGATATGAATTTTGATAAAGACTACGAATCCGAAAATAGCGATGACGACATGTCTGACGAGGATGATGATGATGATAGTAGCGTTGACAGTCGAACCTCCAACCATGGTGTGGACCGTAAAGATTCCATTATTCAAATCAAGCACATGGTACGAAAACTAGACGCCATGATGCACCTGGCATTTCAATATTTCAGTAAATGTGCTTCTTCCGCTTCCGTTGATGTCCAGAATGAAATCTTTTATGCCTTGGTAGATATCTTTGATCGTGCTGTTCTCAAGACTTTAAAATCACGTTATACGCAGTTCCTCTTGTTCTACTTTTGTTCCTTGAATGTTAATGTGTATAGTGATTACTTTTTGGAACACTTGATTCAGCACATTACGGACCCTTTGAAACCCAATGTTACGCGTGTGGCTGCTGCTGCCTATATCTCTTCATATGTTGCCAGAGCCAAGTTCTTAGACCCTAGCACTATCCAACGTGTGGTTCTGACGTTATCTGCCTGGTGTGGGTCTTATGTGGATCAATACGAACCCAACGTACGTAGCCTTGACTGTACCAAACACGATGTCTTCTATGCGGTCATTCAAGCCACCATGTATATATTTTGTTTCCGATGGAGAGATCTCGTGATTAACAATGAGTTGCAACTTGAAGAGGAACTGTTTGAAGAAGAAATCATGGATGAGGAACATCGTGAGTTAACACACCCCGAATCCGGTTTTGGTCATGCTGCCACACGTACTTGGTGTGTTGGATTACGTAACTTGCCACGTTTAGTGATGAGTAAATTCAACCCATTAAAGCTTTGTGCTCCCTCCGTTGTGACACAGTTTGCCAAATTGTCAAGAAATACTCATTTTATGTACGTTTATCCTGTCTTGGAAAAAAATCGTGATATCTTTGTACCGGGTTTAGGTGGCTCCAATCTTTTACAGACCGTACAAACCTTTTTCCCTTTCGATCCTTACAAGTTGGATGGTAGTCGTGTGTTTGTAGATGATATCTATTTTGACTGGATTGCAGAAGATGATGAGGAAGAGGATAGTGAAGAGGAAGAAGAAGATAGTGAAGATGAAGATGTGACTTCGGGCATGATGGCCATGAGTATCAGTCCCAGTCCCACTCACTACTTGAATTAGACCCTCCTTTGCACGTACACGCACACTCGCACACACACACACACACACACACACACATACAATTACATCGTCTTTTATATCAATTTTTTTTTTCGCATACGCTTACCCTTTTCTCTTTTTTATCATTCATATTTTATTGCATACATATAAAAAATAAAAAATGTATCTCTACATTCAATCAATGGCCTGCTAATTTACTTTGCCTCCAGCCAATGGAATCCGGATTTAATACAAAGACCACGACAAGAACAATCATGAGGGATATGATGAAAATACCAAAGGCAATACGAGACCGTCTACGCCAAATACGATCAATTCTCCTACTCGCCGACGATTGGCGGTTTGCTTGCGAAGAGAAATAAAATGCTCCCAATAACCAAAGTGGAGGGAACAAGAAACCAAGCAAGAAGCAAAGAAAAGAACGTCGACACCCAAATGTCTTTACTGCTGCTGCTGCCTCTTCATCATCGTGTATTCCGTTCTTTTCATCGGGGTCTAAAGAAGATAGTACAGATTCATCATCATCTTGAGCTTCTTTACAAAATTGTTTAGCCTTTTCGGAAATGTTACGCTTCCAACGTGCAGTATGTGCTTCTTGTTCTTCTCTATCATGGTCACCTTCCGTTTCAACATCCGTGGCTTGCGCACGCATTTTTTTCAAAAGCTCCAAGCGTTCAATCAATGTATTCTCATCTTCCGGTCCCCAACGCTCCTCCTTCTCCGTTAGTGACATATCAGGTAAGGTAGGTGTCATGGTGGCCGTCGAATTCTCAGTACTATACATATCCAAACTAGGACGCTCCACCACTTTCATCTCGCGTAATTGATTGCCGTCGTCCACAAGACGATCAATCTTCTTCTGATGTTGAATAAATTGATCTTCTTCTTCTTGTTGGTTTAGACCATGAATAAACGCTCCAAATGAATACTGAGGTTCAAAAAATGCATCCCAGCGTTGACGTTGCACATGAGCATCTGTCTTTTTATTTAATCCTTGATAATGCTGCGTTGTACCCTCAATCAGGTCCATACTATTTCTTGTCGAATTGGGTTCGCCATACAGTGTATGTCGACGACTGCTTGTTACACTCACCGTTTTTGATTCCATTATTTTTCCGCTAGCCCGTGGGTTAAAAAGAAAGTACAAAAAAAAAAGATTTATATTTTTAGCATCATTAACGGAAAATTATGTGTTTGTTTAAAAAAAAAGTTTATTTGTTACAAAATAAGGATATGTACAATAAGGGTGCTGAAAAAAAAAACTATCTTTTTTAAGAAGATTGGTGTTTATAATGAACTTCAGAGAGTTCTCTAAGACGAGTAGCAGCTTGTTCAGGTGTTAAATCACGTTGAGGCTCACCCAACATTTCAAAACCAACGAGGAACTTGCGCACAGTAGCACTACGCAAAAGAGGAGGGTAATAATGAAGATGAAGATGAGCAACATCAGTTTCATCATTCAATGGCTTTTGATGGATACCCATGGAATAAGGGAAACTTGTCTGGAACAAGTTGTCATAGCGACAGGTCACTCGACGCACAGCATCTGCAAGATCGGTTTGTTGCTTATCATTCATCTCGGGTAAAGATCCAATATGTACCTTGGGCAATACCATCACCTCAAAGGGCCACACTGCCCAAAATGGCACCACCACCAAAAATGTATCATTTTCAAAGACTGTACGCTTACGCTCAGGGTCCGCCAACTCCCGTTGTGCATAATCACACAACATACATTTACCGTTGTGCTTCTCCTTATATTCTCCCATTGCTACCAATTCTTTACAAGGCTCTTCAGGCACACTTTCCGTACACCACATTTGACCATGAGGATGAGGGTTGGAACATCCCATGGCAGCTCCTTTATTTTCGAAAATTTGTACATGATTGACATATTCCTTCTTCTTCATTTCCAAATAACTTGAGGTCCAGATCTCTACTACCTTTTTGATATCTTCTACAGGCATTTCAGCCAATGTCAAGTCATGACGTGGAGAGAAACAAATGACATGACATTCACCGCGCACACCTTCCACCTTGATCAAGTCATCCTCGTTGGCTTCCAAAGTAGGTTGGTCCGCCTTCACAGCAGCAAAATCATTAGGAAAACGGAAAGTAGCTTCGTACTGAGGATTGGTTTCACCACTTGCACGTTGGTTACTAGGGCACAGGTAACACTTGGGGTCATAGGCTGGACGTTGCTCCATATCTGCTCCTTCTTGTTGTCCCTGCCAAGGTCTTTGTGTACGATGAGGAGAGCAAAGCACCCATGATTTAGTCAAAGGGTTATAACGACGATGAGAATTGTTACTGAAATCAAACATAATTGTGTGTATTGATAGAAAGAAAAAGAGGGTTGTCTTGTTGCAAAAAAAATTATTTTTTTATCTTATTTTATTAGTGAAACCCCGCGGGTAGGGATTGCTTAGGTAAACAGTCGGCCTTTGGATTTACATAAGCGACTTTTTTAAACTCGGCTCCTTTCATAGCATCTGATACCCTGTCTCCGATAATAGTTTAACCATTTCTTATGATCATCATGATATCAGTTAAACAAAAAAAATCCTTATTATACAAGCCGCTACTTTTATTTTTACCTTGCCATTCTATACCGTTGGATGCTCCCCATAAAGAACTTTGTTGGTTTACAATCAAGTCCTTTTTATTACCGTCGTCTTCTTCATCACCAATGATCACTTTAGATAACAAGCTGAGAAATGGGACCAGTGATTTCTAAAAAGGGGTTAGATGTATGTGTAACATGAGATATATATCCGTACCTCTGTAATGTAATCTTCCAATGCTTTATACCTCTCTTGAAAACGTTGTGAAAGATTTTTTGACTCTGCATTGAGATTAGGATCCATATTCCGATAATTTAAAAACAAAAGCATTTGTGTCTGAGCCAAGCAATAACCTAATTTTAGTTTAGCATGGTTTTTTTGATAAGATGGATGTCCCCTTACTAGATAAAGACCATGAACAGAGCAAGGAAGTGATTTCCATAGTTTCAAATAAATCCACAGCAATACGTAAAGTCTCTTGACATTTTACTGGCATTTTGACATTAGAGGTATAGCCGGAACCCATAGAAATGAAGGGTCGTTTTGACAAGAGATAGACAGCGCAGTAAATAAATCGTAATTTACCAGCTCCGTCATTTAATTTCTCTTGCAAGACAGGATCAATCTCCTTCCTGCTTACTTTGTCTAATTCCGCATCCGATAAACTTAGTTGCGGTGGTAAACAAGACTTCCACTCTATCAACATTTTTTCTAAACTACGTGAAATATTTTCTAACCCATGACCTTTTTCAGACATCATGCGGGCCCTGGGTGAACACAACGCACGTAAAATATCTCCCAGGATACATGATAATTTCACCAGATGCGTAAATTGACTATATTTGGTATCTTGCGCGTCAGGCGATTCTACATCACAATCGGCGTCAGAGATCGTGAGCGGTCTTTACAGAAATATTTCTTAGTGGTTTTTTCAAACAGGGTTGCACACACACACACACACATTTACCTTCCCAAGGACGCACAAACAACACGATCGATTACATAAGCAGACCACCATAATCTCTTTTTAGCCTCCGTGACCTTTTTAGGCTCATGTTGCGTATTTGCACGATGAAGACCCAGATCCTGTGCCATCTTGACTGCAATACTCGTGATAATCCAATCCGTGCTCTCCAATCCCCATTTCGTAGGATTTGAAGCATTCAATAACAAGACCTGAATCGTTTCCATTTTGGGCTCCAGAAAATCCAGGTCGAAATTCACGTCCAGTTGATTCGTGAGGTCACGAAAAAAACTACCACGGTCTATCCCATATTGCATGACTATCTCATCGTCTTTTTTTAAAAGCCTACACGTAGCACGACATACCGCCATAACAATCGCTGTAAATCGTGGATTATAATCGCCTTTTTCGTAATTCTCATAAAACTGTTCTTCGTCAAGAATCGGTAACAGATTATTTATACGCCTGAAGTACCTATTTTAAACAAAAATAAGTCATTAACGACATTCTCTCTCTCTCACACACACACACACACACACACACACACACAAAGGGTTCTTACATGTCTGTCAAATAGTCAGTCAATGCCTTTGGTGGTAATTTCCAATCGGGAGCTGCATGTTGCATAAAGGTCGGATTATTCCAACTACTACGGGAGTTATAATTGGCAATCATCAAGTCTTCTTCATGACCATCCACAGGTCTTGGAATCGGATCGGATTCCTCATACCCATTACCGTCTTTTGGAAATAAACGGCTCAAAAGATAAATACCGGATGAACTACCTACATACGAAAATGGGCCATCTTTTTCATTCTCGGGTGCTTCCACTGCTGAAGGTCCATTCCTCTGATACTCCGCACCTTGATCATCCTCCACACCCGTATCCTCTTCTTCCTCTTCCTCGTTGTGTGCCTCTGAATCTGAATCTGCCGCTATTGTCGGTGCTACATTGCCGTTGGAAGCGATATTCATTAATAATTTCTCCATGCGTTTTAATCTACTTTCTAACCCTTCCACATATCCCTTGGGAGGTCCTCGCTTCTTTGCCGCCTATTTTTTTTTTTTTTTTTGTAAGTTTCCCCTATATGTACTACAGATATTGTTTATTGTTTTACCTCTTTAAACGTACACTCTTTATTATAACTCTTACAAGAGGCGCATGGAATATGTGGATACGCGCTATCGTAATCGCACCTACAACAATCGTATGTAAGCGACAGAAATTCTGGTGAAGGGAGACTCGTATTACCTTATCTTTTTTCGTCTGCAAAGATCGCCTACAACATGAAAGCAATGTGAACATTTAAAGCAACTTTTTTAATTTCATAGTGTAACACTTTACATGCCCTGTCCTTTTTCGATCGTTTACGATTTTCAATTGGTGGAAAGGTTTCTAATGTTGCTTGTCTTTGTGTGTCCATTACTTTTCTAAAAAAAAACTGCCAAGAGTAAAAGAGAAAGGACAAAGAGAAAGGAAAAAAAAGAGAGCGGTTATATTGTAAGCCCCTAGCCAATAAGGTAGAATGAAAATCAGGATAAATAGAGGAAGAGTAGTTTTATAGTAAAACTGCATGAAACACATATGCATCGTATCAGGATTATCTCCCTTTATTCAATGTGCTTTGACCGAAATGTCTCATGGCACGTCATTTGCACTGCAAATGAATTTAATTAAAGTGGAAGGAACCTTATGCAGAAGCAGCAACGGTAGTAGCAGCAGACAACTGCATTTCAACTTCAGTTAAAAATAACAGGACATGTTTACACATGGATGATATCAAAACCGCCACAGGTTAATAAGAAACAAATTCGCCCAAGATCTGATACAAAAAAAATAGAGCCAATTGGAAACGTAATTAAAGTTATAAGTAACCCCTATCTTTTTTTTTTCGTTTTTCCTCTTTCTCTCTTTCTCTCTCTCTCTTTCTCTCTTTCTCTAAAAATGGATTATCGATATGCTGATCAGTACTATCATCAATACCAGAAGCCATTGCGATCCATATATCAATCGTCTTCCACAGGCACAATGAATCCACAATATCAACAGTACTACCAACAGCAGGTAAAATAATACACACACACACACACAAATAACCTTCCAATAACACTATAATATATATGAAACAGGATCACGACTGGTATTTCCCAGAAGCTCCTCCTCGTCGACGAAGAAACAAGATTGACCGTTCTGTTAATTTACATATCGATGGAGAACCTATGAACGATCTCGAAGTCATTGCAGCGAAAAATGCAGCAAAAAATCAACGACAAAGCAAAATAGTGTATGACGATGAGATGGATGATAGACTGCTATCACCACCCATAGCAACGGCAGCAGTAACAGCACCTACGCCACCATCACTATTGCAACCGTCACCATCACTACAACCACGGATACAGCCACAGGAGGAAAAAGAGACTTTACCACAAGGGTCACGAGATGATATGTCTTTGACAGATGATGATGATGTTTTATCGGATGCGTCTAGACCCAAAAAAAAGAAGCGGTGGCCATTTTCGTATTTGTTTAGACCTTCTACTTTAAAAGGCTCGACCAGTACACCTTCTCCCTTACCACCCACACCTGTATTATCACCTGACAATGGATCCTCTACCATAGCAAGTGAAGAAGGAGAAGAAGAAAAAGGTTATTGGGCGTTTAAATACCCCACCTTGATTCCGGTCACACCAGCCATCTGGATTAAATTCGACATGATAAATCAAAAATTGATCACACATCATGTGAAGACAGGTCGTCTGGACGGTCTACAATTAACAGATTCACATATGTATAATGGAAACATACCATTTCTTGTTATTCCTTCACAACAATGTTGCTATGTCTTGTTGGATTTACAAACAACTCAACTCTCTTGTCTCCAAATAACTTATACTCCCTTTTAAAAAAATAAAGTAAATTTGGGGGAGGAAGGAGTTAAACTTTACCCCGAATCTGTAAAAAAAGATTTTTTATTTGTGGATCCCCGATCTCTCTTTTTCTTCCTTCTTGTTAAACATATAAATGGTAAATAGATACTTGCTGGAACAGGTATTTAGTTACTTTGGTCTTGTTTTCTGGTCTTTACAATTAGCTCCCCAAGGTAAAAAAAAAGTTTTTTTTTTTTGACATTTTCTCCCCAGATATTTATAAATCGTATGGTTAGCATGGAAAACATATAGAAGAGGCACCTCTACAGGTGTTTCTGTTTGGACAATGTTTATTTGGACTTTTGCAGGCCTATTTATGGGCGTTTACAATATTGGTTTGAATGTTGCTCTCGCACTATGGATACAACCTCAACTCTTCACCTTTATTGCTCTTATCTGTCTCATGCAAGAATTTCGTTACCAACACGAATGGTCTAAGACAAAGACCGCTGCAGGATTTGTCGTCTGTTGTCTCGTCATTGGTGCCTTAGAGGCAGGTTTTATCTTTGCCTTTCAAGTAAGTCACATTTATTATAGAAAGATCGGTCGGCTGATCCCTTTTTATTTTGTGTAATTCAGCGTGCTACTTTAGTGAATAATGAAGGTGGAATTCGCTTTTTTGGCATTATACCTGTCATTTTTGTCTTAGGTGGATTCTTGCCCCAATACTATGAAATCTTTCGTAAATATATCTGCTTACCCTTTTCCGTTTTTTCACCTTATTCATCTCTCTTTTTTGCTAGGCGACCGTAGAGTCATTGGTGTCTCACGCGTATTTTTAGCCATGGATTTCTCTGGCTCGATTTTCTCCATTCTTGCGCTAGGTTTGTTTGGGTTACACAAAACGTATTTATTTTATCTTTTAACCAATGAAATATAAATAGTTTACAGTGCATCGATGGACGCTTTAAATTTAGCTAATTATGTAGCCATCGCCGTCTTGGACGTTGGTATCTTTAGTCTTTATTATATCTTTGAATGGTATCAAGCTAAATACAATGATGAACATGAAGAAGAAGAAGAAGAAGAAGAGGTGGGAGACAAGGAAATAGTTAGACAGTTATCGTATGACTGTGAAGATGCTCGTAACACCAAATCTTTAGCTTGAGTGGCATAGCCCATGACCACATCTTGTAGCCCACTAGACAAAAAAATCTCCATTGACCTAATAGACTTCCCACAACCATAATCATTACAGTATACACTAATAATTCGGAAAAAAAGAATGCTGCATAATAATACCATGTATCACCTATAAAACAAAGAACATCTTTTTTAGTTGAATAATAATAAAAAAAAAAAAAAACTTGTTCATTTACTTGCTAATCTCGTCAACAGTAATCTCGTCACCTTGACACTGGAAGAGCCTACAAGCCCAAAGATACAGAACCTCCAGAACCAAACAAAGTAAAACTTGGCTCCTCTGCTTTGAGACACGTCTGTTTCTCCTTGCTGTTCAATATCACTTACTAGTCTTGTTGTTTCCATCAGATAAGGCGGACAGTCAAATAAATAGAAAGAATAAAAAAAAGTGAACAAAAAGGTAAATAAAAGGGCCTCTAATATTTCGGAACTCTTTTCTGTAGTCACCCCGCTTAAAATGTTATCAGATTCCTTACGTAAGTTACCATGGGCAACCCGAAAAGAAATTCAATAAAAAGAGCGACTTATCATAATTATAGGTCAGCTCATTGGATTTGTGTTGGTCGCCATCTGTTGGGGATCCACTAATCCTCTAATCAAACTTGGAAGTGCTGGTCTGGATAAAGTCTCTGACAAATACCCAGATGGTGGTTTAAAGAAATGGTTAGCTGAACTCAAGTACCTCTTTACAAAGTGGCAGGTAACCTACAAGACAGAAAAAAAATGCACTCAAAAAATTAAAAACTCTACAGTACATTTTACCATTAGCCCTTAATTTAAGCGGTTCCGTTGTCTATTATTACACATTGGGAACATCAGACATGTCACTGGCTGTTCCCATCACAAACTCTTTGACCTTTATCTTTTCTTTATTAACAGGTTTACTCCTTGGAGAAAAAATTGGAGGAAAAGGTACGAGATAACCTGGTTTTTTTCTACACATCATTCCCTTTGACACATCGTTTTTCTTGTAGATGCCTGGTTGGGAATGGCTTTAGTTGTAGTTGGTGTAGCCATTTGCGTTGGCGGAAACTAAAAAATAAAGGCATTTTTATTTTTCCCACCAATATGCTTACACTCAGGCTCGCCATATTTGAAAGACTCCCTTTTTTTTTCAAAGGATGAACATCTTTTACGATGCTTTACGTCTGAACCCAGGTCTTTTTTTTTTTTCCTGATTGAGACATGTCATGAAAGGTCAATTGACATCAGTTCCGTAGGTCTATCTCATTGCCAATAAAAAATAAATTATAACTGGTATGAGTGAAATATTGATAGGCAAAACCTTTTGTCTTTACTCCGAAAACAGATTCGTGTTTATACACAAACACTAGACGCACATTTAGCACGATGCTTGTGGTGATAAAAGCCTTTTCGTTATTCAGACAAAAAAAAAAAGGCTGTCAATGGACAGAGGAGAACCGTACAAGGGACGGAGGAAAGCTGCCGCAATGGATAGAGGAAAACCGCACGGGGGACAGGGGAGGGCTGATACAATGGACAGAAGAAAACTGCCCCCAGGAACAGAGGAAAGCTGCCACAAAGGCAACGAAAGAAATGTCGTAAAACATCGCCTCTATTTATACTTTTTTCGCAATGGCCTGTGACTGTAGTTATGAATCATGTGAGCATTCAGGTTTTCATGCAGCTTTTTTAAGCGTGGGAGTCTCTCTCCATGCTTAATAATGAGCAGTCACGAATTGAGTGTTCGGCTTCGGCCAAAATGTAGCCGTATAAATAGAAAGCCTTTGTCATTACGTTCAGAGGCTTTGAAAAAAAAAATTAAGAGCAAACTTGACGTTGTAAGCAAAAAAAAAAAAAGTTTGAAAAAAACTATTAAATGGGACAAACGGTTTGATGAAGTTAAGCTGATCTGTTAAACTCTCCTATTGATGCTTATTGTTTTTAAAAAAACAAGGGAGCCTGTGTGAATGCTTTAGCGGCTGTGTTCATCTTGTACAGAATCTGCTTTTCCTAACTTCACAGTTAAGTTCTCATGGCCTAATAAAGTATCAGAACGCCTTTTAAAAAATAATTGGACAAGCTTTTATTTTTTGTTCCCTTTTTTTTTTTTTTTTTTTAATTTACAATTTCTTAACATGAGCATGACAGACGAGGAATTTCGAGCAAAGCTAGAAAAGCACTTTTCACTGTATCGCATTAACTTGCGTACTCCCATCGCCTCTCAAGTAGGACCTAATCAATGGTATCGAGTCGACATTTTACTTGTTAATGAATTAGGATTATTTCGTCGCGCAGATATTGAACCCAATGGACAGGTCACTGTCGCCTGTGACTTGTATGTTCCCCAAGCACAAGGCATGACACCCTTCTACGAAGACGAAGACTGGTCTCTCGACATTCGCCCAGCACCTTCATTTGGTGAAGGTCGATTATCAAAAGAAGCTTCAACCGTACCTGGCTTTTGCAGTTCAGGAAAAGGTGCTTTCGAATACCGCATTCGTTCCAAACACGAACAACCAATTGCTGGTAAACGCTATTTACACATTAAACCAACACAATTAGTCAACTTTCCTCAAAACACCAATGGTAACTTACAAGTGATCTTACCTTTGGTCATTGGTCCTATTAACATTGTACCTGACTTGCAACAAATGGATACGCATTTACCTTTGGAATTATGGAAAAATCAAGACATGGAAATGGTCTATGATGGTTATCGACTTTTTTCAACATCCATGCAACCACCTGTCAATATCGCCATTCATGAAATGTGGGATTCAGGCATTCCTGGTAAGATTTGGGATTCCGCTCTTGTCATGCTGGATGTCATGAAAAACATAATTGATCTTCATCCTGAATATATCGATGGGAAACATACCTTGGATTTAAGCGCTGGGTAAATTTTAAATGAGAGGTAATATTAAAGAGGTATAAGACTAAACATGGGTTCTTAGTACGGGTTTACTGGGGTTATATGTTGCGAGTATGATGGCATCACCGAATTCAACCATCAAGAAAGGAAAGATCACCATTACCGAATTAGACGAAGCTGTGGAACTTATTGATAAGAATTTGATTATCAACGATTTCCTAAATCACCGTAACCCACAATGCGATATGAAAACGAGATCACTTTTATGGGGAAACAGCCAAGAAGCAGCCTCTTGTGGAAAAGCTGATTTGATTATTGCATCTGATGTATTATACGAAGCTCAGTTCTTTCAAGATCTTGTCAAAGCCTTTGTGGATTTAAGTACAGAAAATACGCGTATCTATATTGGTTATAAGCGTCGTGGGTTTGATGAGGCAGAGGAACGTTATTTCTGGTCGTTGTGTGAAGCACATTTCAATGTCAAACTCTTGATCTTTAACGGTAAAGAGGATGCCGATGATGGTTTGGTGCCTCAGATGACTTTAGAAACAGGTGTGCAATTATACCGTTTAACTCCAAAATAGATTACTGTGTACTTCTCCCTTTTAGATTTATAGACCCCTTTTTTTACTTTTAAACAGAATAATAAATACCGTCACTGCAGCTGGGCCTTCTTTTTTATTAAATCATGTTTTTTGTCAAGGGAAATTCACATCTCTTATCCTTTTCAAATCCTTTGGTAACAGGCCAAACAGAAGAAGAAGATCTTATTTTGTTAAAAGAAGAATTAAATTCACCATCAACGACTATCCACCATCTATTAGATTCTATTGATATGCTTCCTGCTTTTTTACTCGTGGCATCTTCTATGTCTTTGGTTGCCTATCTCTATACCATCCTTCTGATTCCAATCGTCATGACTGCAACCATTCCCATACCAAATAACCAAACCGCAAACACAACTCTTCCCAGCCTCATTAGTTGTCCTTTGCTTTTACCTCGAAGCGCTCCGGCACAGAACGTACACGATTTAAGACCGGATGACATCCGTATTGTCATTGGTCTGGGTGACAGTGTCATGGCCGCTTTTGCTGCTAAGGGTGTTCAAAATAGATTTTTAAATATAGAAAATCTTTATGAAAACAGAGGCATCTCTTTTGCTATGGGTGGTGTAAAGTATTTTTTTTTTTTTTTCAAAGAAACAATTAGTGATACGAGTGATTTATTTAGCCGTATTTTTTAAAAATTAGGACCCTGGAGTAATGACCATGCCCAATATTTTAGCACATTATTCTCCCAGTTTACTTGGTGCTTCGCTCGGTGACCATGTCATTAGTATATGTTTTGGTAATAATTTGTTTGCAACTTTCTTTTCGATATTTATGCTAATTGTATTCCCACTCCTGCTTGCTGTAATTAGGTAATCAAATCTGTCCTGATGGCCAGTATAGATCCAGCATTGATGTATTAAATGCAGCACAATCTGGCGCTCGCAGTCTCAATATTAATCATGAAATTGATTACATTATGGATGAACTACAAGACCTGTATGACGCAGGAACAGTTAAACCTACGGATTGGAAACTCGTTACTGTTTTCATCGGTTCCAACGATATTTGTCATTCTTGTACAGAAATGACATCTTTACCTCCTGCTTTTCATGTTAATGTCTTGGCCGGTATAGAAAGATTACGGACTTCCATGACCAATGTGCTTGTCCAGATAGGTAAATATATATATAAATATTAATACATTTACAGGTAACCTCTTGCTAAATGTGAATCTCATATTTTAGTGGGTATGATGAAAGTGCAAGATATCGTGGTGCAAAGCTCAAATTTTACAAGCTACTGTCAACCCATTAAAGGAAGCACATTTATTGGTCATGACCATGAATGTGAGTGCTCTCATTCGGATCAAAACCGTACCATGATGTCCGATCTATTTCCCGCATACAATACTGCGTTGGAAGGTATTGCACAACATTATCAAAATTTGACAGCGGATATAGATCCAAGTTTTGCTGTGGTATTCCAACCTTTATTGGTGGATATCATGAGTTTTCCTATTGAAGCCATTAGCAACATTGACTGCTTTCATCCATCGGCCTTGGCTCATGCATGGTTATCCAAAATGCTCTGGTAAAATGAATAGAAAAAACTGTACATATTTAGAGATATCTGACGGGCTTCTTATATTTAGGAACATGATGTTTATGACCCCAGAAGATAAAAGACAAACACTCTTATTTAATGGGAATGCTACCGTTTATTGTCCAACAGAAGTGGATAGAATCAAGACGTTATAGATCTTGTTTTCGATAATAAAATAATAAATAAAAGCCTACCACATTTAATGCCCATATCAATCAAGCTGTGGAAATATTTAAAAAAAAAAAAAATACAAGCCACCAAAGAGAGCAGCCAATCAAGGGGCGTTAGAGCAAAACTTTTTGTCGAAAATTATTAAGAAGCAAGAAGCCACAAGCAATTGTTTTGTTCCTCCTCTTTCCCATTCGACATGCAACTTTTTGTTAAGTCCCTTGCTGGCAACACCCTCGCTCTTGAGGTTGCTTCCTCCACCTCTGTTGAGAACGTTAAGGCTATGATTGCCGCCCGTGAAGGTAAAAAAAGAAAAAAATATAGAACGCGAGATGATGAATATTAACCAGTAAGGACGAAATGTAGGTATTGACGCTGATTTCCAATGTCTCTCCTTCGCCGGTAAGTCTCTCCAAAACTCTGAGACTCTCGCTCTCTATGGTGTCCAAGATAACTCTACCCTCCACATGAACGCTGAGCTCCTCGGTGGTGGTAAGAAGAGAAAGAAGAAGACCTACACTACCCCCAAGAAGATCAAGCACAAGCGTACTAAGGTTAAGATGGCTATCTTGAAGTTCTACAAGGTCGATGAGTCTGGTAAGATTACCCGTCTCCGTCGTGAGTGTCCCAACGCCACCTGTGGTGCTGGTGTCTTCATGGCCAAGCACAGTGATCGTCAATACTGTGGTAAGTGTCACTTGACCTATGTCTTCCAAAAGGTAAATGCAATCTCTTTATATCATAAATAAACCGCTTGACTAACTTTTTATTATTCGATTATAGGATCAAGAGGCTTAAATTTTGTAAATTATTTACTTACTTGTCAAACAAAAAAATCAATAAAATTTTTATACAATAATCTGTCTTTTTTCTTGTCTACTTGTCTTTTTTTGTTTGACACATCTTATTATTAACAATCATACCCATAGAAAACTCTAATTGCTACTGATGTTATACGAGCATTTGCACAACCAGGTATTTGGAGTGATAAATCCCTGTTTTGGGTGAGAAACCCACCCGTGTCACCCTGGGCATTTGAAAAAGAAAAAAATTGTGTCAAAATAGCAGTAATTTATTCTAGTAGCATTTGACAATCAAACAGTAAACATTGTTGATTATTGTTCACCCAAAAAAAAAAAAAAAAAAAATTGTGCCCTGAAAACTAAAATTAGTTATAATTGGAATGACAGCTGAAAGGAAAGACCCTCGTTTCATGCGTACTCACTGACTCTTCCATCTATCTAACTGAACCTAGAATGTGCCTTTAAATGGAGAATTTAATGAATGGATCCGTAGATCCAAAAGTAGTACTTCAAAGGAGTCTGTAGGTTCCGAAGACTCGGTATGATATCCCTTATATCAACCATCAGCAAAAAGGCTCTAATAAGTGTTCGATAGTAAGCATGGGTTCTCGTGTTTAAAAAAACACCTGTATTCTGCATTTTTTAATGAGAAGTTTTAATAAAGATCTCAGCTCCCCCGACATGTTGTGATTCTTGAGAACAAAAAAGAAAAGTGAATCCTGTGGATCGAATTTAATATGGGAGATGTCCAATATAAATACATTTTAATAGGATAGATGAAAAGGCAACTCTGCAGAATTATGTACAAAATTTGCAGAGCAATTGTGAATATTTACTTCCCAGCGCATGCATTTAATGTGTAGTTTCTTTTTCAATTTATGGTTTTCCCGTCCAAGAAAATAATACTTGTAACTCACATATGTATGTCTCACTCTATATTTTAAACAATTGGTGCTCTTTTTCGTTTTTTGTTTATGCTCTTGGTGATCATCTGTTTTTGTAAGTGAAACATACAACTTTTTTAACTTTTTTTTTTTTTTGTTTTCAGGTCAAAGTAAGGAACCCGTACATAAATTGCCCTTTTCAGTCTGACTGAGTGCATAGCCCGTATAAACGACATTAAATAAAGAAGTAATATATACTAATGTGGATACATTTCTTGCGTTTTTTTTTTTCTTTTCTCTTACTTGTTGATGTTAAATCTTTATTTTTTTATTCTTCTTTTTTGATGATAACAACAGGTTCTTCTCGCTGGTTGGACCAGCAATTGTCAGGTTTGCTAAAGAAAAAAAAAAATGGAAACGATCGAATGATTCTTTCAACAGAAAACTCCGCCGTCATAGCCATTCTGCCATCACTACATGAAACTTTCGCGTGAGTTTCCGGGCTAAAAAAAATCATTTGCTAAGTCATCTGTGAGTGCCTTGACGCGGAGAGTATATTACATATGTCTTTTTAAATACCTGTGACATTGGGGTTTTAAGGTTGAAATACAAACACTATTCTATTTGTGAAGTCATATTACAACCTTATATTTCAGCTTTTTTTTTTTTTTTTTTTTTTTTTTGGGTGTGGACATTTCATGTACATATTATAATAAGGCGCACAATGTGTTTTCCACTCAGTATCATATATGGAATCACATTTCCAATTAAAGCCCTTATCGTTTTTCTTCTTTCTAGTATATAAAGAAGGGTTTAAACCTCTTTTCTCTCTTTTTTTTTTTTTCAGTATTACTTTTCAATCCCTTTCTTTAATCTTCTGTATTTAGTTCATTGCTTCTATATCATATAATCACACATGAGACCTCTTAATGACATTTTTGGTTGTAATAAAGGCTCTGCGCCAAACTTACTTGCAGATTCTAAAGCTGCACTTGGCGAGTTTGTTGGCATGGTTATTTTTATATTCTTGGCCTTGTCCGGTGTACAAGCGTGTCTCGAAGCTCCTACTTCTGACCCTGTCGGTTTTGGTCCCTCTGCTACGTAAGATACTGAATAAGTATTCTCTTTTTACAGAACAAAACACATAATAACCCTCTTCATGTAACTATTAGTCAAATTCAAAGTATCGCCTTCAGTTTTTCATCCGGTATTATCGTTGCCCTATTTGTTTGTGGATCTACCTCTGGGGGTGTCTTAAATCCTGCTGTATTATTAAGTTTATTGCTCACTGGAAATATCAATTGGCTTCGTGGTATTTTGTTCTTTATTGCCGAGCTTGTGGGTGGCATTGTCGGTGCCTACTTTTCTAGTTTTGTATCGGCTCAACCACTGCACGGTGTCAATTCAGTAAATCCTGGGTTCACCCATGGCCAGGTCTTCTTTGCAGAGGCGCTTTTAACATGCTCACTTTGCTTGACTGTTCTGTTTATTATTGTGGACAAGCATCTGCTGGCTGATTTTGCGCCTCTTGTTGTGGGTACTGCTATCTTCATCTGCCACATGATTGGTTCTCCTATTGATGGTACATCTGTAAACCCTGCTCGGTCCATGGCCGCAGCTGTAGTAACAAACAAGTGGTCTAGTCATTGGATCTTTTGGATTGGTCCTTTGGTCGGTGGTATATTTGCCGTCATTATCTACTTGACTTGTAAGGTCTTAACTGAAGAATCTCAAGAAGACGAATTAATTCAGAATGCCCAAGAAAATCCCTTGGATAATAAGTACAATGACAAGGGTCAGAAGTCAGACAAGATATCCATCACAGTTGTCTAAATTCCTATCTACTGATTATCAACTTAATTCCTTCATATCTCTTAATACTCTTCCTCTCTCTATCTCTTTGATAAATGACCAGATAGTGTACATACATACCAATAAAGGTGTTTAGATGACATACCACTTGTAATATCCCCCTTTTTTACTTTGTTATATCTCTGTTAATTTTGGTCACATTTTGGGGTTTTGACAGCTTATTTTTGGGATTTTACTATTTATTTTGTTTTTCATCTACCAATAAAACAAAAGCACCAATCACGCATGGTTGCTGCATGTACTCACCCAAGACGATACTGCTAATTGATGATCATGTAGTCAATAATAAAATGAATGTGAGCTAATCTGGGAAGAACGACAAACAAAGAACTTTTTTTTTGGATTTGTTACTATAAACAAAAAAGTAAGGGTATTAATAGGGGCATCATTCATATCCTTTTTTTGTTGTTGTGGGGCTCCATATGTGTAATTAGAGCCAATGGGTAGATCGAGACTCATCATACATGAAGTGAAAAGGAGGGGTTATGTATCGACCCCTCGCTTCCCCTCCCCCTACGCCATATGCGCCCATTTAATGGTAGCATTTTACAACATATTATATTTTGTTAACATCTTTATTTCTCTCCAAAACCCCATATACTCTTGACGTAATGTTTATAATTTCTCAGCTTTGAATGGTTTAAAAACCGGACCATGAATAAATGATGTTTACAACGTAAAGTTGTACGAGAATTCTAATATTCTGCCATTTGGCTTGATGTATAATTGTGATTCGTAGTCTGAGAGCAATCTATAGTTTCGGCACTTGCAGAAAATGAACTTAAATCTCCCAATTGTAGTTTAGCTTTATTGACAGGATCAACCACCTCCTTTCAAGTGAAAGAACCTATAATTCTAAACACTCTTTTTAAAGTTTCATAACGTTTATTTCAGTACAGATTCAAATTATATATACAAAACCACGTATTTTGTGAGGTTATGTAAAATTATATCACTCTGCAGAAAAACTTTTTTTTTGGAATAAAAAAGTTTGACCCAAATGTTTTTTATTATTTGTCATGGAAGAATATTTTCGTGATGATACAAAGTATCAAAAGTGCCTCATATATTAAATTCTCGGTTAAGATTTTCCCAGAAAAAGCATGTTATCTACTCAATAACCCCAGATCAAGTGAACTTCAGGCGGTTATTATTTTGGGTGATATGGTCAAAAACAAAAAATCCTACATGTTCATATTTTTTATTTTTCATGTGGCGCGCATTGCTTTCGGACCTTCCTATTTGGAGTACCACCATATTCATTTGAAACCTTGAAATTGTTGAAAAATACTACAATGCACTCTGGTATCTTCTTATTGTTTCCAATGATGCAAACAATGGGACATTGATGCCTCTCTTTTGTTTCTTAATATAATTGTGCGGATATCGCTTTCTTTTGGTAAAAAACAAAAAAATGTAACCCCGAAATTAAATCGGAATGCCTTGTCCCAAGCAAGTATCATCTCATGTAGCTTGTAATAATGACCAACAAAAAAAAAGAGTCAGTTGATGAGCAAAGCAAAGTAAGTACCCATGCCAAGACAACCTTCGCCTCTCATCTATTTGTATGCGTCTGTACCGACATCATCGTAAAGTTACTCGTCTCGGACACCCAGTCTCCACTTCTTTAACTACTAGCGACATGACATATATGATACAGTGCACCCCATTTTTTTATGAAAATATGCAATTCATCTTCGATACAGTAGAGCAATTTAACCACAAATAGAAATCTGTTGTAAAAAAGGAAAACTACGGACCAAAACAATCCGACAAAATTGGCCATATTTGCAAGTTGAACGAATCAAAGTACCTCAGTGAAGCTATTATAAGAGATGATATTCACAGGTGTTTATTCAAGTAGTAGATCTATTATGTTAAATTAGAAACATATATAATATGTGTCCATCTTCCCTGCATGATAGGACTCACCCAAGATAGTGATTACTGCTCTGCATTCATGTAGCTTTTTTTTGCCTTTTAACCTTAATTGGAAGGGATAGTATTGATTTTCACCTTCTAACCGCAATAGGTAGAAATGGTATCAACTTTTATCATCTCCACACTAGCTACTAAAATTCCTACAGATTGCACGTTAAATTAACTGCAGCGACGACATTTCACCTATACTTCTTATAGACTGTAACCGAGTCTTGGGTATTAAACAGCCATTATCGTATTTTTCGCTACATGTTCAAATAGGCAGCATGGTTGAAAAGTTAACTTTTTCAAAATCAGCAGGGTCGATTCTTGTTGTGCATGATCTCTTTTTTTGTTGTTGAAAGGGCTTTTTCATAGAATGCTTTAGATCATTATTAGTTTAAATGTTCAAGGCATTTTTTGGTTTTTAAAATCATTTATATTCTTGGTCTACCTATCTGACTTTTTGAATTGAACATAGTAATAAGAACAAAGTGTACTTCTGTTGCTGACTGGTTAATAAAAACCTGTAATTTGAAACTCCTGTGCTTACAAAACCTCATATGAATTGCTAATCATGCCCATCATTAATATATTATATATATTTTCACTCAATATCAATTTTATAAAATGTCTTGTTTTCATGATTTCACGGACCGAACAAAAAAAAGCTACAATGTCATGTTTTATGACATGTCAATAAATACATTGTATTACTCTACTTGTTTATTAAATAGATACGATTCACCGTTTGATATATTCAAGTCTTTTTATCTCCCACAAGCTTAATCTAAGTTTATACTACAGTATTTACACTATAAATTCAGACAAATTAGAATTAATTTCGGACAGATGCAAAAATAAATTCAGACCAATATAAAAAAAGTTCAGACTATTGAGCTTTTTTTTTCGGACGAATAGAAAATTATTGTTCAGATAATTTTACCTGCATGAAATTGCCAAAGCGATAACTTTGGCGGAAAATTACTGAGTTTGTTCGTTTTTACGAGAAAAGAGCGCAGGGCGCTCACCTACTTCCCTGAGATTGAATAGGATGTGCTTAAAGTTTAGAACAGCTGCTTGGTCTCTATTCCAAAATTTTCTGCCTTGAGTAACACATGCAGTATTTTGACATCTGATAATTTGTTAATATCAACATAACGAATATAATTGTAACTATACTACCTTAACAATCCATGACACTTCACGATTGGCATTGTATTTCTTCTAAATGGACGAGGATTAGAAATCATCTTGAATTGCTCCAAAACGTCACCACAATCTGGACAATGAGAGGAAGTTTTAAATTCGTCAATTAGATAAACAGTCAAACCATTTTTTTTTAGCATTTGAATAAGCCCTTTATTCCTTGTAGGTTCCTGGAACTTTGTGTTCGGGGCTGACCAATTTCCAAGTACCAAGACAGCATCAGGACCAAATTTTCTTTTCAAGTTTTGTACCAATTTTTGATCATTTTGTTCATAAAACATCTTTGATGAAAATTTCATTTTTCGAAACGGTAATAGCTGTAACTTCTCTAAGACTGTACTGAGAGTTTTTCTGTTAAGATCACTTTGGTTGGGTCGTCTATTAATCTCTAAACCAAGCGCAATAATTCTTCTTTTTTCATCATCATCAAATCTTTGTGAGATATGCTTTTGTGACAGCATCATTTCTAGATATACGGCATAAAACTGAGGATTGACAATCCTATCAATGGAAAAGTTCTGAGGTTGAGGGAAAAAACCGCAAATTCGTGATATAAATATATTGCCATAGTACAGATTGCATTTATGATCAACTCGGAATGAAAACTCTGACTCTGGAAAATAGGAGATTTCTTTGGGCTTTAATGTCTCGTTCCCATAGTAGTCGGTTAACGTGTCATTAACGGATGATCTGGCTTTTATGTACTGAATGTAGTTTTCCAAATTTGTAGATTTGGATTCTGTTTTGGAGAGCGTTGTTTCGGCTTCTTGGACAACCAAAGGTTTGTTTTGATTCCGTAAATATCTGAAATGTCTTGAGCATTTTGAGCGATTATTTTTGGTAAAAATCAAAGTTTGCTTCTCTTTAACTGTACTAGTTTCTTTCATGCAATACAATAAATCACGTCTTCCAGGGTCGATCAGAACACACTTGTTTTCAGTACGTTTTAAATCAGCTTGATTAAGCCGTTCTATATACTTCTCTTGATCATCGACTACTCTCTTAATGCTGGTTGTAAAGAATTTTCTACTTGTATCTGTGTTTTGTTTAATGATTGATACACCGACACCATCTGTTTCAAGTGTTCCTTGAAACCTTAAAGTCTTATCAACACCTTGATTCTTGAACGCCTTCTTTTCAAAATTCACGACAGAACCCCAAATTTTAAATTTTTTTCCAGCTTGGAGAGGACTTTTATTCTTGAGAATATGAAAGTGAATTATTTTGGCATCCAAAGTCATGTAGCATGGAATGAAGGAAGTACGCAACGGGAAGCAGATAAATGCTTTTCCTGTTCTGGCTTCAACTAATTTGGCAAGTTGAAAAAACGCATCAAAATGATTCTCAGGTTTTGCTGCAATATCATAGTATATGGAGTCCTTTTGGAAAGTGTAGTCTTTAGGATAGCAGGAAAAGATACTGTTTAATTCTTTTCTTGACTGGTCATCTAGAATACTGTCTGCAGGTATCTCTTTCCTTGCTACGGCACGACTGATCTGATTACAAGGTCCGTATATCTTGCTTCGGATAGCTGATTTTATTGCTTTTTCATCTGATCCATTTTCTTTCATTTCTTTCCGAAGATTATTTGCTCTTTCCTTCTTTTGTAATATAATATTAACAAATTGGCGCAGTCTATTTCCAAAATGAGCTTTAATATTGTTATGGTAAGCCGTTTGGATTTTGGTACACTCATACAATGCTATTTGCTGAGCATTTGGTAAGCTGGGAGGAGTATAATTAGCATCTTGAAAGTAAGCCTCTTTGTATTTTGCTATCAATTGCCTATTTTTTTTTGTTACAGGCTTTAATCTTGTGTTTCGAGTTTTTGAAAGTGTAAGACTTAAAAAAACTTCTACAAAAAAATCTTTTTCAACAAAGTCTTTTAAAGTAAAAGTTTCGCTTGCTGCCAATTCTTGCAAATAGATGTACTTTGTGAAGGCAAAGGTGTGTGTAATCAATGAATTAGTAGTGTTAACCAAATCATGCAATGGCTGTAAATACAACGGCTTCCAAATGTTCTTCGCAGTTGTTTTAACTGTAATAACGCGCTTGCTTATTTTTTCAGAATCTCTCACAGTGACACTGGTACTTGATTTTGATGCTGTTATGAATACTTCAGGCGTAGGACTTCGCTTACTTGCAACAGGGCGTCGCTTACTTACTGAAGAACTTGACTCGGCAACAGTAAATTCGGATCCGTACTTGAAACCACCACGACTTCGTAATGTATGTATTGCAGGCGGAGACTCATTAAAGTCGTCACTGCTATAATCTATCAAATTGTCGCTGACAACATTTCTAATAGAATCAGGAATACCAATGGTACTTGTAATATCAGGTTCATGTTCGGCTGACTTGCCTTTCCCTTTAAACTTCTTTTGGGAATCAATAAATGGGGTATTTTCCCGACCTATAAGAAAGGGTAATTAAACATCACGTAAGTTTTCTATCAAAATAAGACTTGGCAATGTAACATACTTCGTCTCTTCCGTCCCAAAATCGGTGGTTGAAAGTCATCGTCCGAGCTATCATTTTGAGTTTCTTTTTTATAATAGAATCAGTTTTTTGGTTGCATTTCCATCAAATATCATACATATACGTTACCTTTCATAGCTTAAACTGAATAAAAGAATGAAGAGAGAAAAAAAGATTAAAAAAAAAGTAACTATCACAATTTTTACACTTAAAATCCAGATGTTTTAGCTTACCTTTTTTGAAAAAAAAAAAAAAAAAAAAAAAAAAAAAATCAGACTGATTGATTACATGTAGAAACCCCCTGCCGATTTATGCTATGAGCTTATTTTATGTTAACAGCAGAAAGGCGTTTAACTTAAATTTTTTTTGGCTTTGTGGCAGGTACTCTAATCTCAATATTCACAACGTTGATTACAGATATTTTCAATTAAGATCGTTGAATTATAGCCCTGGAGGTTGGTGTTTCAACTACTATTGTGTTTCCTTTAGTCGATCTATCTGTTGGTGGTCTCATAATTATATCAACTACAAATATACAACTACTCAGTAGTTCACATCGGTCTAAGACTATTTTTCGAGCCATTGTTCTCTTGGATTTCTACGTCAATTTCCCCGATATCTCTGGAAGTGAATTCATCACGTATTAATGATTAATGTGCCTGCCATTAATCCAGTGAAGTCAGCATTACTGTCTTTTGGGGCTCTCTATCTCATTAATAAAATCCATTGCTTCAAATCCATCCTCTTGATAAACACCTTCTTGTTCATTTTCTTTAAATAGTGTTAAGCTCGAAGTAGTTTTAAGAATAGCAAAGAAATATAATTTTATTGTTTGCAATTACACTGTACATCATATGTCAAGCTCAATCATTTTTTCGGTGGTCATGACGAGGGCAAAGCATAATTTGACTATCATTGGAGATACTCAAACCTTGCTTAGTGAAGGATAAATCGAAAGTAGAGGTTATAAACCTTTGCTCATGTCGCCCTTTTCATCATTTCTAAATCCTATTGAGGAGTGCTGGTCCAAGATCAAGAAGCACATCAAAAGAAATCCGCTTTCAACTTTGGACACTTTAACCCCAAGAATCAAGGCAGCCTGTGAGACTATTACCACGGAAGATTGTAATGGTTGGATACGACACTCTGAAACGTACTGGGATAAATGCCTCAACAAAGAATCAAAACTAGTTTAAACTTTTACTTGTCTGAATTTTTGTTATCATTTTTCTGAAAATAATTTCTCTTTGTCTGAATAATTTTTACGTTTGTCTGAAAATATTTTTTTTTAGTCTGAATTTTTTTTTGAGCTTGTCTGAAAATAATTTTCATTTGTCCGAATTTAAAGTGATAATACTGTATGTATAAAAGATTTGCATAAAACAAGAGACAAAGCAACAAACTTTCAAACTCCGATATACAGGGAAAAAATATAAAAAGAGGGGGTCTTCCGGGGTTTGAACCCGGGGCCTCTCGCACCCAAAGCGAGAATGATACCACTTCACCAAAAACCCTGTTGATATCAATAAAAAATAGGTGTTTTATATGTTTTAATTGCAAAAAACATAAAATCACGTGATAATCACGTGTTATCACGTGATGCTAACATTAGCGCGCGTTTTTGAACACGAATTGAAAGTACGTGTTAAACTAGGACGTTCAGATAAATTCCAGCTTCCAGTTTTTTTGTCTATTATCTTTTAAAATATATACATAATTAACTCAAATTCATGTCTAGTTCTTCTCCCAACCATATGTTATTCTTGGCAGAAAAATGGAGTATAAAAACCGGACCCTCAAGTTTTTAGTTTTTATGTGAAGAAAAAAATACGCTTTTCTTAGGGACAGCCAATTTTTCCTTAGGGACAGCCAGAGTGCACGTAGTCGTAATGTAAGATCTGTGATTTGGATGTTGATCTGGGAACAAGGATATACAATCAAAAACAATGTAAAAATTACGAGTAAATGTATATCAAACGATTTATACTTATTTGACAATTCTATCATCACTCTTTCGCCTTTGAGCTCGTTTGATCTTAATCGGATGCAGAAATATTAAGATAAAGTTCAAACGAGAAGCTGAAAGTAAGCCGTAAAACACATATACTGGTTTAAACTATTTTGGTTGTAATAAACGTGTATATATTTCAAGCTGTTAAGTTATATTGACCTCTTGATGTCTATAAAAGTATCATAATCCCAACATTACGACTACGCGCACCCTGGCTGTCCCTAAGAAAAATGGCTGTCCCTAAGAGACCCGAAAAAAATAATAATTGGATGTTGGAAGTTATTTGAGCGTCCCCAATCATAATATATCAGACTAAATTGAGTCAGAAAAGTACTTTTCAATCACAAAATGAACATGTGTATTTGGGCAGGTTGATTTATATACAGCTTTATTGAAAGACCCGCAGAAAAATGGGACGTAGTACATTTTCTAAAACCGGGCTCAACAGTGTTACCTGAATCACTAATTCAAATTGTCTTTTCAATTGCATGAGCCTACTGTATTACGTTTAACTTGTGAAACAGAAAGCCCTGTAATAACCTGCAACCTTATCACCAGTAAATGGTTTATTGTCATGCGATTCTATTTTTTTTTAACAAAAAATAACTCATGACATAACTGTCATCTTTATCTGATCACATAAAAATGCATAAATATGTCTGCGTTAATTTTATGATAACAACATCCCCTGGAAAATAATAGGGCTACAATTAAAAATACATATATTATTTATTAACTACTATCTATTTACAAAAAAAAGATTGAAATAATTTTTTCTTTCTTTTTAAAACAGCTCTTTCTCTAACATGGACTTTGCTGCTTATAATAATTTAACTACATAACACGGTATGTGGGAGTGCGTAACTTGCTATACCAACTAATGCTGAAAGGTGTGTAGACATTAGAAGGTGAGGGACTTGACTCGCACCTCTACCCACCGCTGATTTATTTTTATTTTCTTAGCTTCTCCACTTCTTTTCTTAGTGCATCATTCTCTTTTAACAAACGTTCTTTTTCTCGATTTGAAGTTAATAACAATTGCTGAAGATGCTCCTAAAAATAAGATTAGAAATTAAGGTTAAAATTTGAATGCATCATTTAGGCATGTTAGTTGTAATTTACTAATGTAGATGCAATTTCGGTTTGAGTCGAAGATCTACTAATACAAATTTAGAGTGATATACTTTTTTTTTTTTTTTAAATTGTTTAAAACATTACTTTTCCATAGGATACATGTGATGTGACGTACTCAAGTGCTCACTAGCAGCAGATGACGATGTCACGGACATTTTCCTGATATCAAACGAGGATGATCTTGTTCTAGAGTTTGGTATATTCTGAGGCATGCCACCATTTGATAGTGTATTTAAACCAAATAGTAAATCATGAAGCATAGTTTTCTGGGCCTCTGTTTGTTTCAATAGCGCCTCCATCTGTCCGTACACAGAAGAGACTTGCTGATTGTCCGACACGGGTGCAGGTTTTGTGGCCATGCTTCTTGCAATGGATGCCTGATTTGAGGTACTATTGAGAGTAGTTTGAGGTGATTCCAACTTTTCTGCAGTTGTCATGCCACCAGTCAATTCAAACCTTCCCTTTTTACGGTATTCAGGTGATCCAGCAATCACATTGCTAGTTGATTCAAACGGATGTATCAACTCTTGCGTTTGGCCATTGGCATCTTCCTTTTCAATCGAGAATCGACTAATTTTTCCAGAACTCACGGACTCACGAGAGAGAGTACGTTGATGCTGGAAAGATGGTTCTCGCGTCATTGGTGTTGCGTCACTTCTTTGACTATCATCCATCACTGTAGAGGATGGTAAATGTTGTACTTCAAACCTCGATTTACGTTCTGAATAAATGTAAGTCCCACAGTTTTTATTTGTATGAAGTAACAATGTATTTTACCTCCTTTCATACTATCGCTACTGATGCCTCGAGACATTGGCATAGAGCGTATATCAGAAGCTGGTAATTCAGGTAGTAATATCGGTGTTGGTTCCGATTTTGAATCGGCAGTCCGGATAGATGCTGGCGCAGATTGATGGTTTACACTGAATCTTCCTTTTCTTACTTGTACGTTCTCCAGTGGCAATTGTTGCAGAGAAGCAGATATGGCTGAGGATGTCGAGGATATACCTAGACCTAGCCCCATTGCACTTTGCCATGCTTGGCTGTCTGATGCTACGGGATCGGTTGGAAATACAGAAGTAGACTGTGGTTGTGGGATAGTCTCTCTACTGATAGAAGATAGCCGACTGGGCGATAATGAACGTCGAGATGAAACGGTAATATCTTCTTTATCGAGGCTAATGGTTGAGCCATCTTCGATAACAAAGCGAGATTTCCGAGTCCTTGTATGATCGGACTCAGACGGGGCTGGGGAGGGAAGGTCAGTTCCTTTGCCAAGATTACCAAATGATATGTGTTGCTGTTTTTGAACTGGTTTAGTAGTCTCGTCATCTGTTGTGGCGGTGTCGAAATCCCACTGATCTGTGTGCTCAATTGTGACATGCTTAAATCCTATTTTTCGGTGGGGTCGTTGATCTAAGGGAGGAACACAAGCTAGTACTGTTTTAATGAGGTAATCTTTTCTTTTCGCTTGTTTGAAGAATGGATGAAATAAGAGTTTTTCAGCCGTTGGTCTAAATAGGGATTAAAACTCCGTTATATTTTTTTGGTGTAAGATCCTTACCTCTTATTAGGGTCTTTATGAAGACATAAATCAATCATTTCTTTTAAAGCACGTGTATATTTATATTTTGTGTGATCTCTATCTAAAGTTGGAGGGGATTGGTTCAGAGTCATCATCAAGACCTTGGATGTAAGATTATGAGTAAAGAATAAGATGATGATATAAACGCAGTGTACCTTCATTGGGGGAAATTTGGCAAATGGGGCATGACCAGTAGCAAGTTCTAAAGCGGTGATACCAAAACTCCAAATATCAGCTTTAAAATCATAAGCTGATTGTTCCATTACCTCAGGTGCCATCCAACAGGGCTAAATAAATAAATAAGATGGATGAGTGATTGTTACCTTTTCCCGCTGTATGTACGACTTTACCGTGCCCACAAAAGTTTTTCGGACCTCATTATTTTCAGTCAGGGAACTTGATACACCAAAATCCGCTAATAGAACAGTACCTCCATCATCCATTAATAGATTACCAGCCTTTACATCTCGATGGATATGGTTGTTTTTATGGAGATAGACGAGCCCCTCTAACGTTTGCTTTAATATCGTCGCAATAATTGTCTCTTCAAATCCATCTTTAAACCCACACTTCATTATATCCAGGCATGATCCTATTATGGATATTATAGTGTGAGAATATATAATATGCTTTCCCCAACATCCAATCCAAAAAAGCCTTACCTCCTGATAAATAGGGTGTGGCGATATATAATTTTGAGCCATTTACAAACGACCCATAAACCTTTAATACGTTGGGGTGTTTTGATAAAGCCATTAAAGCTGTTTCGCGCTAAACTCCTAGTTAGCAATTGTAAAGCATATATCCTATCTACTTTATTGTTATTTACCCTCAACTCATCAATTTGATTTCTTTCGAATAAATCGAGATCAATCATTTTGATTGCAATTCTCATACCCTTTGGCTTATAGATAGCATTGTAGACGACAGCCGAAGAGCCATAGCCTTTTTTTTTTTTAAAAAAAAAGAATGACGTGAATAAGATAATAACATTTACATTTTTAGTTATTACCTATTGGATTTTTTATCTCAAAGTCGTCTGGGTTACAAGAAAATGCTGAATCTGCGCCGTCTTCGAGCCATGGAGGAACTCGCGAGAGGGAATTGTTCGTGTTTGTTCGAGATAAAGGCGTAGTAGGCGACTGTTGACCTCCGTTTGGACTGACAGAAGGATGCAGTGAGATGGCTCGAAGGAAACTTCCAGATCGTGAACGAGAGCTTGGTGTTCGCTCCAAGGAAGAGCTGGAAAGATTAGCGCTCTTTAGAAAAGAAAGGGGATTGTGTAACGGTTGAGCCATTTATGCATATATAAAATATAAACGTGCAAGGGAAAGAGAGAGATAGAGAGTAGGGGAGAAAATGAAGAAAAAAGAAGGATGGGGAAAACAAAAATAAAGGGTTTTTTGGCAACACAATTTCGACACCCGTAAAAAATGTGGTGTGTGTATTTTTTTTTCAAAGAACGAAACGATACCCTCCCTACACGTGATTATTGTATTTACAGTTTTCACATTTTTAAATCAGACAGTGTTACTTATAGAGATGAAATACAACCCCTTTCTATAGTGACGATAAAAAAATACTGGTCGTTCATTGATGGCCTGGATTTCCGAAGCGATGTACATCATGTTTTTACTGGCTAGAACTTGCCGATTCCAAAATATATTGCAACTGTTTCAAATTAATATACTAGAGAATGATCTGTCCTCAGTTTGATAGTGTCGAAGGTTCATTTCATGACAATTAAAACAGACCTGTATAGTAACTTACGGATGATGTTTTAAACTCATTGATATCAAGAACTAAAACTTTCCTGAGCCCTTCTCTTCTTTCAACTGTCTGTAAATAATTTCACAGATACGGCAACCTTTAAATTTTACATGGCTTTTTCCTTTTAGTCCATCACCGAAAGCTACCAATGGCATTTTAGTCGAGTCACCTTCTGTAAATTGGTTCTTATAATCGCTTTTCTTAGGAACGGCCAATTTTTCCTTAGGAGCAGCCAAAGTGGACGTAGTTACAACGTAAGATCTGTGATTTGGTTGTTCTTTAGACCTGGAAGCAAGAATAAACAATAAAAAACAGAATAAATGTATATTGAACGATTTATACTTGTTTTGACAATTCAATTGCCTTTGAGCTGGTTTGATGTTAATAATACGCAGAAATATTAAGGTAATGTCCAAACGAGAAGCTGAAAGTAAGCTATAAAACACATATACTGGTTTAAACTAATTCAGTTGTGATAAATTTTTATCTAGTTCAAGTTGCTAAGCTATATTGACCTCTTGGTGTCTATTAAAGTATCATAATCCAACATTACAACTATGCGCACCATGACTGTCCCTAAGCGACCCGATTAAATAATGACGTTGATAACATTATTTACATATGATTAATAAACACAAATTTATCACACATTATCATACTACATTTAATCAATTTTATGACTGATCAGTATATCTTTAATTGATTAGCTAAAGTGCATTAAATAGAGCATCATTCTTATTTCTATCAACAGTTCTTTATTAGATACTTTGAACCCTAAAGGCAAAGTTGCTCACGAAACTGCTACGACAGAAGGCTGCCTTAGTTGATTGTCTATTCTAAGAAATATCATGAGTTGGATTCTTAAAAAGGAGAACAAGTATTGTTTAGTAAATTAAAATCGTTGTCTGAACAACTTGTCTGATTTTTTTGTGAAGTTGTCTATTCTAACAGTTGTACGAAAAATAATTTTATTTGTCTGAAATCATTTTTATATTTGTCCCAATTTAAGTGTTAACACTTTAATCATGATGGAATTCGTCCAGCCACCCTTCGATTAAACCAAATTGTAACTGTAGCTTTGAAAATTGCTTATCAGAATTTATATGCCATAATTTGTCACAGTCATAGATAAGCGCAGATTGTTCGAAAACACCAATATCTCTTCCCTTGATAAACACATCGGAATATCCTATCAAATCTTGCTTTCCATCCGCGTCTTCAATAATTAAGCATACTGTTACTGTTGCTATCTCGGTCATCCAAGCCTTTATGTCATCCAAATAACCTTGTATGTATATGTTATGGTGATGTTCTAATGCACGCCAACTATCTACCTTGGAATCTACTGAGCATCGATACTGTTTATTAGCAAACTCGTATTGAAAGAATCCTTGTGAATCCTCTGGTACGCCTTCTATCAGGGAACGGATATGTGTGGCTTCAATAACCTGGAATACAAAGCTAAACTGATCTTGCCCTTCCCCAATGGCTATCGTATGTTCTCCCTCCTCGTCATCAACTTCATCTTCATCCCCATCTTCATCTTCATCCTCATCCTCTTCTTCTTCCTCTTCACTTTCTTCATCATGATGATTGTTCTCTATGAGCTGTGCATCGAAATCTTCTTCATCTTCCAGTTGTACATGTCTACCATAGTCATCTTCATCTTCCGCGTTTATCAATAAACTATTATCATCATCCATACGATTGGCTAACAATAAGCTGATATCCGAGCAAATTTCTATCCCATCATTCAGATTGTTTGTTCTCATAGGCATCTGTAAAGGTGTTCCAAACTGTTTATCCACCGTGTCTGCATTATGGGGCATTTCCACAATAAACAAACCAGTCTTAACCCTTGTCCTACAACTATCGTCAATGTTCAGCCAGTCACCTTTATTTACTACAAACTGCTGAATCTGCGCAATATCTCTTTTTCCATGCAGGATCACCATTTTGGCATTCTTCATTTTAAGAACCATGGAACCCAATGTGTCTCGTTCACCCTTAACGGCCAAAGTATTGACCTCGAGTGTTATTTCGGCTTCTCTTTTTCGAAGGCGGTGTAGGATCTGATTAGATACATAGTAGGCTAGTGTGGTTCTCCATTGAGGTCGCTCTGTCAATATGGTGGGTTTTGTGGAAATAAGAGTGGTGGGGGGTATTAAATCGTCCACAGGACGAGGAAGTCTTAAATTGAGTCGAGAAGCAATGTAAATGTCTTTATCATCTTGTGCAGTAAAGTTGTCTCCATCCTCAATAGCAACGAGGATGGCATAATGACAATTCTTTGTAAGTAGTAAGGACATTTTGAATAAAGAAAAGAAGAAAAAGAAGAAAAAAAAAACTTTACTTTTTATTTACAACTCCTTTGACGTATATGCAACCTGGGTTGGTCATTTCGAATAGCCAACCTTCTTTTCTTAACCACTTTGTAGTAGCAGGTAGTAATTTGGATTCACCTCCATGAGAATGCTTACCTACGCCCGTCACGATTTTCAATGGCTGAAACTGACGACGTGCAGATTGCATTTGACTTCTTGACCACCATTGTGTAACACCTTCCTTCACAAGCACTTGTGCCTCGGCCACAGTCAGGCCATGGAGATCCAATAAATGATCGTCATTTTGGCGGATTCTATTTTTATCTTTTATCAGTACTTGTTTTCATTGTCTTGTTTATTCTTTTTACCTATGTCCACGCACGGTGGCTCTGGCCGCTCTCATATTCCAATCCTTAGCGCGACTATCAATTTGTCTTGCCGTATCAGAGTAATAAAAGGCAATACCGCCTTCACCTGGTCCTTTATTCTTGGACTGTCTATAAGCAGATGCTGCTTTACGAAATAATTCGTTTCTTTCCATGATCAATTGCATGGCAATATCTCTACATTCTTCTGGATCATCATCTTGATAGTCTTGTTGGTTATTTATAAGTAAATAATCGGGTATCACAGGCATGCCATTCTTTTGCTTTGTTCTTCTAATCGTCTCTGACTCTTTAGCCATTTTCTTAAGTCTGGCTTCCAATTCCATCTGATTCACATCAAACGTTAAAAAATGTTCAATTCCGTCTTGAACCATATGCTCCGTAGACACGTTCTTTCCCTCGAATTTGATGATCACACCTACTGAGACACGATATACATCATCAGGTGTACGGTCTACCATAATGGCTTCTAATTCTTCTTTGACACTGGTTAACTCTTTGAGGGATGACCAACTTAATTCATGTTCTGGTTTCTCCTCCGGGTGCTTTTCCATAATCATTTTGACGGATGCAATGATGTTACCACGGCAATGCTGTACACAGGTTGCCACGGTGATTTTGGGAACATTGGGAAAATACCACTGGATAGAATTCACAATGGCATCATATTGATGCCAGCAATTAAATGGCACTGTGGCCAACTCTGCATACGGATCATCGTCTACGATTCTTGGCGCACTTGCTTGTGTATTAGGTAATTGTCCGGATGTCCAGACCGTACCCTTCTTTTTCTTGTTATTTTTGGGTTTCTTCTTATTGGAAACGTCGTCCTTGCGTGTATAATACATATTTTCGTTTTGAGACTTGTCGAGAACAGCACCACCTGCGCGTTCTGCCTCTTGAAGGAACTCTCGGCTAAGCAGCAAATCGGTTGCCTTTTCAACATCATTGTCTTGGGATTTCAAAGCATCGACTAATTCGTCCAGTGGCAATGTAGGAAAACAATTGAGTAAGAAATTAACGTTTTCATCTTCACCCTCAGTGGTGGTGGTCGTTGTAGTTGATTCGTCCAGCTCGAGTTGCTCCATGGCTTGCATCATGTCTTGTTGATCAAGTGTTTGGTCAGCATCCTTAGCTAATGAGGATAGTATCTCGAACGAAGCATCATAATTATACGAATCGTTCCAAATGGCTTGGATAAGCGAGGGGTCTAGTGGCGGACAGAAGGTTGCCTATATGTAAAACAAGTTTCAGCCAAAAAAAAAAAGTTATCTATGATATTCAAATTCAAACCTGCAATTTAGCCTCATTGTTCGCTCTCTCTTCTTTGACTTTGGTGTTGTCTTGGTTCTGCTTTCGAATTAAAGGTGCGTACTGGTTGTCTTGTAATCTTCCCATAACTACGACAATATTTCATTCTCTTGTTTATGTTGTAAAAAGTAGGAGAGAAACCCCCCAAACAAAAATGCAATCTGCCTTTTTAAACCCGAAAAATGAGAAACAGGATCTGGATTTTAATTTTTTCCTTTTTTTTTTTTTTTTGTTGGTACTAAATGAGTACACAAACGCGCACACATCATCTGCGCTTTATCAGCCAATTTGTTATTTTGATAAAGAGACAAAGAGTAATACCGTTTGGTAGGGAGAAGTGATACAGTAGGTTTGATGGGGGGGGGGGTTGTTAGTTAATCGACTAATTAAGCCTATGACAGCATAGCTTTAGTCAATGACGTAAAAGAAAATTTTAAACCCTCAACTTCAACATGTATAATTACAATCACCACATCAAAGCTGTCAAAAATAAGGTTCACGGTAATCCCAAAAGTTCAACAACAAACTCACGGACACTATACGAGAGAGCAAAAAAAAAAAAAAATCTAGTCACACCAGCAAATATTCCAAATACGGTTCGAAATAGTTTAAGCGACTTTTCGTGCTGCTTGCAAACAACACAATAAACAAACAAACAATACTGTTAGGTTTCAAAAAAGAGTATTATATAAAGCTTCAAAAATCTCAAAAAGAAACAGTCCATCAAAACAGTTTCGATACTTGAAACCTTATGATGACAACGTTGTGAGGGTACGCTGCACCTCGAGATACATAAGACAGATTGTAACCGGAGCCATGATGTTCATTAATTACTATTGCCTTTGAAGTCTATATTCTAGCAAAACTGCTGGTATTTATTATATCAATTAGTTTACCCACACAAGATCACTAGTGGTGTACATTTAAATGAGCAATTTTTAACTGTTAGTAACAGCTTTCGTGCTTTGTACCCGCTTGCGATTTATAACAAAGCACTTCAAAGATGTGCCAGCAAATCATTAACGGCGAATTGTATGGAGATTGAGACCTTCTATACGAATCTAATTGTGGAAGATTTTGAAAGCAAAGTTATTCGATGCTTGCTGAAGGAAGGAATTTATTGTGAGCCATAATAAGTACTCTTTTGTAGCAGAAACTCTATGTCCCTTCAAATCAAAATTTTCGGTTTTTTGTTGCGTAGTCACACAGCAGCAACTCAGCCATAAACTCCGTCCGGAAAGCCTCCCAAATCTTTTTAATAAACAGAGAGAGAGCCAGAGAAGCTTATTGAATCCTCCTTTTTCATAACTATCTCACAATGGTATGGACCATATAAATTTAACCACTTCCGCCACTCAAGTCATACCATGATGGATGTCTATATGATGGATGGATGGATGGATGGATGGTTGAATTGATTAAAATATAACATAATGCATCCATATTAACGATTGGAATTTTGAATAGGGTCGTGGTCCTAAGAAACATATGAAGCGTCTCGCAGCTCCCAAGCACTGGATGCTTGACAAACTTTTGGGTAAGCTTACACACTACAGTTGATTTTGGATTTGAATGTGGTTGAAATAAACGAAACTTGTCATGTTGCCGATTCGATTCATAGTGTGCAATTGAGTTTTTTATTGATCATGTTCAAATCAGATCAGCAACCTTGGAATCAAACGGGTTACTAATTCTTCAATAGGTTCTTATGCCCCTAAGCCCTCTTCCGGTCCCCATAAGACCCGTGAGTGTCTTCCTTTGATTGTCTTCATCCGTAACAGATTGAAGTACGCTCTTAACGGTCGTGAGGTCCAATCTATCCTCATGCAACGTTTGGTCAAGGTTGACGGTAAGGTCCGTACCGACTCTACCTTCCCCGCTGGTTTCATGGATGTCATCTCTATCGAGAAGACCGGTGAAAACTTCCGTCTTGTCTATGATGTCAAGGGTCGTTTCGCTATCCATCGTATCACTGATGAAGAGGCCAAGTACAAGCTCTGTAAGGTCAAGAAGGTCCTCGTTGGTTCCAAGGGTATTCCTTATATCACCACCCACGACGGTCGTACCATCCGTTACCCCGATCCTCTCATCAAGGCCAACGATACTATTCGTTTCAACCTTGAGGAAAACAAGGTCGCTGATTTCGTCAAGTTCGAGGTTGGTAACGTTGTCATGATCACTGGTGGTCGTAATATTGGTCGTGTCGGTCAACTCGTTCACCGTGAACGTCACATTGGTGGTTTCGAAATCGTCCACGTTAAGGATGCTCTTGATCGTGTCTTCGCTACTCGTATCTCCAACGTCTTCACCATCGGTCAAGGTACCAAGCCTTGGATCTCTCTCCCCAAGGGTAAGGGTGTCAAGCTCTCCATCACTGAGGAGCGTGATCGTCGTAGAGCTGCTGCCGCTGCTGCCAACTAAATTTGCATTTAGTTTTCACTAAGCGACCCTCTCTCTTTTTTACATAATTAATAAAAAAATATCTTTTTTTTTTGTTAAATAATATAAACTTTTCTGTGTTTGGGATGAATGTAAGGTGCCTGTCTGGAGTGCCTGAGTGTAGTGCGTTTGTTAAGCCTCAGTTGACTCATATGCGTGAAACACCTTGATCTGGATTAGCTTTCTACGATTCATTAATCACACGGTTAAACTAGTGTAGACATGCAACCAGATTTAAACATTACGAAATACCACTGATTAACCAAGTGTCGATTACATGAACAAAGTATAGTCTAATTTTGGACAGCTTTACTGCTGTGGACATATTGCTCTTCGACACAAGCGTATAGATTTCTAAAACAGTCCAAAATCTCTTATCCTAAAACCTTCAATCTGAACAGAGTCTTTCACAGAAACGATCTACCGCTCATTTTTGGTCATCAAGTGTTTGAGTGTACATGTTGGAACAGACAAGTCACTCAATCATAGGCTTTACGACGCACTCAACTTCCGCTTTCGCTATAGTTGTTAAGGAAATTTGCTCACTTCTTAATGTACATCTTATCCTACATTTAAGCCACAGGCTCAAAAGTACCCTCTCAGTATTATCTAAAAGACGACAGTTTAATTATCATATTATTGCTCCAGGAATCCTTTGAATTAATATAAACGGTTTTAGCTTGTGAAACACAGGTAAAATTTCAACGCGTAAAACATTTGCATGCAATCGACCCCATTTTTTTCCATCTTAAAATAATGAAGGCAATAATCCGAGGGCATAAAAAGTTAATTTTCCAGAAATCAGATATTATTAACAAGAAAACTACCCTAACTGCAGGCATGAAAACAGTTTGCGGCGTTAACCCCTTTAGTCCGACATTAATAGTCCGATTGAACCTCAGTCTGTAATGCAAACGAATGAGAAGAAATAGGTTAGCAAATATGAGTCAATGGGGGAGTTGTATACAAAAAAAAAAAAAAAAAAAAAAATTGGGCTTCCCAAATAAGGACGATTTTGACTGAAGAAAACTTTTCTCTTTTCTTTTTTTATCCTTCTCAACCTAAAATTAAATAATGAGTGCTAACTGGACCCCCCAAGATTGGAAAAACAAGCCTATCGTCCAAGACGTCATATATGAAGACCAAGAACATGTGGACCGTGTGTTGAATAAATTAAACCGTCTGCCTCCAATGGTATCAGCCTCTGAGGTAAGGGTTTATAAAGGATTGACAGGGTCCAAAACAAACTAAAATTTGATATTTATTATTTTTTGATAGGTTGACAACTTGAGATCCCAATTAAAAGATGCTGCTCTTGGTAAATCCTTTTTATTACAAGGTGGTGATTGTGCTGAATTGTTCGACTATTGTTCTCAAGTAAGTTATGTCGAAAAAAGCATCGGAAAGGCCTGATTTTTAATCTGCTTGTTACCAGGATCCTATTGAAGCTAAACTCAAGGTTTTGTTGCAAATGTCCCTTGTCTTAACTTGGGGCGCACGTACACCTGTTGTTCGTATTGCTCGTATGGCTGGTCAATACGCTAAACCTCGTTCCAGTCCCATGGAGATGCATGAAGGAAAGGAGATTCATTCATTCAGGTAAGAAAAAAAAAGTTGGAGGTTGATCTGAATTTAACACAATCGTGTTTTTTAGAGGCGATAATGTAAATGGTTATGATCCCAGTGATCGTAAGCCTGATCCCGAGCGTTTATTAGGGTAAGTGGTTTTAGTGTAAAACTATAAAGTTGAGGTTATTGACTCTTATCATTTGTAGTGCCTACTTCCATTCAGCCGCTACTTTAAATTATGTGCGTACTTTGCTCGATTCTGGATTTGCTGATTTACATGAGCCTTCAAAGTGGAATTTAAGCCACGTGCGATCTGACAATGTCAAGAGGGAATACGAGACAATTGTGCAACAATTGACTGACTCACTTGACTTCATGAAGACCATTGGAGCTGATAGTCCCAATTCGAATGTATTAAACTCTGTTGACTTATTTGTATCCCATGAAGCACTTTTATTAGACTACGAGTCATGTCTCACGCGTTTATTAACTTCACCTACAAGTAAGGAAAAGAAGTGGTATAACACAGGCTCTCACTTTTTGTGGATTGGTGATCGTACACGTCAACCTGATGGAGCTCATGTAGAATATATGAGAGGCATTGAAAACCCAATTGGTATCAAGGTAGGACCTAGCACTGTGCCCGAAGAATTGGTGAATCTATTGAACACTGTGAATCCCAAAAAAGAAATCGGAAAGGTTACTTTGATCACTCGTTTTGGTGCTGAAAAGGTGGAAAAATTCTTACCTCAACACATTGAGGCTGTTCGCAAATCTGGCCATATTCCTGTCTGGGTCTGTGATCCTATGCACGGTAATACAAAAACAGCTTCTGGTAACTTGAAAACACGTCATTTCATCGACATCATTCAAGAGTTATCACAAACCTTTAGAGTGCACAAGGATTGCGCAAGTAAATTAAATGGTGTACATTTCGAATTAACTGGTGATTCTGTTACAGAGTGTATTGGTGGATCAATGGATTTAAGAGATACAGATTTATCTACTAATTATCAGACACATTGCGATCCCCGCTTAAATTACGAGCAATCACTTGACGTCGCCTTCTTGATTGCTAAATACTATGAAAATGAAAGAAAAAACAAAGATTTTCCTAATTTGTGAAAAACGAACACGATATCTTTGACAGAATTCGGCTTGTGTACTAAATAAAAACAAACTAAAATTTTAGTTCAAATTATAATGTGATCACTTGTTACTGCCTGTGGGGATTTGCCAATGCAGGTGAATGGTATGACATTACTTTTTGACCGACGTTGTGTCCAATGAGAAACCCTGTGTGACTAACTTGCCTACTATACTGTTTTTTTTTTGCTTGAATATTTTTATTTTCTTTTCTTCCACTGTATATTATCTTAAAATCATAAAAAAAAAGTATGAGCCATGACATCAAAACTGTTGGCTTAATTTTCACTCGAAAGAAAATCGAACGTTCTGGTTTCATTGGTCTAGAAGAATATGCTATGTAAATATATGGAACACGCTCCTTTTTGACTTTTGTTTGCTTATAAACCCGTGTGATAGTAAAAGAAATATTCGAATTATTCATATTGACCTTTCGATGCCCATCGAAGAGCAAGGCGATTTAGATTTAATTGTGCACAAGATGACCGATCTTGTGGCAAAGATAGAGCGCGGTGATACTAAAGCTAAACAGCTGTTTGACCGCTTCAAGGTAATCCAGGAATAAAACATAAAACATAAAAATAGACCATTGGACTTAATGTAATATCTTAGAAATACAGTAAAGCACATCCCAATGTCATTGTTATAGACGACTGGCCAAACATTGAAAAGGTGTTGGACAGAATGCTTTTATACCATCACACCCAGACAGCTGCGGCAAAAGACACAATAGGTACACGACAAAGCGCAATTATCACAAAAAGGTTATTGACATCCTTTTATAGATAACCAGCCCTTATTTCATGTACCAAAAAGTATCGCCTTAGATTCCGTAAAAGATTGGAATGATAAACTAGATATTAATTTCCCGGTAAGGAATCCCCATGGTAATGATTTTGGTAAGTGAGAGAGTAACCAACTGTCCCGTAGGCCATGTGTAAGCGTAGAACAGCTTGCTCATCTACAGAAGCACACCAAATGATATTGGTGCCATCACCAAAAGGCATGTCAAAAATCGAAGCGTACGTTAAGAATGATTCGGTCATGTTACAAGAATTTATTCAACATGATGGGGTCATAGTAAAGGTGTATGTGGCGGATGGTCAAATTAGTGCATCTACAAGACCTTCGTTCAAAAATCTTGATCATAGTGGAGGTAAAGTTACTGTTTACCTCATGTTATCCAGTTTATTCTATTTTTATTTTTTTGTCGACTGATTAAATTTCATCATGTAGATGTAGTCCATTTTGATAGTCAGATGTTACCTAAAAGTTTCGAGACGCAGGTTACCCTTTCAGATGATTTGGATAAAATTTTTTTAAGATTGGATCCAGAAGATATTCATATTCACAAGGAGGCTTTTTTGAACAACGATAAATTACAGCAAATTGCAGACAGTTTGCATCGTCAGCTGGTATTTATATTCTAAAACAACTGTCAAGGAAAATATCTAACCTTGCTTTTATATACAAAAAGGGCCTGACATTTTTTGGATTTGATGTTTTATTACAATCAAAAACAAACGCTTATTACGTAGTGGATGTCAATTATTTTCCTAGTAAGTTCACCTTTATAATAAGGGAAAGTCTCTACTTTTTACTGATATTTCTCTAGGCTTTAAAAATGTAGATAACTTCCATTCGATGTTTGTCGATATCTTGGAAAAGAGGCTAGGATAAAAGAACACACATGCAGCAACAAAAAGAAAGAATTAAACAATTTAACTTTGTATTTTTATAATCGAAGCACATCTATTTGACCCCTGTGATTACATTGAGGAATTTCGTAAACAAGCGGATGTATAAAGTGTCGAGACAAACCTTTAGGTTTTATGCGTTCCAAGAAAATGAATAATGTGTATAGCGGATTAAGCACCACGTGGTAAGTTACAATCCGTTCAGTAAAGTGAGAACGTTATAGATCAATGTCCGTCCCCATATTGTCCGTGTGCTTGTAAATCAGTAAAAAGTAATATTTTACATATCATGCCATAAATCTGACAGACAAATGTCGGCTGCTTTTAAAAGTGGTTAGGGAGACAAAGTAATGCGATAAATACTAGGATATTCGGTACTCGAGCTGAAGAGTAAATAGATCAGTAAACATGAGGATCTGCCCTACTGTTTTTTAAAATCGTAATCACATCATGGACTACATCTACTATCTAACAACTCATAAACAATATTTCAGGGCCGTGTAACTCATGCATCAAACTGACTTTATAAATCCGATTGTGCATGATTTATTGTCGATGTTACTGCCAGAAAAAGCAAACAAAGTCGATCGGATTTGGGGAAGAAAGGCACGTTAAAATTGATAAATTTACTAACAGCAGTTAATTTTTCCTTTGCAATCCGTAATATATGGAGCAGAATCCACTTTCCAGTGCTTCTTCCGATAACCAGCTTTTTCTTTTACAGCGTATATCTTAACCCCTAAATATGGATATTTTTATTTGACTCAGAACATAAATGGATGAGACTAAAGTTTGCCACAATCTCTAATCCGTAATTTCAATTTTAAAAAAATATTGTTACGAAGCAGTTTTAACAGCTCCACGCAAAAAGTAGATTATTGTCACCGAATTGAGTCGGGTAGTTGACATCAATGGTAGAACCAGGGACTATCCGTAATTGAACTTTTTTTCGGCTACGGTTGCAATATCCAAAGTGAACGTTTTTGTACAATATCATTGCGGACGTTATATTTTGGACAAAAGGAAAAACAGTATTCTGCAACAGCTGTTTGCAGCAATTGATGCAATAATCTTTTTGAGTTTATAATTATCATATTAAAAGTACCTACCAATGCATTGAGGATGAGTTCAATGTGCTATTGACAACCCCTGGACGTTGCCTGAAATAGAAAACCTCGAATCGAAATCTTGATCTATATGGTCGAAATACAAGTCAACTGTATCATTGCGCTGGCAGAGGTCGAATCAAATCGATATTTTTCTCGTAAGAGCCAAAAATCGCTTTGTTGCATTCATGCGCTTTATCGTCATTGATTACTTACTTACTGCGATACTTTTGTTACTTATCATAAGAAGGGGTTATAGCAAACTTGATATTAGATACCTTTTTTTAGGGTGTCATCCAGCACAATGCGCTAAAATAGAGATCAATACTATTAAAGTTACGCTAGAGGGTGCCAATTAACACAACCCGCAGTCGAGAATTATGCTTGAAGTGGCGAGTTACAACTACCATTATGGTCAGCGACGTGCATTGGAAAATTCTCAGAGAGCGGACTGAGTAGTCTTCCTCATTCGTTGTCTTCTGCCAATGGGTAGTCAAGGGTAATAAATTTCTTTGCAGAAACTAAGGGATGGCAAGAAAAAACACGCTGCGCAGGCTGTTTTTAATACATGCAGCAGCCTTAAATAAATGAATTTTATAAATTTGACCGACTTGTTCAGTTGCTCAATCGTAACCATCTTAAATTTTTAAAAGAGTTTTTTAATTGAGAATAGAAGCACAGTGCTTATTTATTTATTTTATTTGAAGGCTATTTTTTTTCAATTTGAAAAAAAAAAAAAAGTGTGTATAACGTATAAAAGGGGGAGGGAGATTGGAGATGTGGAGGGGGGATAGAGTCAATTTACAATTCATCGTGATCTCTCAAAGGCTCATCAGAGTCGGAAGAACCATCAGCATACAACTTGGTAGTGATAGGGTTAATAACAGATTCTAATTCCTCACGCTTTTCATCAAAGTCTTCACGAAGAGCAGTGGGGTTTTCATCGATCCAAGAGAGCTTATCCTTAATAGCATCCTCAATAGATTCCTTTTCGTCGGCTGAGATCTTGGTAGCAAGAGCACCATCCTCACCTAATTGACCCTTAACGGTATAAATGTAGTTCTCCAACTTGTTCTTGGCTTCGGTACGGTCACGAACAGCCTTATCTTCTTCGGCAAATTCCTCAGCTTCCTTTACCATACGTTCAATATCTTCTTCAGAGAGACGACCCTTATCATTGGTAATTGTGATAGATTCAGACTTTCCAGAGGCCTTATCGGCAGCACTGACCTTTAAGATACCATTGGCATCAATTTCAAAAGTGACTTCGACTTGGGGAACACCACGAGGAGCGGGAGCAATACCAGTCAATTCAAACTTACCGAGGATGTTGTTATCCTTGGTCAAAGCACGTTCACCTTCGAAGACTTGAATCAAGACGGTGGGTTGGTTATCGGCAGCAGTGGAAAAGATTTGAGACTTCTTGGTGGGGATAACAGTGTTACGGGGAATAAGCTTAGTCATGACACCACCAGTGGTCTCAATACCGAGAGTCAAAGGGTTAACATCCAACAACAAAACCTTATCGGAAGACTCTTCACCAGAAAGAATACCACCTTGAACGGCAGCACCGAAGGCAACAGCTTCATCAGGGTTAATACCCTTAGAAGGCTTCTTACCGTTGAAGAAATCAGTGAGGAGCTTTTGGACCTTGGGAATACGAGTAGAACCACCAACGAGAACAATTTCGTCAACCTTCTCCTTGGTGAAACCAGCATCCTTGATGACTTGTTCGACAGGCTTCAAGGTCTTACGGAACAAATCGTTGTTGAGTTCCTCGAACTTGGCACGAGTCAATGTTTCGGAAAAGTCTTTACCTTGGAAGAAAGATTCGATCTCAACACGAACAGACATTTGAGAAGAAAGAGCACGCTTAGCATTTTCAACCTCACGCTTAAGCTTACTCATAGTCTTAAGATCCTTAGTAATATCCTCACCGTCGTTCTTCTTCTTCCAGACCTTAACAAAGTGATCAATAACACGAGCATCAAAATCTTCACCACCCAAGTGAGTATCACCAGCAGTAGCCAAAACTTCAAAGATACCATCATCAATAGACAAGAGAGACACATCGAAGGTTCCACCACCTAAATCGTAGACGAGGACGTTCTTCTCACCACCAGTCTTATCCAAACCGTAAGCAATAGCAGCGGCAGTAGGTTCATTGAGAATACGAATAATGTTTAAACCAGCAATAGTACCAGCATCCTTAGTAGCTTGACGTTGGGCATCGTTGAAATAAGCGGGGACAGTAACAACAGCATGGGTGACAGCCTTACCAAGGTAAGCTTCAGCAGTCTCCTTCATCTTGAGTAAAACCATACCGGAAATTTCCTCAGGAGTGAAGACCTTATCTTCACCCTTAACAGCAACCTTGATGTTGGGAGCACCATTCTTGTTGACAATAGAGAAGGGGAAGTGTCTCATATCTTGCTTGACTTCCTTATCGGTATAACGACGACCAATAAGACGCTTAGCATCAAAAACAGTACGTTCAGGGTTGGCAGAGAATTGATTCTTGGCAGCATCACCGATTAAACGTTCGTCATCAGTGAAAGCAACATATGAGGGGGTGATACGATGACCTTGGTCATTAGCAATAATTTCAACACGTCCGTTCTTTTGAACAGCAACACAAGAGTAAGTTGTACCCAAATCGATACCGATAACTATTAAATAACGCGTTTTTTTTTAATACTTCATACTCTCTATCCATCCTTTTCTTTTTCATGTACATACCAGTTCCATAAGCTTCTTTGTCCTCAGCGGCTGCGGAAGATGTACTAATAAACAGCGCAAATATAATGGCGAAAAGGGCCAATAAGGTGGCCTGTTTCTGCATTTTGTATATATAAAAACTTTTTACGGTAAAGAAGAAGAAAAGAGTTTGAAAATAGCGGTTTATTTATATATGAATAAAAAAATTACAAGACTTCCATGTATCAAATTATGATTGGCTGAAACAAATTTTAATTTAGTTTACCGACCTTTAATTCACTGATCCTCATTATTTTGGCCGAATCACGATCGCCCAAGTCAAAGTATTAATCAATGAAGCGGGGATGAACAAACAGATTACATGTGGCAAGTCTTTACTAAAACATATCTTGCACTTTAGACCTTTCTTACCACCTCCTATTTTGTTCATCTACCGGATGTTTGACCAAACGAATGAACATGTCTCTCATCTTCGTCTAAATTTAAATAAGTTTAACTTCCTTTAAGGTTCCACGTAATTCGAAACAGTCACGACTATAGTGAGTTGTATGCTGTCGTTTGTCACCAATCAATTCCCTTTACGATATTTCATGCGATCAATCTCCTTTCGTCGCAACAACTTCGGCCACAATTTCTCATGTCTGAGTTTCTGAATCAGCCATATCCTAATGTGATACAACATGTCGTACACGAATCCAATACCTTTTAGTAACATTTTATAATCACAAACAGGAGCTATTCCATTATATTCTGGTTTATTAAAGATGTTCTAGTTTACCAGTTTGTTTTATGTATTACATGCCTTTATTATAAGAATATTTGATTTGAGATCTCAATAGCAGTAACAAGATGCTCGAGACTGTTTATGAAACTGTTTGTATTTTTGGCGCTTGTATAAATTTTTAGACGTAGGAGCTTCCAATTCGTTGTTTACTACTAGGTAACCAGGAGTACATTGAACAGCAGGATCCGGGTTTTAAAAGTACGACTATTTCTATTGGTCTCATATAAAGGTATGGATACTAAAACCGCCCTTTTGTTAAAAAAAATCCGTCAATTGGCGTTGGCAGCGCTGTACAAGCCAAGATGACGAGTTCAATTATGTGGCTTTAAAATTAAATTATACAACAGGTATGTCGCTAATTAAACACACGTCCCTTCTCAACTTCTGAATTCAATCTTTTTACTTGCTTATTATTGTTTGGAGCCTCTTCTCCCCCTCTCTGTATGAGCAAATAAAAATACAACCAGGAATAGCACGCTCTGTTATGATCCATACAATGAATGCCAACCGACCCACGATGCTGTTGGGTAGGAGCTTCCAGCGAGACACGCGGAGTTGTGATTTCTTTGTGCTTAATGGGGAGTCTCTTCTACCCATTTTCAGATTGAGACCCGTGCTTATGATGAGGATTTATTATAAACTGCTTACCAACTTAACTTGAAAGACTATATTTTTGACTCTCTCTTTTGAGGGAGAAGAGATAAGAATATATTCAAGAATTACTTACAACGATTGTAGTACCAGGTCTTTACAGCTCTCCGATATATAATTCGCTTATAAGATTTTAATAAATAGTTGTACTTATATTTACTATTTGCGTTAACATTTAAACCATGTCCATCTTTAAGAGTCCGTTTAATGACTTCATGTTTATTTCACTATTCCGCGTTATATCTAAATTATGGTTCATATTGAAGAGTATATTCATTGGTTTCATGATCAATTTTAAAACCATACACGATTCTGAATACAGACACGCGTGGACAACAAACGCAGTTTAATTTTGACGGCGTGCTTATTACCAAGTAGAGAAAAACATAATTCTGTAGAGGAAGATGGTACTATGAAAAGGTGTATTCTAGAAGTACCCGTCACTGGATGTAATCAATAACTTTTTTTTTTATATATTTTTCAAGTAGAATCTTTGTGATTTCTCCTCCCTTTACATGTTTAAAGACCACCAAACCTTATCCAAAGACATCACACTTTAATCAAAGCATTTGTATGTATTCAATATCAAACTGACTGTTTTCTGACATAAAATCATTGAGGGTGTCTCCAAAGATCTCCGCATATTATTTCATGAAATGTTCTTAATAGTTTCAAATAACTATCTACCCTGAGACGGTCTTAGAATCCATATTGTTGACCTTTTCAGTCCCCTTTCATACGAGGAGCCTGTTTTGAAAAATAAGGTGTCAGAGATGGTGACAAGGTGTTCATTTTTTTAAGCTCGTCGTCTGTCTGCTTCTCTCTTTTTTTTTTTTTTTTTTTTTTTTTTTGTGATCAGTACAAAGTTTTAACGTTGCTTAGACTTTTTTGTTATCTAATATCAAATGTATGATTCGTATTAGTAAAAAAGTTTAGAGAAACAGAGACTTTATCATCATGACAAACAGGCAAGATTTTCATTTGTTTTTCAAAGAACGTCGAAAAGAAATTTAAATTCAAAAAGCATTGCCGTGACAAAATTCTTTTGATAAATCTTGATACACGGTCGATTTGAAGTATCGATCCAAAAATACCAAAAAGTGAGAGATCGTGTACCAAGCATCTATTTGAAAAATGTGGGGAAGGGCAGTTTTAAAGAAAATAGTTACATATTTAGCGGGTCTCTTAGGGACAGCCAGGGCGCACGTAGCCGTAATGTCGGATTATGATACTTTAATAGACAGCATGAGGTCAATATAACTTAACAACTTGAACTACATACATATTTATTACAAATAACATAGTGTAAAAAACCGGTATATGTGCGTTATAGCTTACTTTCAGCTTCTCATTTGGACTTCACCTTAATATTTCTGCATAAGATTAAAATCAAACGAGCTTAAAGGCGAAAAGTGATGATAGAATTGTCAAAACAGGCTTAAATCGTTCAATATACATTAATTCGTGATTATTACATTGTTTTTGATTGTATATTCTTGTTTCCAGGTCTAAAGGACAGCCAAATCACAGATCTTGCGTTATAACGACGTGAACTTTGGCTGTCCCTAAGAAAAGCGAAAAAAAAACTGAAACAGATTTAGATTAGTCGAACTCGCATAACAAATATCTGCAACATGCCAATGAGAAAAGAATACACATGTGACAAGAATACGCACAAGTCATATGATGCTTTTTACGCGAGTTTAAATAAGGGAATAAAAAATTTCTCTCACAATTAGCTTTATCACCCATCCTCACTTTCCGTTTTAACCCAGAGACAAATTTCGTTCAGTTTAATGATAACTATTTCCAAAGCTCAAGGCATATTTGAGATGACAAGCACTCACGTCATAAGCTTTTATGGGACTTATATAACGCCCATGCTCAGGTTTGACAAGAAGCGGCTCACGTATGTTAGCTCAGCTATTGCCGCAACACTACTATATACATTGTATAGAAAAATAGTCTTACCTCCTCCTGGCATCCGTAACATTCCAAGAGTCAATTTTCTATATTTTATTCTGTCTGCTCTTAAAAATGATGACCCTATTTATCAATTAAAAAACTTGTACGCGCCATTGATATCAAAGGCTAATGGCACCTATGTGGTAGTTTTATAATAATAGAGATATCGTACCCGTACTGATTGTATATATGATATAAATATAGAGACTCAATCGCGCTGGCTGGTCTGTTTATGTCCAAAATCCTGTTGATATCAGAAAAGTTTTATTGAATTCAGGTAATGATCAGGTCTGCTTTTCTTTTTGAAAGTTAAAGATAATTGTTTACTAGATATTTTTCCCAAGGCGCCAAATTCTTTTGGTAAAGGTGACACACTGATCAATGGTATCTTGCGCCATCCCAGTATACTCACAGAAACAGGTTCTAAATGGAAGGTTCATAGAAACGTAAAGTTAACCACTCGTTACCCTTTGGTACATGTATTTAACTCCCATTGTTAAATCACTTACAATAGGCTGCAAATCCTGCTTTTCAACGTGCAATGCCTGTGCAGCTTTTCGGAAAGTTGACCCAACAATTATTTACTGAAATTGAAAAGGAAAATGGAACTATTGACATGTCAGACTATATTGAAAGGTTTACCTTCGATGCGATCACAGCTGCTGGTTTTGGTAGGTTCATAAATTATTATAAAATAGGCTTCCTATGAACAATGAACTATTAACAATATTTTTATAACTAATTTTCGTCATAGGTTACAATGCTAACGCTATAGGAGACAAAAACAGCGAATGGGTTAAATATTATTCTTCCCTAATGGATGGAGCCTTTGTACCAATATATGCCATCGTCCCTATACTAGATACAAGTCTTCGATGGATGTCTCCTTCTCGTGTTCAGCTTCATAAAACTTTAAAAATATTTTTGAAACGGATTGGCGACATCGTCACCGAAAAACGCGCACTGATAGCGAATAAAGGGGGTATAGGTTCTTTAGATGACAGCGAAAAAGATCTATGCACCTTGATGATTGAAGCAGAATCAGGCGATGGGGGAGTCCTGACAAACGAACAAATGCTGGTATGCCTAATATTATGCTCAATTTCATTTAAAAATAATTCTTAAATCTACGTGACATCAATCAGAATGACATTCTCGCTTTTATGCTTGCTGGACATGAAACAACCGCAAATGCGCTGGGATCAGCTATGTACCACCTTGCTGTTCATGAAGTAGTCAAGTTTTTTGTAGAGATTACTGATAACTTAGCTGACGAGCGTTTTTTTTAGGAAATTCAACAAAAGCTGCGTAACGAAGCTATTGAATGGTTAGGTAATGCACCCGAAGACATTATTCCGACTGTCGAACAATCAAAGAACATGGTGTTTCTGAACATGGTTATCAAAGAGGTATATTTCTCATTCAATATTCTAAAAAAAATGTACTGACACTTTAAACTTAAGAACCTTCGCATCATACCACCTATTGTCTGGACTCAACCTCGAATTGTAACAGAGGATACAGAACTCGGGGATTTCATGATTCCCAAAGGTACAATCGTAACCACAGACATTCTCGGTGCTCAATTGGATGAAACTATTTGGGACGATCCTTACCTTTTTAATCCTGAACGCTTCAACCCAAAAAATGAAGAGAACAAGCGTGCATTCAATGCATACTTACCGTTTGGCAAAGGTCAACAACAATGTATCGGCTTCAATATGAGCCTTGCAGAGCAACGCGTTCTTTTGGCTATGATTGTCAGAAAATACAAATGGAGTTTGCCCCATGATTCAATTCACAAAAATGGTATGGTTATTGCTGGTACAGATAGTATCGGACCCAAAGAACTCGTTCTTGACTTTACTAAGCGATATTAAATAAAGAGTTTGATGTATTGCTTTAGTGTAAATATAATCGGTATTAAAAACGTCATTAATACTAGCCAGTTCAATTAAACTGAAGCAAAATAAGAATGACTTTTTAGCTTACAAAGAATTCCATTCTAAATATGAATGGTCCAGCAAGCATAATTTAATAATACAATTTTTGTCCATCTTTATTACTGTTAATTTATTATGTATTATTTTTATGAAAAAAAAAAAAGACATTTCAGTGACTGAAATGCTACAAAAATGCGATAAAAGAAAAGACTGAAGCTAAGTATCAAACTTCTTAAGCCATACGAATAACACCAGCGTGCATCAACTTGCGGACATTGGCGGCGATTTGAGGGTTCTTCAAATGTTCTTGAGCAGCCTTGGGATCTTCTTGCATTTGTTGAAGAATTTGTTGCATAACAGGGTCACCGAGGATACGTTGGATCTCAGGGTCTTGTGCGGCTCTCTTGAGAGTCTCTTCTTGACTTTCATTAGCACCACCCATGGGGCTCATGGCAGTATAGGCTTTGGTTAATTGCTGTTGGATTTCACGAGCACACTTTCCATCCTTATCCGTCTCCTTGGCCAAAGTAAGGGTATCGATAGATTCTTGGAAATCTTTTTTGACGAGCTGAGCGGCAGCTTTACGAATATAACCACGAGCTATAATGTTTGTTAGCACTAATTTTTCTCGACCATGTCCTTTTTTTTAACTTACTGAAAGTAGGGTCAAGTTCAATACACTTGTCAGCATCCTTCTCAGCTTCGTTAATGGCCATTAACTTCAAGTAACACGCGGCACGGTTAGAATAAGGTCTAACGTCCTTATCATTACGCTTGATGGCTTCAGTGTATTGTTCAATAGCCTCGGGCCTAATAGACGATTATTAACATTATGATAGTATGACATAATGAGATACAGATAAACTTACCACTTAGCAGACTTGAAAAGAGCGTTACCAGCCTCACGTGCCTTATCGGCAAGTTCAGGATTGTAATAGGCGGCCTTTTCTTGTTCCTTCTTGAGCTTTTCAGTATCACGAAGCTTTTGAAGAGTCTCAGGTGTGCGATGCTCGGTTAAAGACTTTCCATAGTACTTGATAGCTTCGTCCAAGTTGTCTAACTTGAGATAAGCATTACCAATACGTTGAAGAGCTCTAGAAGAGGCAAATTACTATCTCAGTAATACATTCTTGTTTTTTTCAAAATAAATATATATAAACTTACCTTGCAATCAACTTATAATCACATCTTAATTCACGACCGCGCTCGATGGCATCCTCACAGACCTTGATACAATCCTCGAACTTCTCTTGTTCGAAAAGTACAGCTAATAAAAAAAAATTCTTAGAAGCATGTTAATTTTAACTTTTAATTATGTACTTTACCAGCTTTGTTGGTCAAGAAGGTAATGTTGGTGTTATCCAATTCATAAGCCTTGTCGTAAAAACCAAGAGCGGCTTCAAACTCACGCTTCTTGTAGGCTTGATTACCGAGGTCCTTTTGGGCTAAAGCTAATTGCTTGTTATCTTCGGACATGTTATAAATTCTTTTTAAGGTTAAAGGAAAAGAAAAAGAGAAAATAAAAAATCACGGTTTATAAAGTTCAATAATGCTCTTTGGTCTACGCATTTTCAAAAGGCTTCTGGAACTCTCGATTTGTGACTTGTTTGTTTGCGAGATGTTTACTCAGAGCCAAGTGCCATATTTTCATCAATCCGTATACTAATGAATGAGCCAGGTTATATTTAAATGCTTAACTTGGAGAATACGTCCTATTTAAGTGTTTTAACTTGATGTGACTTTAGGATAGAGAAAATGCTTTTACGGAGTTGTCCATTTGGGACTTTGGTGGGTGGCTTTGAATTGCTGCTATTTAAGTCAACATATTAAGCATGGCTTTATTAATAAAGCTGCTTGGTAGAGTTCATTTTTTTTAAAAAAATTTACTTCCTGTTGCATATATTAGAAGTGTTGAATATAAGTATATATGCACTACACAAAACTTTCAATGACACGTAAATAGGGTTTAATGACTGAAGCAAAAGTATAATTTCCAAGTGACATAAATTTTAACAATGCAAAAAAATGTGAAACTTATGTCATTTTGATAAAGTATCTGAATTACCAAACTAAGCATACACCAATATCCTTTGCTTTGTTAGGGGTTCTTAGTTTCGGAAAATAACGAATACAGTTAATATCATGAAAATAGCATTTTAGTTTATAAAAAATAATTTCATTCCCTTGAACGATAAACCGGCTCAAATCAATCAATTTGACTTCCACAATTATCATATGTTGCATTTAGGCGACCATTTTCAAATCAAAATGTAAAAAAAAAACAAAAAGACAAAAAACGTTTATTTTCCGATAGAAGATTGGCTCAAAGACCGTAAAAAAAACTGGGATCACTTAAGTGTATCTATATTTGACCTGCGATAATAGACTTAGAAAGAGCTAGTTACGATGTTGACAAGCATTTCTTATGTTTGCTCTTCTCCGTTGCTCCTGGGGAGCTTCTGCATGTTTAAATCTTTGGAGAATTCTGTTTCCAGTACGAAGTAACTGAACAATATCAACCCTGTTTAAGCAAGCAACCATTGGCTGTCCCTAAGAGACCCAATTAATCAGAGATAACACCCACCGAACACTGGGGGTACAGTTTCAATGAGCAAACCATCATGATTAATGCTATAAACTAATAAAAGTAACTGTAAGACTGACTTTCTGGGAATAGACTGCATAGTACAAATATAAAATTATCATACCTGTAGCAGTGTAAGACACTGTTTGTAACGGAAACCCAATTCTAGATTGCATTCTTCTTTGGATAGATAAAGAGAAAATGTATATACCACCCCTCTTTTTCCAAATATAGTAATTACCACCCCTGTTCGGTCACGCCGGACAGTAAATGTCCGGTGGAAGTGAATCACTTTATACCCATTTATTAGGCTCCTTTGTGGATCACTTTATACCCATTTATTAGGCTCGTTGTTGGATCATTTAATACCCATTTATTAGGTTCATTTATAATGTTTTTTTTGGATCACTTAATACCTATTTTTTAGGCTCGTGTACAGTATATTTTTGGATCACTTAATACTTAGTTTTTAGGCTCATGTATAGTGTATTTTTGGATCACTTAATACCTATTTTTTAGGCCTATGAACCAGGTCCGAATAATTGTTTGAGGAGAGGCGGGGGGATTCAGGTACCATTTTACTTTTTCCATTTGACAATTTACAACGATCATATAAATGAACAATCAAGAAAGTATTGCTGAAGGCGAGCGTCTCATTATTCCTACAAGAGTAGAAGTAGCCCCAAGAAATCCTTTAATCGAGACACTCTTCATAAAATTGAACCAGTCCAAGAATGAAGTATCACTTAAGGAAGTTGATGTCGAAGATGTTGATGACACATTGATTAAGGACAAGTTGACATGTGGTAAATGCCATAAGACGTTCAACTCGAGATCATCCCTGATCAAGCACTTGAAGGTCAAACACCATATTGTAATCGTTGGTGTCAAGCATGGGCGTCCTGACCAAGGTGGAAGGCTTGCATACTATATCCGCCAGCAGCAAAAGAAGGCCGATGGAAATTCTGTTTTGAGAGTCGATGAAAAAAAAACTTAAGAAGCAAATAAGGAAACAAATTAGTTATGAGGCGGTAAAAGCCAAGAAGAAAGCTGAGTGGGCTTTGTTGGAGAGTAAGGACCTTCTTGAAAACCTTAAGGTTTTATGGGATACGTCTGATGGTGTATGGAGACCAGATTTTACCTATGTACAATATATTGAAGATGTCTCTCCCATTTACCAATATCTCATCACGAAACTATGTTTGGAAGATTCATATGTACGAAAATATAGTGAGCCTAAAACATAGGTATTAAGTGATCCAAAAATACACTGTACATGAGCCTAAAAACTAAGTATTAAGTGATCCAAAAATACACTATACATGAGCCTAAAAAATAAGTATTAAGTGATCCAACAATGAGCCTAAAAAATGGGTATAAAGTGATTCACTTCCACCGGACATTTACTGTCCGGCGTGACCGAACAGGGGTGGTAATTACTATATTTGGAAAAAGAGGGGTGGTATATACAGGCTCACTTTTTAAAAGCATAGTTTTGATTAACATAATGGATATTTAAAAGTTATATTTTTTATTGCATTGTACACGATTTAAAACCCAATCAAGCCCAATAACAGAACTTATGAAATTTCCTTTTTCCTGCAAGTCTAACTGATTTCTCCTTTTTCAACTTACCTTTCCTATTATTTGAACAAAATGTCAATGGACATCCAGCCTTATTGTCCTATTCCTGTTCTGTAACAGTTCATATCGAGACCTACAAAACTGCGATTCAAGAATCTGGTTCCAAACATGGTGTAAAATAGAATTTTAACAAACGTCAAAATCCCCCTACTGGGTACTTAAATGGTAGACAAAGACAGTCAACCTATGTCTTCAGAGAATACTATGTATGCCGTCGTTCCGGCTCCAAAAGAGAACATGCTGGTGTTGTCCGAGGTGTTACTTCCGTTCAGGTACGCGGTTTGCAGACGAGAAGCAAGAAGATCAAATGCCCCGCCGCTCTGAAGGTTGTCTGTTTGCCAGGTAGTTCATCAATGGTTACTGCAAGCTCGTAGTTTATGTCTTGACACTACCCACAGCACTACCATTTTTTTTTCAACCGAATCCTGTATACGATTGTCACACGCCTTTCCTTGACTAGTGCTGGTTGTCCTGTTGCTTCTTTTTTCTCTTAATCGATCAATCAATGGGTCCATTGGCCAACTTCTTGGGGTTCTTGAGAAATATTGTTGGGATCTACGCAAAGATAACAAAAAAACATATATATTAATTAATTAATAAACGCGTGTTCCCTTCCCTCTGCCTAAAAAGTAAAAGTAAAGCAGCCCTCTTCTTTTAAAAACCGCTCAAAAACTCCTCCCAAGCTTTCCACGTCATGCCCAAATTTTCGGTGTTTGACAAAATTGGACAATCCTATAGGCCAATTAAAAAAATCGTTGTGTTTGAAAGCTCAAGTTAATATATTTTTACACCTCTATTTGAAAACCACACTTTTTCTTTCAATAAAATGGCCAAGCTGGATGTCAGCAGCCAAAAGATACTTTTAAAAAGAACTATTCTCGGTTTAATAGCCGTAGTAGCTTTTTCGTCACGTCTTTTCAGTATAATCAGATATGAATCTATTATTCACGAGTTTGACCCATGGTACTATTTTGTTTAACAGGATATTTGCATATAAATTAAGTGTACTAACTCATCATCTCAACAAAGGTTCAATTACCGTGCGACAAGAATGTTAGTTCAAGATGGGTTTTTTGAATTCTGGAATTGGTTTGATGACCGTTCCTGGTATCCTTTAGGTCGCGTTGTTGGAGGTACAATTTATCCAGGTTTAATGGTTACAGCTGCCATCATTCATAATGTATTACACTATTTGCATTTTCCCGTTGATATTCGCAATATTTGTGTTCTTTTGGCTCCCATGTTCTCTGGTTTGACTGCTTATGCCACATACCTTTTGACAACAGAACTCAAGGATAGCTCAGCTGGTTTATTGGCTGCTGTTTTTATGGGTATCGCACCGGGTTATATTTCACGTTCGGTTGCTGGCTCTTACGATAACGAAGCCATTGCTATTTTCTTACTGATGTTCACATTTTATCTTTGGATTAAAGCATTGAAATTGGGTTCCGCTCTTTGGGCTTCTGCTGCTGCTTTCTTCTACTTCTATATGGTTGCTGCTTGGGGTGGTTATGTCTTTATCATCAATATCATTCCTCTTCATGTATTTGTCTTGATGTTGATGGGAAGATTTAGTAGTCGCATCTATGTTTCTTATTCAACCTTTTATATCTTGGGTACATTGATGTCAATGCAGATTCCTTTTGTCGGCTTCCAACCCACTCGTACTTCAGAGCATATGGCTGCTTTAGGCGTATTTGGACTCTGCCAAATTATGGGTTTTGTAAACTTATTGCGTAGTCATCTTCAACAGAAGCAATTCCAAATTGTACTCAGAGCATTTGTTGCCGTTACCTTTACTTTAGGTACCGCTGTTCTCGTTTTGTTAACCCTTAGTGGTTATGTTGCTCCATGGACTGGTAGGTTTTACTCTCTTTGGGATACTGGTTATGCCAAGATCCATATTCCTATCATTGCATCGGTATCTGAACATCAACCTACTGCATGGCCTATGTTCTTCTTCGATTTACAAATGCTCATCTTTGTTTTCCCGGTTGGTATTTACCTTTGCTTCCAACAATTACGTGATGAACACGTCTTTGTGATTGTTTACAGTATTTTCGCCTCGTACTTTGCTGGTGTTATGGTACGTTTGATGTTGACTTTGACTCCTGTCGTCTGTATCTGTGGTGGCATAGCTATTTCTACTTTGTTAGACACTTATCTTGATTTCTCCACTGCTGAAAAAATAGAAAGGACCACTTCTGAAGCCGTCGCTACTGCTGCGGATGAAAAACCCAAGAAGACATCCAAGAAAAAGGAGAAGGAAGAAAAGAAGTATGGTATTCTTGGTAACGATACACGTGTTATGGTCATTGGTACATTTACATTCTTCCTCTTCATGTTCGTTTGGCATTGTACATGGGTTACATCCAACGCTTATTCTTCACCCTCTGTTGTTTTAGCATCTCGTAACCCCGATGGATCTCAACGTATCATTGATGATTTCAGAGAGGCATATTATTGGTTGCGTAAAAATACTGATGAAGATGCCAAGATCATGTCTTGGTGGGATTACGGTTACCAAATTGCTGGTTTCTCTAACCGTACCACATTAGTTGATAATAATACATGGAACAACACTCATATCGCTACCGTAGGTCGTGCCATGTCTACCAATGAAGCCGACTCTTATGAGATTATGAAAAAACATGATGTCAGTTATGTTCTCGTCATTTTTGGTGGTCTTTTAGGATACTCTGGCGATGATATCAACAAATTCCTTTGGATGATTCGTATTGCTCAAGGTATCTGGCCTGACAAAATCAAGGAATCAGATTTTTTCACAGCTCAAGGAGAATACCGTGTCGACGACCAGGCATCCAAGGCAATGAAGGAATCACTTATGTACAAGATGAGTTATTACCGTTTTAACGAAATGTTTGGTGGCCGTCAACCTTATGATCGTGTGCGTAACCAACCTCTTCCGGCTAAAGGACCCGAGTTGTCTGTTTTGGACGAAGCTTTTACTTCAGAAAACTGGATTGTTAGAATTTACAAGGTAAAGGATTATGATGCTTTTGGTAGAGATCATCATGAGGCTATGGCTTTTGAAGCTGGCAACAAAAAAATAAAGGCCAAGAGAAGTAAAAAGAGTTCAGATCGTAGAAGACGCTCAGCGGCATCATATGATGATTTGGATTAAAAAAACATATATCAATCCCCACATTTTTAACCTTGTAAACAAAACAAAATAAAATAAATTTACAATATTTATTTCATGGGAAAGTTAAAAATTTCAACACCTTCAATATCTTGAACAGGAAAACCAAAAATTTGACCATAGAACCACTGCTCTAACTCCACTGAACGCTTGATATTTTCAGCCCTACGGAAACCATGAGCTTCACCTTCAAAAAGAACATAGGCAACAGGGACACCGTTTTTCTTAAGCGCGTCAACCATTACTTCAGCCTGGGAAGGAGGAACAACCTTATCTTCGGAACCTTGGAAAAAGATGACCGGACAATCAATGTTACCGGCACTGAAAAGAGGAGAACGTTCTTCGTAAATGGCTTTATCTTTGGGGTATTCACCAATTAAATTATCAGGGTATCTTGATTCGAATTTGTGTGTTTCTTTAGCTAACAAAGTAATATCTGAGATACCGTATCGACAACAACCAGCTTGGAACACTTTGCGGAAAGCAATAGCGGCCAAAGTAGTAAAACCACCGGCACTGCCTCCTTCAATGGTTAACTTGGCTCTGTCAACTAAACCTTGATCAGCCAAGTAGAGGGCAGCGTTACAACAGTCGTCCACATCAACAATACCCCAATTTTTTTGAAGGCGGTTACGGTATTCCCGACCGTAGCCAGTGCTACCACCATAATTGACATCAGCAATCGCAAAACCACGGGTGGTCCAATATTGTATACTACGGCTGTAGCTATTATGAGTCTGTCCTGTAGGTCCACCGTGAGAAAGGACACGCAAAGGAGGTAATCCTTCGCCCGCATAGTTCGGATTCTTGGGTTCGTAGAAGTAACAATAGGCAGTTTTACCATCGGTTGTAGGAAACTCAATTTCTTTGCCAACTGTGATATAAGATGGGTCTAAGCGAGTGGCAGCTGACTTTTGATGAACGTTGAGAATTACCTCTTTATCAAGGTTGTAGGATATGACTTCTGTGGGTTCAGTAGCAGAAGCCATATTGGCGATAACAATTTCATCGCCATTACTGTCGACGTAAGTGCGAATGTCCGAGAAGGAATCATATTTGCATTTTAAGTCAGTCATCGTCTTAGCTTGTTTATCCAAAATGGCTAAAGAATGTTTGTTTGTAACAACAAGTTTATGAGCACATGATTTGAGAGGGGTATAGTCCGAATTGTTAAATCTCCAAGCAGGACCAACGAACTCTTGTTCAAGTGGTTGGGGTAACAAAAGTTGAATAGAGTTCCCATCGTATTCGTATAAATTCCAGAATCCAGAACGGTCAGAAGCAAAGTAGAGGGAACCATCAATACCAAATTCAGGTTGCTAATATAATATTTAGATAAGTCGACTATATTATAGATGTGGCACAATTAAGACTAACCGAAATACTTTCGTCAATAACATCACCAGCAATACACACCAAATTTTTAAGCTCCAGCGACGTACCATCGAATTCAGTATTTGCGTAATAGAGTTGAGTGTAATCCCAGGGCATATTGGGATGGACCCAGCTAACAAAGGTCAAATCGTTGTTCTCGGAAAGACGGGGGGTGGAATAAAAATCTTTGCCTTCAGCAATGACTTGTTCTTTACCCGTCTTTAAGTCAATGCAAACAAGTACATTTACAACATCTTTTGGTTCTTCCTTTTCAAAATGTTCTTCCCGAATACAAACAAGGAATCGATTCTTTCGATCAATGGCAAAGTCAGCATAGCGATACAGTGTATGAGCTTTGGTCAATGGGGCAATGTTACCCTCCAAATCAATGGTGTAAATACGTGTGTCCGCATTGTTCGAAAATACAACAAGTCCGTTGGAGACCTTAAAAGCACCACGACCATATTCATGAACACGAGTCAGACAGTTGTATTCTAAGGGTAAGAGCGCTTTGGGGGCGACGCTTGTGTCGGTAAGTGATTGTCTAAAGATTTGGCCGCGGCCTTGTTCATGAGACACAGCTTGAGTCCAGTAAATGTATTCACCATCGACACAAGTATCTGTAGCTAAGGCTCCTGCTGATAAAGAGTCGCCTGTGATAGGTGAAGGCCATGCACCAAAAGGTTTAACTTGAACCATAGTATATTTTTTTACGTGTAAGGAAGAAGGAAAAAGGTGAAAGATACTTTGTTAAGAAAAAACTTCCAAATAAGGCCTCGATAATTGACATAGCGCTCCATGTCTGACTCTGGAAGTCTGAGGCTACACGAATGTTACTTTTATTTCTTTTTTTTAAAAAAAATGAATAAACTCATAAGATATAATGATAAGAAGCAGTTATGATCTGTAAGACCCAAGTAGAAGAAGGACGTGCTGCATTTGAAAAAGCAGGCAATGAAGCTGTCCCAGCAGGGGATTGCATTGCATCGAATAGCTTTATTGTTTACACGGTTTTTTTTTTATATCTGTTTTGCTATTCTCTTCTCTCTTTGCTGTAATTTTATTTTATATGGCCTCCCCAACCACTCATAAGGCGCATGCTGCTAATAGTAAATACCCTTTTCTTTTAACGAGTGCCTCTAAACTTATATACTTAATGTTATGTAGCTTGTAATAGTTGTAACACTGGGGTGAAAAAAAAAAGTTGTAATAATTGTTCGGCAGTAAAGTATCAAGATAACCAAGAAGAAACAATAGCCGTCTATATAAAAAATGACCCATCTATCACGAGCACTAATAACTTTAGCAAAAGACAACGTCGTCGACAGTGCTGTTTGTGTTTTTTCCATAGCAACGCAACATCCAGGACCATTGTATTTTTTATATTCTCTATGTTTGTGCTGGGAGCCATTACCGCATTTTTTTGTTGGCCACGTACACCAAGAATTTCGATGGGTGGGGGAGCAACCTCACTGAATGGTATGCCCCCGGATTGGTGGGCAGGAGAAAGATTTCCAATAGAAGCACAAGATAACACAATTTTACCATCCAGACCTTCTTTAAGAGGTACATGGCAAATCAACGTGACATTAGATAATAGAGATAACTGGATTCCAACACATATTCGTAGTCTAGAATTTGTGTTACTAGACAGCTTGACGTTAGCCAAATTTGCTTGGGCATCTTCCTCTGCAATGGTATTACAGCCAAAAACCATTTCTCCACTTAGTTTGACCTTTAATGTCAACTATCAAGCTCCTGATAATACAGATCCTACATTTCAAAATTTGTATGCTTCCTGTGGTCCATTAAAGAGCCCCGATAGTCGAAGACCAGCATTGAATGTATTATTAAAGGTAAAATTATATTTCTTTTTTGCGCAATTGTTATTTCCTGATCAGCCAAAATAGGTTTACATCCGCCTGTATGGAATCATTTGGACTCCGATTGTAAGTTCGACGCCTTACACTGGAGGGCTACTTTGTCCAATGAAGTAGGGCATTAAAGACACAGCTGCATTAAATAAAATGTGAAGTGCGGTTTTTATTATTTCTGTTTTTATTTTTTATTTTTTATTATTTTTATTTTCGTATGAAAGAACTTTATGAATTCGAAGTGCAAATAAGAAACCCTGTTCCATTGTGCAAATTGTAAAAAGCTTTTAAATGTAGATTATGCTTCAATGTCAATTCTCTTTCGTTTTGATCTTGTTCTTCCTTGACCAGTTCATTTAAACAAGAGTCAAACCAGTGCTGCTCTAACAGTATCATATTTTTGTCTTTAGTATTCTCTTTCATTTCTTCGCGTAGTAAATTATTGATGAGTACGTATTTGCGGATTGGTAAGTCGATACGTGTTTGATCATATTCTGCCAATTTTGCGTGAGAGATCAATTGGATATAGTTATTGCTGCTTGACATTTTGTCAGAGTGTAATGCTGTCAGAGTGTAATGCCTTTATTTTATGGACAAAAAAAATTCAAGAAAGAAAAATGTGATTATTTGAAAGGAGAAAAAAAGGTTATAAATAACAAAAAGAAGGTTAATTAAGTTGCCACAAAGCACTTACTTACTGCGGTTCTGATATGTTAAAAACAGAAAGAAACAACAAATGTGACGTCAAAAAGGGAATAACCTTTACTGTGTATTATTTTTGACGTCGGGAATAATTGATATTCGGATCAATCACGACATTGGCCAACAGTTTTATTCCGAATATGAATACAAGTAGTGGCTGCATTGTTACCAGGACCAGCTTTTTTGCTCGAGTTTAATTTGTTATCACCAGCATTTGTGATTTAACGATTTACAAAATACAGCTACTAAAAGTGAGATAATGTGTGTTTAATCGACTACCTTTACCCTTACTTCTTGTCTGATGACCGATTTATAGTCCACAAAATATGCCAAGTGGCTGCTACATAGAAAGTTTATATTGGCACTATTAGAAATCATTTGACTGAAAAAAATATTAATATATCGCTTTAGATAGGAGTTCCAGCAAATCTATGTCCACTTTATTGGGGGGCGTAAATACAGTGTTTCCACTTGACATCGAGACACTTTTTGGACGAATCAAAATTCATACTTAGGCAATTTGCTTACCTTTTTTGGACAAAGAGAAAATAAAATTTGGATAGAAAAGAGACGAAAGGAGATAATTGTTCGGGTTTTTACCTTCGATGTTCGGAATCCGTCGACATGAACGAGCAAAAAGATTTTCAGACCTCTGTCTGAAATTGAGCTGTCTCTAGAGAACATCAGTGACACCTGTGGATATGCCCTTGAATTTAACTGAGTTCTTCCCAAGCATTCCATTGTCAAAAGAGATAATTGGTAGTTTATCTTTATTTAGGCTGGACGATTATAATTTAAAGTTACTTTCCACTTTCTTGTATTGCGTATTTGCTACTATCATTGTCTATGATCTCTTTACTTCATCTTTTCTTTCTATCTTTGTGTTTTTTCGCTTTCTTTTGTTATATTTTCTACTACCGTCTAATAAAATGTCTGTCATTTCTGCTCTTGCTCTTTGAACACCTTGGTACAGATAGAAGCGGTCTTTTGCAGTTAAACTACCATTGACTTCTTATATCTTGTCGAGATTTAGGAGAATGTAAGTAACATATTGAAGATAGGTAGATATATTCACTGTTTTTGCTGTTGGTATATTTAGTAAAGCATCGCCCATTTCCTCAACAGCCATCCTTTCAATTTCTTTTTTCATATGTCTTTTTGATCCTGTATAAGTATAATATTTTTTGGTAGAGCGCTTCCTAGGCTGGCGACTACTTTCCCCATCACCATAAGAGGCAGCAAATACTTGACTACGGCTTGGGTCTAGTGCGCAAAGTGAGACAGTGATAAAGTTACAATACTTCATTTTATGAATACAGACATGCAATTCGCGCTAGCTTGTATCTGCATTGTCTGAGAAACCTGTTAAAATTGCTACGTATCTTATATGTTCAAGAAAGACTATGGATCTAATATAAATCGAATGATTTTTATAAAAAAAGATGTGCAGATTTAGCAGAATAAATTTACACGAGCAGCTACTGAAGTGAGCAATCTTCCAAATGATCGAGAAAATTAAAAATGTGACTTTTTGTGACGGCTTCTGTCGGTGCAAGTTTTTTTGGCATCAAAAAGCCGAGAAAAAAAAAGAGCTTTATATCCCATATTATTCAATCATGTCTGGAACTATCCAAAAGAAGAAGACCCAAACCAGCCGTAAGGGTAAGAAGGCATGGCGCAAGAATGTCGACATTACAGATGTAGAAGAAGGACAAGAGGAATTACGTGCCATTGAAAGAATTGTGTAAGTTTGAGGGGGTATTTTTTTTCAGATCTTGATCAGGATCTAACTTTTTTTTTTTTTTTTTTTTTTTTTTTGTACTTTTTTCTCTCTCAAAATAGCGGTCATAACAAAGAATTGAAGAACGAAGAACTCTTTACCATTGATGTTGCTGGTGACACTAGTGGTAGATATTAAAGAAGAATAAGAAATCTCAAGGTATTAACTATATCTTTTAGTCAAACGCCGACTTGCAAAGGATAAACCTCTCCGTGTCGAAGAAATTTTAGATCAACGTTCTGCAGTACCTGCTGTCAAGTCTAAAAATGCTTTTAAAAAGGTCGAAATGACCAATGTCATCGAGTCAAGACATGAATATAAAAATGTTGACAGAATTTTGAAGCGCAAGGACCAAGTTCCTATCAAAGTTAGTCATAAAAAGAGAGTCAAGATCTCAACGGACAAATCATATGATCTCTGGGATACACCTGTCGAAGCACCTATTTTACCTGATACCGGCTTTTTGCCAGTAAAGGCCAAATTAAGAGTACCAAAGACAGTAACTGAAAAACCTGCTGGATTAATTCATATTGCTGCCATTGCCACACCTGAAGGTGGACATTCTTATAACCCTAATGTTGTTGAGCATCAACAATTATTAGCTAAGGCTAATGATGCTGAAGAACGTAAAGTCGAAATTCTTAAGAAGCTCCAGGAACAATTATCTTACAGAGAAGAACTCAAGCAACTTGCCGGTGAATTGTCTGCTACTGAAATTACAGCTGAAGGAAAAATTATCTCTACCAGCGTTGACGATGATGAAGAAGAAGAGGATTTGGAAGACAAACCCACAGATGATAAAGCAACAAAGAAGCGTAAAGCGGCTGAGCGTAAAACTCGTTCGCAACGTCACAAATCTCATCGTCTGGCTACAGAAGAATTAACAAAGAAACAAAAATTACAAGAACGTGCTATTCGTCAACAAATTGATAAGCTTCGTGAAATTGAAGCTGAAATTAAGACTAGAATTGAAGATTTAGATAATATTGCCGAGAAGAGAGACGAACGCAAGATTGCCGAAGAAAAGAAGGGTATCAAGAAGTTGGGTAAATATGTCGTCCCTGAATTACCTGTTGACTTCCAATTGACCGACGAATTATGTGAAACTCTTCGTCAATTAAAGGTAAACAAAACAAAACAAAATTGAATATATACATGTATATATATATTATTATTTATTGACGTTGCATTTTATTTTTATAGCCTGAAGGAAATATGTTCCGTGATAGATTCCATAGCATTCAAAAGCGTAATATCATCGAACCCAGAATACCTGTTATTCCAAGCAGAAAGTACAAACTCAAGGAATATGAAAGAAGAGCTTACAAGAACTATGATAACTTGGAGGAAATTAAAAAGAAGAGAGCTGCATCAAAGAAATAGAAATAGAAATAATAAACGAATATAATAATAAATATGTGTAAAAATGTGGTTTATTTTATAAAAATGCAAGCGAGTGTGTGTGTGTGTGCACGATTGTGTGCGTATAGGGGAATAATAAATGCAATTTACCCATTAATGGACATGGGTGACCGACTAGGACTAGTCGAATAAAAGCAGTACTTGTTGACTAGCTCCAAATAAGATTGGGAATTCAAGTCCATAAATGTGGGGGAAGAAGCAAGTGGAGAATGGCAGGATAAACCAGTAGGGGATGAACTTTTACGTCTCATCGGTATAGGCATGGTTTTTGCAGCTAACGGTATAGGTGTCGATGCTGGCGTAACGAATGCTGGGGCAATGGCAGTCGGCGTTGTTGGTATGGGAATGGATGGAACTGAAGTTTTCGCACGAGCCACGGCTTGGTTTTTATTCATGTTAATGGAAGTTGGAGATAAGACTATATTGTTTTTAGCTTGGTGAATCGATTGCCCAAAATCGTATCTTGCTTTTAACCCGTCTTCTTTAGTCTGGGAATTGGCCTTTTTTGTACTTGTTTTTTTACTTGAGATTTGAATTTCATAGTTCCTACCATCATTATTATCCCAGTATTCCGTTGCACCGACTTTATAATTAACAGCAAAATACATTGTAGTAGCATTCGTTGGAACATTAATCTTAAATGAGAACACGTCATAAGTATTATTCTTGTGATCATCTTGTTGATTGTAATTAGCACCGATATTATCTATTGTTTCCCAAAAATCAAACGTATAACGGATTGTAACAGTCTTGTGATAATCAATATTTCGAACTTGTATTTTTCCAACGATTACATCATCTATTAAACGAATCGCATTTTTTTCGATTCTTATATTTTTTGTCTTTTTATCGATGATATCAGATAAACGAGTAGGCCAGTTCACAAATACTAATGACTTTAAAGGCACTTGCTCGTCTTCAGAGGACGAACTCGAACTACTGCTGCTGTCTTCATCATCATCTGTGCCCCAGAATATGTTCTTTTGACTAATAGCCAACGGCGTTTGGGCCTTTCTAAATAAGCATATATCCTCTAAATTATTCTTATTGAAATGTACTGATTTTAAACCTGTTGTAGGTGAGCAAGGTGCAGATGCAGATCTCGGAGTTCTTAGGGATGACTTTAATAAAGTCGGTAGTTCAATCCTTTTATCTGTTTGTGGTGTTGTTGCTTTAGTTGTGATTTTGACTGAAGAAGGTAGAGATAAGGCACTAGCTACCAATTGACGGGTATATTCATTTGTCACAGTATTTGTCTCTGATTCCGTGGCCATTATTGCTTGATAATCCAGTAATAGAGAAGAAGTTTTTTTATTTAAAGTAACACGTTTTTTGTTATTCATGATTAATAAAAAGAAATGTTAAAGAAGAAGAACAAAACAAAAAAAAGGAAAAAAGGCCTTATATTTAGCCCAAAAAAAAAAAAAAAAAAAAAAATTTGTTTTTAATATATACATCATACTCTTATCATGATGCCATTAAAATATTGTAGAGTTTTGATTGGTGTAACTATGGGTATAATATGCTTATATCACTAATCTCCTTTATGATCCAAGTATCTATTGTTCCGTATAACAAATATTAATCTTTCCTAAACACAAATACTGGATAGCATGATTACTTGGGTTATATTACATCTCAGTTTCAAATATGTTACACTTTGCTTACAACAATATGACGAAGCCATCATAACAAATAGCTACAACCATTTTCCCACCATACACAATAATGTTTTTATTTATTTAAAAAAGTATAGATTAATAGATTAAAAGAAGGAAGGTTGTTGCTGTTGCTGTTGTTGATGTTGGGATTGTTGAGATTGATTCGTCGTATAACCTTGCTGCATACCGGTCATTTGGGGCTGGTTGTACCCTGTCATTTGGGGTTGCAATCTTTGTTCTTGCATCATTTCCAACAAGCTTTTTTGTGATTGCTGGGGTGTACCCGTAGGAGTACTAGGCGATTGTCCAAATGGATTACGATTAGGTTGTTGACCAAAAGGCTATTTAAATGATTTAACACTCGGGTTATTTTTTAAACTGTTTTATTTTTTGTTACCTGGGAAAACGACGGGCTGTCTGTGATAGCTTTATTGCTACTTTGTGGAACCAAAGTGCTAGCAAATCCTGTACCACTATAGAAAGAAGAAAATTAAATGTCTGGATCTTTACAAAAAAAATAAAAACTTGTAATACTTACTATGGAATACGTAGATTTCCTGTGTTACCAAAAGTGTCCATACCATCACTAGAGATGATGTCATATATCAGTCATTTTTGAACACAAAATATATACACCTACATATGTATATAAAAATGAATGGACTTACTCTCTGTTTGCCAAAAGACTATTTAATTTGGAGAAACTTGTATCAGATTGATTTGTTGTCTGCATACCAGTAACCTAAAACAAGTAAAAAATATAAATGCACGAGCCATATGGTGGTACAAGAAAAAATTCTCACCTGGGGATTTACTGAAGTAGGTGTTCCGAATATGCCGTTTTGTTGTTGTGTCGGTGTGTTTGATTGACCAAATGGGTTGTTTTGGGCTCCATTAAACTGCTGGGTCTGAAATTGTTGTTGTTGCGGCATACCTGTCATTTGTGCTTGGAGGGGCATTCCCGTCATTTGTGTTTGAAGAGGCATACCCGTCATTTGAGCTTGAAGGCCCAAGTTGTTAAACCCAACAGACTGCTGTTGATAAGGGTTGCTAAATGTTTGTTGTTGTTGAATGGGCTCAGTAAATGACATTCCAGTCAAACCAGTTGACTGTGGCCATTGCTGTTGTGCATGTTGCTGGCCATATATTGGCTGTTGTTGCTGTTGGCCAATAGGTTGTTGTTGTGGAATATATTGTTGTTGTTGTTGACTATATTGTTGTTGTTGCTGGCCATATGGGTTAAGAGATGAATCAAACGACTGACTAGCAGGGAATGGTTGGAAACTTATAACAATGATTAGACAGACAAAAAATTGACAGGATCAAATGACTTACGTTTGTTGGTTACCAAAAAGGTTATCTTGGTTTTGACGTTCCAATGCCTCTCTTTTCTTTCTCTCGTTTTCTCTAGCTTCCCGTTCACTCTCTTCAAGTGCTTTTTGTAAGTCAGCATCAGTTCTAAAAATAATAACAATATGAATTAAACAGTAAATGCAAGTACCAAAACTACTAACCCAACGCCACGATTTCTAAACTCTTGCTCTGCCATGCGCTTGCTTTCTTCAATGGCTTTTTTTAAATCCTTGTCTTCGTCTAAGTACCCAGGATGATCGTAGACAGCATGGTCCTCATTCCTAGTATTCGACTTTCCCACTAGCATCATATCATTCATATAATCTCCTACATTGGCCATTCTATCTTGCATTTGCTGGCGTGAGCGACGCTCTTCCTTGAGACGCTGCTCATCTAATAATAAGCTGGTTATGTCTTTGGCTTTTTGGCGTACTATTTTAATTTTATTTAGTCTTCCCATTGAAATATCAGAATAATCACAAACCATTGAATCCAACATCTTTTCCGGTATCGTCCACATGCTGAAATTCTTTCAGTGTTCTTACAACGTAAATATTTTCCTTGGCATAAAGTACAACATTTTCGGATCCAACGTGTAAACAATAATCCAGCACGAGCAAGGCCTTTAAATCCAATTAAACACTACTGAACACAAATATACTAATTAAGGGAAAACTCACTTTGAATACATGACGCCAGTTTTTTCCTTTGTCGTTAAGCCTTCTATCGAGCATATCCATGATTTCAATAAAATCGTGTCTATATCATAATAAGTTACTTGACCTCCGGGAAAATAATTTTAAAGTCTTACTCGTTAAATGTCAATTGGGCAATTTCGTTCATTAACGAACCGCTTGGACCCCAAGTATCATTAGAGGTAGCTTCTCGTACTTTAATCTGGACTTCAGAAAATCCTTTTGCATAGTTTTTACTGTAGTATAAGAATAGTCAGTTTATCAGTCTTGTCATTCCAACAAGAATAAACGTCATTTCACGAAATCAACTGACAAAAACAACATCCTTTCAACCAATGGTTACTTACATGCTTCTTACGACTCCTTTTCCTGCCATTTTCAATATGTGTTCGTTGTAAAGAGGGAAGAAAAAAAATCGGCTATTGTCTTAGGCTTCTTTTTTAAGACTGTGCGACTCCGATAGTGTGTGATTGGACGTAACAAAAACAAAATCAAAGGCCTCAGAAGAAACACTCCCTATCTTCTTATATCACTATTGCGAGTGGAACCAATATTTTACCCACGTGACACTATCTATCACATTTTGCTCCAGGTATTACCATACTGAGAGTGTATTATGTTTGTTGAAGCAATAGAAGAATAATAAAAAGAATGAGATTTGAGATCCACCTTATTAAAGGTATTACTCATCATGGACGGTGGACCGCCCCTTGTTGATTGTGAGTTAAACAGAGAGGGGAGCAGGGTATACCAATTACAGCTCAGTAAGCGCTAGAAAAGATCTGTAGCTGCTGCCGAAAGTGTATCTCATTCACATGGCTTGACTTGGGATGACTAATGGACGATAAAAAAGCCAATTACAGTTTGGCCTTGCTTGTTTTTGATTCTTTTTTTAAGGGCTTTAAAAGTTTTGAGAACAAAAGATACATGTTTTTGATGTGCTGTGCTCAATGGTGATAGAAAAAGCTACATATCGAATGCTGCTTTGGCTTCCACGACTCATTATAGCAGCTAATTCCTTTAAGGATAAGCTTCTATCCCCAACGAACATGATCTTTTTTATGTTATTCATAAGTTACACATGGTATCTTTCTTCCTGACAAATCCGGTCAACAAACTTTTGTTTTGAAGCTCTTTGTGCTTTTTTTCAATCTTTTTGGGGGTTAATAAAAATTACAGTTTGTCTATGTTAAGAGACACGTTTTGCTTCCATTCGCTCACTTGGTTTGATGTACTCGGGCTATGTTGTTTCAGATATCATAAACTCAATATTCAATATTTTTATCCGAATTTTGTCCTTCTTCTTTTCCCTCTCCAATTCCCGAGGTTGTTATCTATTTCCATTCCCATAATCAATATCTTTGAAGGTAAGTTGAAGGCTCTTTCGCAACTTCATTGCTTAAGGGTGTAACTGAGTGATTTTTTACATAAGCATCTAGATATAAAATATTGGTATTAGTATGTTACAACTAATAAAAATACTTTTTTTATGTATCATTACCTTCTGTTAACGCAAAAACGTATTGTACAAATATAAACAAAATTTAAACATGTTCATAACAAAAAAAAAAACCTGAAGTTTCCCAATCTAAGTGGATCGGATGGTGAACAAACTTCGTTGTCCACCGAAAAAGTATTTTTTATCGTTTTAAGCTCTAAAAAAAACTTGCCGGATACTTGGAAAAAATGCTTAGATATTTTTGTCCACCTGGTCCACCTGTTCCGCCATCTGAAAAAAAAAAAAAAAAAAAAAAAAAAAAAAAAAGAGAAAAAAAAACCTGCCGATAAAGATATTCCAATGAATTTTCAAAGTTATTCTTCGTGCAATTAAAACAAATGCTTGGTTTAATAAGCTTATTGATATCAGTGTTTATGCCTCAAATTACAGTTTAACTTTTTGCAAGTTATTGTGATACGTTCAAGACCGTTTAATTATTACTGCGACTGGATAACATTTTGATTTCTTTTAAAACATTATTGGCTAAGTCAATAAGCTATGATAGCTCAAATCAAATAAGAATATCAAGCGTGGCTTCTTTGCTAAATACCTAGAACCATTCAATAAATTGAAAAGCTGGATTTAAATGTTCAGCTGAGTGATCCTGAATTGGCTCAAACTATTGTACGTTTGCCGTCTGAACCATTTATTTTACCTAGCATGTACTGTTGTGCACTATAAAATTTTAAGAATATAGCCCAACGTGCAATAATTTCAATGGAGATAAAAAAACAACACCGTAAAAGTTCTAATAAAAACAATTTTTGTACCCATTGGCCAAAACTATGTGTAATCTTGGGTCTTATTGTTCTCTATTCACTGTGGTATTGCTATCTAGCTTGTAAAGACAATTGGACAGAATAATCACTAATTGCTAAAGTCAAAGTAGAGCTTTTCCTTTTTTATTTCATAAACGAGTTAATTTTTTTAGCCGAAAAAAGTGATCGTTTTTTTTTCACATTTTCTTTTTGTTGTAATTTCCTGAACAGCACCAAAAGCCTTATCTTGTATGAGAGAAAAGAAGAGGTATATAGTCTAAAAAAACCATCTTCCTGGAGATTTTCCGGTATAAGCAAGCGTAGCTATGATGATGATAATGATCACTATGAAGCTGATCATATCTTGTCTTCATTTTCAAATAAAAGAATAAAGCCAACTGTTGAGATAAACAAAGTGCTGATGAATGCTTTAAAAAACGAGTTTCGTGACATACTGGCAAATGTTATTGTACATTGTATTGAATTAGGTGGCGATTTAAAAGCTCTCAGAACTAAAATCACTTTTAGTAGAAGACTTCGTAAAGGAACAGTAACACAAGCTCAAAAAAAAAATTCTGATGCCACTGAAATCGAGAAGATAGTACACCATTACAAATTTGGAAAGATTTTGTACAAGAAAACTTTAAAGACGCTGTCAAATAAGTTCTAACCAATATAAAAGGAAAAGGTAAAATTATAGAGCAAACCCCCAAAGCTAAAACTGATGACGAGTCTGTCAAAAACAATAAAGAAGAACCAGAAGTCAGGACCTTAAGCAGCCCGCTGAAACCATTACTCAGATCAGATTTACCGGAATACATACAAACGCAACTTTTAAACACCATTCAAGACGAATCCGCATCTGCTACAGATTATCTTTAATTAACAGCCTCGTAATGCTTAAATATATGACCGTCTTTAACAGTGCTACGTTTGTAGCAGCTGATAATGGTTCTATCAATTTGCATCAGAGATATGGCGTGTTGATTACTGATATATTGCCTAAAGTACGTTATTATGGTGCAAGTATTTCCCGGAAGCAATGTGCCACCACCAATCGATTGTGATGTTTTACGTGACAAAAACCAATCAGAACAGATGAAGCAGTTGCTTAATTTCAACCAGTTACAGCTAATACATTCAATGTATTTTGTACCCCAAGATGTCAAACCTGAATCATTGTCAGAATTTCTTTTTTTACATGCAATTTTAAAAACTTTATCAGTTTAAACGGCCAGAAAAAATGGCGATAGATCCGTATGTAATGGAAATGATGCTTCCCGTATATTTTACAAACTTCAAGAATACATGTGGAAACATAGGTACGTTCCACTCTACTTTATACAGACTCTTGATTGTACCTCCCTGTATCTATCTTTCCCCCGCAAAAGAAAGACAAAAGCAGGAGAGATGAGAAGATAAAAAATAGACCTCATCCGAAAAGATAATTTCAGTTTAAAGAAAACAATTTCTATCGCTCATATATCGTATAATGAAAGAAAACGATTGATAAAGAAGGAGAAAAATAAAAAATATGCAGATAAAAGCGCGTTGGAAAATGAATCAAAATGGAAGCGTAAAGAAGAGCGATCAAAATAACGCATTGCTACTTATATAAATTCATTGAATTAGACCTTAAAATCGCAGCGTAATTCTGCTCTGCGTGCTGGATATTGGATACTGATGATTATCATACTATATATCATTTTGATGAAAATGTTGACATCTCAAACCATCAAATAAATCGGTTGAAGGGTGGACTAAAGGCTCTTTTATTGAAGCTTCTTGGTTCCGTATTTTCTGAGCGTCAGATATTTAGGGCCATAACATATATTAACACAGTTAAACTTCGGGCGTGTTTAAAATTACTAATTTTGTAAGCCTTTATATCCATGATAGATCTGACATGTTCAGCTTTAGTTACAGATTGCCCTTTATGCTGATGTGCATTTTCAAATATACCAGATACAGCAAGTTTACCAAAAAGTTAGTGCCATACACAGTGATGTCTTTACAGCTAGATCCTCCAACAATATTCTGGATAATGTCTTCTGTCAAAGTACCAAAGCCTATAAATTTATATAACTTTGATTAGAGTATCATTGCGTCCGGGCAAATTGCAACTGAATTCAAAGATGCTATATTTGGATTATGCTTTGCTAGAAGATTGATGTGATAATTACGGTCTAATATTTGCTCGTGTTACCTGGGGTCAAAACGGTCGGCGTCAATGTACATCATAAAAAGCTAAAAAGCAAGCCATCTACTATCAAACCTTCAAAATATAAGAGCGGTACAACCCTCAATAGCCCAACGTAAACAAATCCAAGACAGACAGATGGTCAAACAAATCAAAGTTGATGGACTTTTTAATGTATTGAAAAGACAGATTAAAGAGCGCTCATAATTCTATCTTCGAACCAACGTTTGAGACCTTAAGAAAAGGTGAATTAAATCAAAAAAATGGGGATATATTCGTGGAAGACTTGACACTTAACATACGCGTGTATAACCAAATACAGAAGCTAAAAGTTTGTAGAAATCTTATAGACCAAAGCATACAAGAGACAAAGGAGAAGCTCTCCAATGCTCAATTGTCATAGTTGGAAGTGTCTTTGCATGATGATCCGGAAACGTCAGGAGTAATCAAACGTGATACTGAAAGCAAAGGCCTTAACTTCGATAGCAGTACATACACAGGAATTGCAAAAGTGGAGAATTGTACCATCACTCTCAAGCTGCTAAATTCGGATAGAATAATTTTCTCTGGGACTAACTAGGAACTTGTGAATGAGTGAAACCGTGGCTCTTAAATTATTAAAGTTCAAATACCATTTGAAATAATACAATAGATCTACATGTCTAGATAAAGGTAACAAACAGAGACGGCTATTTTATATCATGTAACTAATTAGTTACTCATCAAGGTGTAAATTTTTTTAAGGAGCCTATAGTAGATGACATTACAATTCTCAGTACCTTTGATATTTATTCTAGAAATGTTGACTATGGAAGTATTGCTCAAAGTTATAGAAAAGTTTGGCAAAGGAAAAAAGAGGAGCAAAAGTTACAAGTGATCGAACAATCAATGAAATAAAGCAGGTATGTCAAGCGATGTTCTTCTCAAAATGGAAGGAACTCATAAACTAAATATGGACTAGTTTTTGCACATAACATGATGTTTCTTCCTGGATAAAAAATTGTGCGAGTAAATGGATACATTAAAACTACAACAAAAATCTTTCGTATCAAGCTCTACCAAAACGTAAGAAAAATAGTGTCACACTATAGCTGACACTACTGATTTAAAACACACTGAAATGATAAATCAGGCTTTACCAGGAGCTATAGGAATTGAATGGCAGTGTAGTAAAAGTAGACTTTAAGAGAGAATAGTTTTACAGAAAAAAATAGATAAAAAACAAAGAGAATACAATTATAAGTCTTGTCGATTTATTTGTATAAAAATTGATTAAGAGCTAACTAGACGGGCAGGTTTGCCCTGATATTTATAGAAGATTGAAGATATTGTGGCTTGTATTTTTGACAGCTCAGATCCATCGTAGTTTTATATGATGGACCATTCATTTGGTTTATTGAAGATCGTAAGATAGCTGTCCTTGATTTATTGTTGTTCCTTAAATTCTCTGATCTCTCATTGGTCGGAGCCTAGAGTTGTGTTGTAATGAAGAAATTTCCATAAAGCCGTGTTACTTATTCCCGATCTTTTATCCGTGAAACATCTTTCCTTTTGTAGACAGTAGCATTTATTATGTGGTTTTAGCACAGGCAGGAAGGTTTTTTTTGTTTTGCCTTTCGTTTTGTTTTATTTTGCTTCTGACAAATAACAATTGTGATTTAAAGAAAAATTTGACCGTTCTAACCAATCGACATATAACCGGAAGGAATGTAAATACTAGCTTTACGAGGAAATACAATCAGTGAAATCAAAAAGAACTCAGCTTGACACAGATATCCAGAAAATAAGCGGAAAGTTGGTTACGGAACGAGAATGAATGTTTAATGATTAGATCGTGCAGATTTGCAAAAGACGGAGACAAGAATGAAATGTATGGTAAGTAAAAATATTCATAAAGGATTGGAAAAGAATAAGAACTATACAACCACTTCTCTCGTCTACTTAACTCGGGAAAAACTGTTTCCTCTGGAACGGACAATAGTTTTATATCAATGCCGGACACTGAGAGGAGAAATCAGCACCTTTTTTTAGGATATCCAACTTCCATATGCTTATAATTCCCATTTAATTTTTGTCTGCATATATGTAAAAGACTTAAAAGTAATTCTTTAAGAAAAAAACTAACAAAGATGCTACTTATCGTGATTCATTTGTTTAGTCTTAGCTAAGATTATTAGGAAACGAAGTATTTTTCCAAAATTGATCCTGTTTTAAACGGGCAAACAAACTATTTGATCAGTTAAATAAATATTTTATTACTGATACATAGATAAATGCTTCAATTTTAGAAACATGTTTTAGTGGATCATAAATACTGAAGACCGCACTAAATATATATTCGGCTGATTTTTAAAAAAACATTTGATCATTGCATGTTTTTGCACAGGCTGCTTCTTTACATTCAGCACTCCCATGATAAGAACAACATTATTTAATCTGCACCTCTATTTCGACGCCTAAAAATGATAAACATTATGCTATAAATGCAGATAATATTTTGGCCTGAGATATATAGGGGTTAAAAAATTTAAATATAAAAACAACAGCACTTACTAGGTCGACATAACTTATTATATCACTGCATTAGTATGACACATACCAAAAGCTTGGATATCAAAGTAGTTGAATATGACTCCCCTGTTGAATACATTACTCGAGACGGTAGATTATACAACGCTAACACTGATTATCTTCTCCCCGTGGATGAAGGGGGTACCTAAAACTAGATATAAATTTAAAACTATATATTTACTTATTTTATAAACAAGAATCACTCCGTTTAAGCCGTTTTCATGTTGCTCACAATTATTTGTTTGGAGGGTAATAAGATCATTTAAAGAAAATTAAGGGCTCGTTTAACATTAACTTTCTTCAAGAAATTATCAAGCTCCTATCGCAGAGCGGTTGGAAAAAGGAATTGTTGTTTTGGATAGTGCTTGTGGGGCTGGAGCACACTGGTCTAAAGCTATGGGAGAAAAATACCCTAGTTCTGTTTTCACGGGTGTCGACATCTCAAATGTTTTTCCCTCGGAGTCATTCTCTAACATCAAATTTAAAATGGGAAACATCACAAAGAGTATCCCATTTCTCGATGAAACATTTGATTTCGCTTTTCAAAAGTTGCTTGGTCTTGCTTTTACTAGTGAGGAATGGGATAGTGTAATCGCAAAGCAACTTAGGTATTTACTTTATCTAATATTTATGAGCGTTTTAGAATTTAAAAGAATTGCATCGTGTCCTGAAGCCTGGAGGTTATATTGAATTGTCTGAGGTAAATTGTAGAACAGGGGTTTCGTTTGTTTACAAAAAGCAATATTTAATGCGTATTTAGATTTATGGTGTATCTGCTCATAATACAGGACCTTTGCTGAGTCAGGTCATGCATGCATGTAAGAAAGTCCAGGTTCTTATCGTGCATTTAACTGACGCTTTGTAAAATTCTGTGACTAGTCAAAACCGTTTCTAGCTCCAAGAGTATAATTGTAGATAGAGCACCATTAGAATTGGAAAACTTTTTAATCAAAGCAGGCTTTACAGATCAGACAGTAATTGTTAAGGAGATGCCATTAAATCATAGTGAGCATGGCAAATTATATTGGTAAAAATTTGAAGTGAAATTGGATTTTTGTACTACTAACGTATCAGTAGGAAATGTATGAGAAAAGTATATGAGACCCTTAGACCCCAATTTTCTGAAGTTTATCCGGAATGGAATGACATTTCTTTTTATAAGAAATTTTTAGACTTAGCAGGAGAGGAATGCTCTGAAACTAAATGTTACTATGAATGGAAAGTATGCTACGCACAAAAATAGGTCTGAAACTGACGCCACTTACGTTTTACTAGCGGGCATGACTTGTAAAGGTGCCATAATTAAATCTACATGCTTGAATAAATAAATACTGTTTCATTTTGCAAGCTAAATGTACAAGATACGGTTTTAAGAACATCTATCAATGTCAGAAAACGTTTCTACTCTTTTTTTTATGGCATGAACTGCTGTAGTTGATGACATATTTTTACGTGATTTTAATAAAACTCTTTGGATTTTTTATTTGACTGTCTTTGCAATAAATTGATAGCTTAAATTCATCTATAAAAAAGCAAAATATACAATGTTCTGATGAGGATCAGAACTCTTGAGTGACTTGCAATTATATTCTGAACAAAGCTAGCTCCTGTAATAAATCAAGGGTTAGTTAAATTTATAAAAAAAGAAATAAGAAAACAAAAGAATATGTCTAAAACTCTTTTATTGCAACTTAAATTTTTGTATCATTTATTTGAGAAAACTGGATTCTTAAGATGCGTTTGTTAAACCATTAAAATTAGAAACTAAAAAGAAAGAAGAATAATGAAGTTTAGAGTATTTTATAACAGAAAATGTTGTTGTTCGTCTTTTTGCAGCCTTGAATTAGAGGTGATTACTATCAGCTTTTATAATCGAGCAAGCTTTGATGGATGCTCGTTCGAAGATCGCTCGAATACAAAAAAAGTGGCCTATGCTCGAGTACAAAAACTTGGAGATAGCTTTGTTCGAACCGGCGCTAGATCGGTGCAAGCTCGGAAAGTTCGAACACTAATCTTGTTACAGATTATATATTGGGAATTATATTAATATTGGTTGTTTTTGACTCTCATTAATCTGTCACTGAAGTATCAGCTAATGAGATTCTTTCACTTGATAATTTGGGCCAATCAATATAAAAAAATATTTACTGACCTAAGACCATTTTATTCTAATTGCCATGTTGCAGAAAATAGAAACAAGCCACTGCTTATACCTTACCAGATTCAATCTCCCAGATGTTTGATATAAAAGCGTCCTCCCTTTTGTAATGACTTTCTCTTCATAACTCTAATAAAGGATTAATAGAGACTCATTTTTTATTTTTTCTGTTTTATCTATTCTCTATATCTCAAACATCACATGGAACACAATCGAAGCTCGTACGAGGATTTCTATTATCATTCCAAACACTAGTGCTTCGTTAACTCACAGTAAATATTGTCATACTAATAAATCATGTCACCTCGGCTCACCTATAAAATATTATAACAACTATCACGACAGTTACATAACAATTATCGTACTTATAAATCATATCACCTCCGCTCACCTATAAAATAGAATCCATAATTAAATTAAATTAAGTCATCTTTTATTTTATATGCTAAAATATTATAACGACTATCACGACACAATAGTTCCTCGACAATTCAAACTCCGCCTAGACAAGGGGAAAAAATATTAGTATCTGTGGGGTTTGAACCCACGCCCTCTTTCGAGGAGGGGATCTTAAGTCCACCGCCTTAGACCACTCGGCCAAGATACTATTGATATTTCTGTCAGTACCAAAATTATTGAGATGTCTACAGTACCAGTCACTACCGGTCCGGTCCGCACTATTCCGGTAGACACGGACATCGACATGGATATTCCGGTAGAACTCGAAATCAGGCTAAAGAAGACCAAATATCAGAAGAGGAAGTTCGTACCACTTACTAAAAATAATACAAGGTCAAAGAAGCGGAAACAATAATAACACCACTTTTATCAAACCATTATCATACCACTCGGGATTACTATCTCTTCATCATAAATATTAAACAGGTGCTCAACTTATCAATACATCACCTGTTCATACAATTACTATATTCATTATCACACTATCAATTATCTCAAGTATAAATAACCAACTTGTATCATTAATAAATCATCATCTTTTATTTGCCATTAAAATACTTCTTTGACTATTCTTTATAATTAACCACTGAGAGTTGAATTATAACATACTTGAAACTTACATTTCGGTAAGTTTAAGAATAAAATCTAGCGTGTATGTTTTTAAGTGAGTGACGTCACCTAAAAACACGTGATTGTCACGCTTCTCGAATATGATTGGCTATTGAATGAATTGGAAATAGACAATTATATCTTTAATTTTATAATTTATTATAATAAAACCATCTTTACTTTACTTAAGAAACAACTGTGTACCTTAGTGTTAGAACTACCTGATTGGATATAATTAACTGAATAGAACTGAATTGAATTGAATTGAATAACTGAAAAGAAGAACCAGTTCATAACATCATCGTATGCAACTACATCTTATCTAATAATTTTGGTTGATTGTCTTGTCTCGGAACGATCACAATAAGGGGAACATATTGATTTCACAAACAACACCGCAACCGTATTAATTTAAATACGTGCGTATTTTAATTGTATGTCGCTTTTTGTCAACCTTTTTCAACACGTGATATCCACGTGTAAGCTTTCTGACTGGTTGGGTAAACTGATTATGTCTTTGAGTGCGGTAAATAGTTCTGGGTTAGATAGTATGAGTAATAATTCTTGTGTTATAGTAATTGTGATAGTTGAGGATAGAGATAAAACAATAAAATACTTTGAGACTTGAGAAATTCGAGAGTGATAATAGCGAATTAAGAATAAAATGTGAAATTTAACAAAGTGAAATTATCAAACTGCAAAAATAAACTAAAGCTTTATTAAACAAATAAATGGGGGTCTTTATATACACATTATTTCAGACATTGATCACAGATGGGCTGATGACGGTTGTGGGTAGATTTATCCAGATAATACTCGGATGTAATGATCCCATATAGAAAGACCATAATGAGATGTCAATAACAATAACAATAACATTCATTCTTAAACTGTGTATGTCTTGTAGCACAACATTCAGGGGAAAATGTAGTTCTTATTAAAGATAGCTGTGGCACCTCAACGTGGCTGATGTAACCTTCATATGTTTTCATATTCATGTTATTATTTAAATGTATGCCTTATACTTGTATGAAGGATGATATAAGATCAAGCCTGTACATAAAGTAAATGATCAGTATTTAATATAAAGTACCAATAAGAATTATATTTAGGATTATCAAATGGAAGATTTAAGAAGTGTAGATAGAGTCATATATTAAGTATATAGCCTCGATCACGACATTACCCCCAACCACACTTTGATAAGCTTTTAAAGAAGAGGTATTTACACGTAAATAGTGTTTATAAAACCCAACCCGTAGAATGTGTCTGTGTCTGTGTATGTATATGTATATAAAATGTACTTGTGTAATAATTGATCGTAGTAAATATATGTGCCAGTAAAAAACCAAAATAAAAAAACCTTATAGGCAAAAAAGTATCTTTGGGGAAAAAGGCTATACTTGTTTACTTAGAGTTGCTTTGTGATTCAAGCAATCTCTGTGATCTAGTAATAATACGAGAGTTCTTATTACTATGTTTGTCACGATTAGCTTTTTTACGTATAGTATTGTTTACTGTTGTAGGAAGCTGTTTAGTGCTATTTCCAGCATTACGTCTAGCCCAATATACTTCGATATGCAATTTGGAATCAAAGTCTTCACTTTGTTGCCAAGTATGATATTTAGGGTCATTATAGCCTAACCAGTGAACAAGATATGAATAATTGTTGGGTTCACCTTTATGTGCTATGATTGCTTGTACTTCATAATGACCGTCAGCGGTATTATTTTGAGAAGCTTTCTCTTCAGGTAGTAATTTAATTTGCTGGGTAGGTACGTCTCTAGATAATAAATTTCCTGCTTGGTCTGCTAAGATGTAAGATTTATTCTTTGTGTATCCTGTAATAGTAAAAGGTCCAGAATATCTTTCTTGTACTTTAGAGCTGCGATGAACATTGATGATCATGCATTTTCTACCAATAGGATACATATCTGTAAGTACTTTATGAGTTTTCGCAAAGCGCTCATGATCTTTTGTTTGCGTGTCTTTAATAAGTGCAGCAATTTGGGGTATAACAACTTCTTGTGCAAATTTAAGTCTGTCATTAATTATTTTAGTGTCCGCTGTTTCTAGTGATAGAGAGGGTGTCTCATTAGAGTAATCTTTAAAGTCGTTAGGCTGTCTGCCAAATACAACAGCGTATGGTCTAGACTTATGTAATTTAGAATACTTAATGTTCATTGCTAGTTGTACTGGATTTAAATAAAGATCCCAGTCGTCATATTTTCCGTTCAGTAATTTTACAATACTGGTTTTGGCAATTCCCACAAATCTTTCACACACAGAATTTCCTTGTGGCGTATAAGGTAACGATAGTCTTCTGTCAATGCCACTCATTAGAACCAATTGAGAAACAACCTCATTGATAAACTCAGATCCATTGTCATGAGACAAAATCCTTGGCCATGAGAACAAGCAAAAGATGTTTAGTAGTTCTTTAGCAGCTGTTAAACTTGTGTTATCTGGTAGTGCTCGAAGAATTGTGAACCGCCTGAAATGATCTATCATGACAAGCATGTAATTATTTCCACTAGCGGAGGTTGTATTGAATGTACCAAGATCCATACTCCAATGATCTAGAGGTTGATCTGGCAATACACTATTGAAAGGGTGATAACCAACTTTAGCAATTTTAAAGTGTGAGCAAGCGTCGCAATTGGATACAATTTGTATGATGTCTTTTCTCATGTTTGTCCAATGTAACTTGTAATCGTTATGTATTGTGTCTTCTACAGCTTTAATACCGAAATGACCTAAAAATTGTGCTTTGTTAATAATATCGTCACGTTCTTTCTCAGGTGGAGTCATGTAGTCAGCACACTGTAAAGCGCGTAATACAACGGGAGTGGTGTTAGTACTAGATGTACATGTACTTTCAGCTAATGTAATAGGTGTTTTAGATTCTTGTTTAAAGTGTAGCAAAAGTAGGCTTAAAGAGGATAGTTTTGCAGAAAAAAAAGTAGAAAAAAACAATAGGATCAATTAGAATTCTTGTCAGAGTTTATTGATGTTAAAGTTAACTGAAGATTTAAGAAGAGGAAAAATAAAGAGTATTTATAATAAATGGAATGGACGAGGCTGAGGATACTACTCTTAACAATATGAGTATGCTATCAATAACAATATCTATATTGGACAATTAGTGCTACGCATAGTCAATAGAGAAATAATAACAATAACATGTCTTAAGTTTGGACATTGGTGTTACGATACCGTGACACTTTAAAATAGTGACCGGCTTTAGCGAATTCCTTTTTTATGCCTGATCATGATTTAGCTATCATTTATCAGTGATGATGAGATATGAATTTATTATATGTATAATCTATATGTGTGATTTAGCACATAAAGTTCTGTATGTAATCTTTTCCGTATTGTTTCATAGCTTTTTTATAAAAGGTAGAAGATATCTTAAGCTGTGGGGTAGCTTTAGTCTTGCGCTTTTTGTATTGAATTTTCTGGATTTGATTTAAATTTTGTGACTAGTCATTTGGATTATCGTGTTTATTTTTACGCTTGGTGATGAAAGAAGAAGTTGTTTCGTCAACTAATTTACCCCCCTCCAAATGATAATCCTCCTTAAATAAACGGCTACCAGCATCAGCAATGTCGTTTAAATTGTTGTTTAGAGGTAAGTAAAATTATAAGGCAGTTTATGAATAATTTGAGACTGTTTATAAGATTGTCTTTATTATAAAATAAAATGAACAAGTATTTACATAAAAAAGACTATATGCTGTGCCACTATCTTTAGTGTATCTTTGAAGTTGTTATCATTTTCCTAGTGTGTATCCTGTTACCTTTAACTGCTTATTTTGTAAATATGTTACACTTGGAATTACTGTCATCTTAGACACATTGTACTTCCATATATTTAGTAAGCCTTAGTCACTGTGTTCTTGTAACCTTGTGATATGATAGTACTAACTATCTATATTAGGTAATTGATTCCTTAGTCATTCTTAATGTATTTGTGGTATTCGACAAAAATATTACAATGAAAAAGTAATGAGAAAAAAGTATATCTTTATTGGAGGTAAAAATAGACTAAAAAACTCTGCTGCGATGAAATGATTGATCCTTTTTATATTGAACAACTTCCCCTGGTAGTTGTGTTGAGTCAACCTTTCTGGTCTTGTAATAAATATATACTCAGTTCCCGCCTTACATTAAATGAATTATACTCGTTAGAATTGATTTCAAATAACGTCGCCCTTAATCAACCGATCTGGGACACTCTTATTGTTCTGTTTAAAATACAGAATTCCAGTAAGATATTGTGTAACGGTGGCTAGTTAAAAGATGCATAAGGTTTTTGTGTTTAATTGGCTGTGGTAGAACATGTAGATATGTCTGATCATTTATCCATTCTGTTGATTATTTTTATCTAAGACATGGGTAAATATGTGATCCTAAATATAGAACATCTTATCGATGTTTGTATATTTAGTTGTAGAAAATAGGCATCCAAATATTCCATGCACTACTTCTCTTATACACTTACTGTCGTATAAGTTGTGTTTATCAATATATAAGTAAATGAACCATTTATATAAATAGCTGGTCTATTCTCTCTATGGGTAGCTGTCAGGAACGTGGCTAAGAATATATTATAGCAATAATATCAGAAGATACCTACTAGTTATACAAAGACAAAGGAAGAGTGGTTTATAAAGTATTTAATAATAGTAATAGATTATACAGGAAAGGGGAAGGATACAAGATAATCGACATGGAACGGGGAAGGCAATGGAAAGGGGGAGTATTTATATCTTTTCAGATAACATGGGTTTGCATTTAAGAATGTCTTGGCTTACTTAATTAGTCTTAGCGTTGGTTTCAGCTTACGTGGTCGAAACCCATGAGTCATGATTACTAATTGCTTGGCGTCGGAGATACTTGGAAACGAGTCATGATTACTAATCTCTTGGAAGCGGAGGTTCGTTGCGTGGATAGTCTTGGAAGGTCCTGGAAGGTTCTGGACACTGGCGTTGTTGAATCTCAGCATGAGATTCCAGAACATTCCAATAGTCGGGGATTCGTGGTCAGGGGCAAAGTGCAAAGTGTCGTATTTGGGTACGATTCACTTAAGAATAAATAAGCAAATCGTTCAAATAATTAAATTATGAAATAAAAAAGAACCTTCAATGTTGCATACCAGCATACACATGTATACTGCTACACAACTTCTCCTACTCCGAGTACATATTTCTATTTTAAAGATTACATGATTGGCCTAAATACGATATACGAATGACAGTTGGATACAGAAAGCTATACCGCTGAGTTACGATATCACCGATCGAGAAGAGAATCTTCTCAGATCAAATCAAGAATTATAAGAAAGAGAAACTTAATATTAATAGTTCTCTCAATGGCTTAGCTACCCATAGAGACAATAGAACAG